CGCCCCCTCCAACGTTTGAGACCTTCAAAACCTCAGGAAATATATAATGGTTGGCATTTGTTGTGACTGGGACATAACAATATATTGGTTCCTAATATTTATAATAGTTTTCTCCTTCATTTTATCGAGCTTTTCAAAGAATGCAAAACTGCCGAGTTTACGCCTAATACACGACAAATAAATTGTGTTATGATTTTTCATACGTTGAATAAAAACGAACGATGGCCCTACAGAAACACCAGAGGTATTATTATTTTTATATTGCACTAGCGACGTTTAATTTTTTTCGCGACGTCTCTCAGATCACTTGTCTGTAAATAAATAATAAATAAAATGAAACACTTTTATTCAGGTATCCATAAAAAAATCCTAATTATTCATAATAGTAAAGTAATAGTAAGTTCATAATAGTATTCTATCAGTCAATTTAGCTTTCATAGAAGAAGCTTAGTTTGCAACGAGATGGTGTTGTATGTTAGATGTCCGAAAACAGTTATTGAAAGGCACGTCTTTTACATAAATTACACCCAGACAAATAAAAAATGATCTTGTACATCACACAATTATTTCTCCTGTGCGGGAATCGAACCCAAACACCTCTCATGTACACCTACAACTCTCTTAAGATGAAAGTGACACAAGTTGACTTTGTTGACGCATGTGCGTTGCCGCCATTTATTTATGTACCGCAAGGGTTGGACTTCCGGTATTCTTAGTGTGTCAAACAACAAAAGAATTGGTCACCATGATAATCGAGTAGATGAGAAATAAACTCGAACTTGGGCCTCGATTTTCTGTGCTCCGGTCGAGCATGCATTCCTACGATAAGAAGGATTGTGTTCATAATGCATCTTAGCGTTGGAACAATCTGAGTTAAAAGCGAACAGATATGTAAAATACAAGTTAATAAGAGCTATAAAAATTCTGACATCTTACAAGACAATATATTTCAAAGACAACTCCCTTCTTTATCTAGACTTTTGTTAAGTAAATCTTTTATATCATAGAGACCTTACAGCTGTGATAGGTATAGCCAAACGTCTTCCCCCGGGTTAAGGCCTATTTAGGTGCGGCGTCGATCCGGGAGAGGTCCTGAAATCACATGGTCCGGGTCCTCCCCAGGGTAGGTCGCCTAAGGCCGGTCGTACGGGAAGCCCCTGTGTCCCCAAGGAGCCGGAGATCCGAATGATTTTTCACCCCGTTATGGCGTCACCAAAAAAAAAGGTATAGAAAAAAGTGGGTCAATCCACATTTGGCTATTCGTTAACACAGGTAACTTTAAACACGGGTGTTTAATCATGAAGACGTCAGTCGTCATGAAGTATAATCATTTCTTAAAATCAGATCAAATAAAAAGTTAAGATGGAACTTGCGAAGTACAAAGTGACGCCGGTTTTATAAACATGTGTGCGTGGGCCGGTGCTGATATCATAATTTTATTTCATTGATAATATTAGTTTCTACGCTTACTTATGTCTGAATGCGATTTTATCCTACTATAGGTATATCTACCTCTTGTAGTTAAATTTTTACAGCCTTTCACAACACAATTTGGCATATTTACTTGTAAATATTATTGACATTTTTGATGACGTTCTGACTGACAAGGCGTAGTTCCGTTGTACGTCTGTGTGTGTACACGCCAAGGCGTAGTTTTAATTGGCCTCACTTGTTTGTTCACAGAGCACCATCTTAATTTTGTATTTGATCTGAGTTCTTAAAATTGTCGAACACATAACAATGTGATCACGGCCGGCACACACATTTACGATCTGTGGTATACAGGTACCAAGTAATTAATAGAATGTGCTTATGATTAAGTTTTATTTCAAATTACACAAGGTAAAAAATGTATTGGTGTCGCAACATGCGTACGGGTATTCAGCGCTATCTAATGAAAATGGAACTACATAATAAATTTTGGCCCTGCATCGCCTTGTAAAATGTTCTGGTAAAATTACTAAAAGTATTTGTGTTTGATTATCTATACACCAACCAGACACAAACACAAATACTAAAAATGTTGTGTTTGGTTATCTATAATATAAAAGCACAAGGACTCATAATTAATTAGAATGTGAAAGATTATGAAAATCTGTTTATAAATTGTTTGTTTCACAGATAATCAATTAAATTAGGTTGTCTTTATCAGTTTATAATTGAAATGTCTATGCCCGTCTGAATAAGTAGGTCATACAATAAGGCTGTCACTAAATTAAAACTTTATAAAAGTAAAGAAATTGTGGATTTTTGATGTCGTAACTGCAGTTTCTGAAACCATGTAATCAACTACTGAAAAATGTATTTTCGATGATACAGTAAATTTTAATAAAAAAAAAATTAGAGAAAAATAACAGAATAAGAATGAGGTCTTGGTTACATTTTGTATATTTACATCTCATTGTAATTAGAGTTCAAAGCTTTTTGAATGTGTAAGAATGAATAAAACAAGAAACAATTTTAAAAATCAAAAACCCGACTAAGGAAAAATTTCAAAGTAATGCACTAAAAGACTGAAACAGCACTACTGCGAGCAAGTTATGCTCGCGAAGGAGACGGCGGAGCGGGACCGGGAGAGGTTTAGGACTCTCCCGGCCCGCCAGGCCCGGGATCGGGCCAGGTACCGCAGGCTACTCAGGCGCCGGAGGTCGCTGAACGACCTCCGTCCTCCATAAGCGCAGGCCTGGGGGTGCCAGGTGAGGCCATCTGTCACCCTAGCAGAAGCAGGCCGGGGTGGCGGCGAGCGCGTTGCGAAGCGCGCTCGCTTCCAGGGAGCACAGGGAACATGGGGTTCCCACACGGGGGAGGGGTCGTCTACTCGTCTGTAGATGACCCGAGGTATCAGGGGTAAAGGGTAGGGGGTCAAGGTGTCGGGGTACCAGGGACTTCCTTTCTAGGGTATACCTGGTTACCCGGCTATTAGTACCCGAGACGGCGTGCGGTTTTAGTCGGTTCGAGTCCGACATGCCACCGACAGGTGGTATCCGAGGGGATTTCCGCACGGAAAAAAAAGGCACTTGGAAGGTTCGAGGTAATAAAGAAATTTACAAACAAACATACAAAATACCAGCGAAAAGCAGAAAGTTGGTAGTCGTGTAAAAACGTAAAATCAAAAGACAAATTCTTCTGTAATCGGCCTCAGCTAGGTGTAAACCTACTACCTACCTACCCGTGTTTTTGCCAGTCGCTTGACTATGATGTCAGATACAGATAAAAAATATTTTTTTATATACTTATTATAGGTACTATAAGCTAATAATTATTTCAACATGTAATAATAAATACATATATTACGTTCAACGTTCATGGTACGTTTTAACAGGGGAAGTATAGAATTGATCAGCACAGGGATCAATTAAATTGACCTCTGGAATTAACAATCAATGAGCTAAACTCAACAAAGTTTTTCTTACGGTAAAGCGGCTAAAAAATGTTTTAGGATCGATTCAAATTATCTAACATTCAAGTTTGCTTACAGAATTCAGTCGATCCCATACATATCCCTTACGTCAAGAGCGCTAGTCAATCACGTACTCATACGGTTATTTTTTATAATTTCTACGAACAATTTTAAAAGTAATTTCCTTCATATATATGAGTTTAGGTATTATAGTTAGAAACAGAATATTTTCAGAGCTTAGAATGCTGAACCCGTTTGGTGTTATATCATACGGCACGTTAAGGTAACAAACAGGTCTCTTTTAGTAATAAAATTGGTTTTCATTAAGTTGGTACTCAATATAAGATACTCATTCATTGTACTCTTGTTTGGACTTTGATATTCAGGACTGAAGATGTCCTAAACGCCTATTATGCAAAACACTTTTTTTCACAGCTTTCAATTTATAAATCTTTGTTTTTAACGGGGTTTTACCACAGCTTACTACAGCGCAAACTAGAGGTACAGCTTTTAATAGCATACTTGAACAAATGCCTGAGTTTGATTATTTGTCAAAAATAGTTTAATCTAGCAATTAAAACATTCAAACGACCCAATAATCACTGCAAAGACACTAACCCCTTGGGGTTAGTAAGCTCTTATCCCTTTTTGTAGTAGTGTCCCTGATAGTGTACCTTTCTATTGGTGAATATTTATAATCGGTTTAGTGGTTTAGGCAACAAAGCGTAACAAACAAACAAATTCACTTTTATTACTAAAACAATATTACATTTCAATACACCAATAACAGTAATAGTTAAAAAATAACCTTCATTTGTGACAATTTATATCGACCAATCGATTGATTAATAGCTGATCATGCAAAATCATATTGTGTTAAGTACCTACGATACTTTACTTTGATAAATAGTTGGTAATTCATAGATATTAGAGAGTTTTCATTCAAAATGGTCAATGTTTTAAATAATGTTTAACATTAAAGCACGCATTGATTAAAATTTTAACTTCTGCACTTTAAACATTAAAAAAGGGAAGAAAAATTATATGTCAGCTCCGACGCCCGACTGGAGTTTACTCCTCAATGTTGATAAAATATCGATATTATTATTTAGAAAAATCTATATTTATTACTAATTTTTTTTTAAATGTTAGTTAAATAATTAGAAGTCGTGTATTAATTACCATTTATTCTGGGGTGTATTTTGTTTTAAAATAATTTTAATTTTGTAGTGGACTAAACTGAAACAAATTGCAATCATAAAACTAATAACAAGCTCACAATTTTTTTTATTATTACTACCACGTAAAAAAAAATAGTTGAACCGCCATCTATAAATTACATTTAGCACTAAAAAACGTAACGAGGTCATTTGATCGCAAAATTTTACTCTTCATATTTTTTTCATACCGGGCGCCTTGTATGAAAATCGTATCTTCAGGAGTAAACTCCAAAAATGTACTATGAAACTCAACAAAATGGCATTACATCTTGTATTTCGTTTATGTTGTCTATTGCCTGTAAGATTATCAAGATCTTGAAATTCTATTATGGCGATTTTTTTTATTAAATAATATTATTTATATATTATATTTGTTACAGTATATTGAGCGTTTCTTGAATGAATCGGAACATGGCGTCGTACTCTTTAGCTGGGGTTCTCTCATCAAGACGGCAACGATTCCAAAATATAAGGAAGACATCATCATAAATGCCCTCTCGAAGATCAAACAGAGGGTCATCTGGAAGTATGAGAACAGCGATGAGGAAGGAACACTTACAGGAAATATTCTGAAGGTGAAATGGATACCGCAATATGACTTATTACGTGAGTATTGGTTTTTATTATAAATTCATGTTGAAAGTAAATAAATTAAAGTCATTGTGCTAATTACGAACTACACAATAGATTCGCTAATGGAATAATAAGTTTTTTTAAAAAACGGCATCTTAACATCAATTGTCAGAAGCTCGATACACTTTCTCTATGCATTTCAAATTCTTTATGTTCTATTTATTTCTGTTATGATTAGTTTCGTCGTGAAATTTTTGTTAGAAAGTTTAAAATAGTAAAGAATCAATTTTGGCCTTCTTATGGTTTCTTTTTTTTGGAGTTTATGAACCAACAACGTGTACAAAATAAGACGAAATCTATTTTATCGGTGGTTTAGAATCGATTGTCGAATGCTTAGTATTAGTAATGTAACGGATCTTTGTTAAAGATCACGGATGCTACTGGTCAACGGTATAATTTAATTACACCTAGGGATGCCAGACTCAATAATTTAATAATTTGTAGTGTTACAGACGAATCAAATTCAAATCACAGTCAATCCCAATAGAAAACTACATTAAGCTTACACAGCCTTGTGTTCCTCGAGACTTTGACAAACAAAGGTTCCCCTTTTAAAGCTTTCTGTTTTTCTTTTAAATGAAGTAAAGAAATGACGCTTCTAATAAGAGGAATATTTCAATTTTTAACCAAATCGGTGAAACAATTCCGTTTGCGATTTATCTTATAGAAGATGCATAAAACACTATCTACCTTCTTATCTTCTAAAAAGTGACTATCATCGTTTAATATGAGGGTTGAACAGTTCTTTTTTTTTTATAAATAAGTGAACAAAATACATGTGGATACAACCTATCCAGACAGTGGAGACTTGGTACGTTTATATAGCCACTGCGCTCGTACTTGTGCACTGTTTGGAGTCGCTTTTTTGTGTTGTTCGCTTAGATCGTTTAAACTAAGCAGCGGATTTTAATGTGGTTTTCACCTCTAAAGGGAGTGATTCAAGAGGAAGGTTAATATGTATAATACATGCATATTATAGTAGAGAAAAGCCTAGTATTTCAAAGATTTGTTGTAAAAAAACCTTTTGAGATAGACCAAAATAATGTACTACAGAATTGTATATCTTAAAAAGATCTACAAAAAATCCGCAATGGTATATGTCTATCTTCTAAGGATAACCCACAGTAACAATTTTTATCTTTTAAAAATTGCAGAAAAGTAATGAGTTATTTACGAAGGTGTTTTAAACAATACATTATTATTGCTTATCTAATTAAATACGTTAGATACGTTATGCATTTAATGTAAATTAAAATTGCTCTAAACAACAAATCATTAAAATGAATGTTTTAGAAGATATTAGAGGTTTAAAATGCGGGGGCCCAACTACTGTCGAGTTGGACGTCCGTCCCGGGTGGCAGCGGCCGGCAGGATCGGAGCGGACCTATAAATATTGCATTTAAAGATGTCCTGTAGTATAGTCCTATCATAATAATAGTATAATTAATTACTCCACACCGACACCACATGAGTAGTTTCTACATTGCACCCGTGCGAAGCCGGGGCGGATCGCTAGTTATTAATATAAGAGGGTTTAGGTAGTAAGGTACACACATATATGTTCAACCAAACAAACTGTTTACAGCTTTTTAGTATTTGTAAGTATAAAGATGTGTATTCAATTCTTTTTTTAATGTTAAATTGTTTTACACTCCAGAACACAAAAAGGTGATCGCCTTCATCGCTCACGGCGGTCTTCTTGGCATGACAGAGGCGGTTTCAGCAGGCAAACCCATGTTAATTGTACCATTCTACGGAGACCAGCCCTTGAACGCAGCGTCCGCAGACATGATTGGACTCGGGAAGGTCATATCTTATGCTGATTTGACTGAGAAGACATTGTTGGAAGGATTGCAGACTGTCCTGAGTGCTGAGTGAGTAATTGAACTCTTATATACTTATCTTAAGATATAAAGTAAGCATTTCTATTTCTTATATTTAATTACAGAATTTACTAACTAAATATTACATTAATATACTTGACTTTTTAACTTATGTACTATTTACATGCATGTGTTATAAAAAATCTCCGCAATGTCGCCTTTCGGTAGCTTTTCTAGATGGCTTCCACCACATTGAATAGTAATACTAGTAACTAGTTGTCTGTTCAAAAAGGTCGCGAGAAGTATCGATAAATCTATTAAGGATTATTTTAAAATGTGCAAGGTTTAAACACTAGCATTTTTTCTAACTAGGTACTATTTTATTTAATTCCTTTGAATTTCGTTCCTGAAATTTTAAGGAAACATAACTTACAATAAAACTTGAAACAATACTGAGATTTTATGTATGTCTAGATACTATTTTAGTAAAATTACATTAATTTACATGAATAAACAATTGGTATAAGATGATGTTTGTAAAACGTTAATTGTTTGGGGAAAATTATATAAATGATAAAAGCGTCAAGATAGGACTTGTACTCGTAATAATGGTTACCAATAAGGCCAATAACACCGCCTAGTAGGTATTTTTTTTTTCTTTTAGGTATGTCGTCGCCTTAGGTTATATGTTCCATCCACTTTATGTATATTACTTGATTCTAGACCGTTTTTACCTAATCATCAATTTGTTATTGATGAATATAACCTAAATTGTTAAATTTGTATGTCAAGTTGACGTTGTTTTTGTTGAAATTTGTTATAATTATGCACATATTTGTAATTGTATTTACGGATATGGACTTTGAACATTTAAATATTGACAATGAAGATAGCCCCCGTTCGGTTTAGAACGTATATTTGTACAATGTATCAAAAAGTAACAATGGATGAGCCATACATGCATGTATGGGCATGATCGACCGGACTGATACCATGTCCTCACCAGGAAACCGGTATTGAGCGATTTATTCTTTGTTTTTCAAAGGGTTAGTAGTGTTACCGGTAAGTTCTCCCCTCTGATTCCCGAGACGAGGAGCAGCTTCAAAGGGCGGCAACACCATTATGACTATAACCTGGCAATCTCGTGCGCGACCGTCCCGCGGGGTGACAGACAGTGGCGGGGGCGAGGTAGCGCGTCATTCTAGCACACGGCTACACACGATTCCCTTCCCCGCTACACCACCCGCTACCCGCTGACATCTTGAGTACCTCGTCCCCGCCACCGTCTGTCACCCCGCAGGACGGTCGCGCACGACGTTGATGGACTATAGTTCCAAGTGTACAAAACCATGACTTTTATATTACATGACATAGAAAACATCAGAAAAAAATTAGTAACTAAGAATAGACTTTATTATTTAAATTCCAAACGTAACCCTAATAAATACGCATAAAGTCAACCATAGGCGTAGTCAGAACGTATAAATCATTATTGAAATATGGCTTGAAAAAGTACTTAGATACTGTTTTATTGTTCCTGAAAATGCCAGTCGAAGCCTTCTGAAATCCTCTAACATTACTCTAGATGCAAATGGGGCGTTCAACATGCAATTACTTTTAACTTGATGGGTCTGAACAGCCCTGACAATAGTCGTTAATATCAATCAATAAAATTCTCGTAATTAAAATTGGTTAATAATTCAGTGCCGATCTGCATTCGATCTCACAAATGTCATTTTATGAAATGAAAATATATTCTCGTAGTAAAGTATTAAACATCTAACGTTGACTGTAATTTTAGTTATATCGTATTGTGACCGAAAAGTGAATCGGTATTCTAAGTCTTTAATTACGAGAATTCCCTTCATGGCATTTGTAAGATCGAGAGTAGATCAGAACGGAATTTTTAAAGAAATTCTTATTACGAGAACTCCCTTCTTAGCGACGTGAAGATCGCATTAAACGTGATCGGTTTGAGCTGGTTTAACTGATTTTTTTTCATACAAAACTGCCATATTGTTTTCTCTAGTTAAATTATGTATAATTCGTAATTATATTCATTACACACGATACAAACTTACGCATTCGATATCAATCACCGGAGCGTAATTTATTCTAAATTACACATTAATAAGTTACATATTATTATTTTTAGCTATGTAATCAAGACCTAGAGATCCTAACAAGCGCTGTTACATTATCTTCTCGCTTCTCAATACAATTATCCAAGCAACTTCACAACGAAGTTATTGTTATATTTTGACAATTACTTGTCGAGATGTATGTGCCACGTGCAACACGTGCTCTTTAATCCTTACTGTCATACTTATCCTTACTTATATTATAAATGTGAAAGTGAGTTTGTTTGTTACGCTTTTAAGTCTAATCCAAAAAAAATACAATTTTAAAAATTCTTTAACCAATGGAAGCTACATTTTTTTTTGTTCAAATAACTTAACAACAATAACTTAGAAAAAGGAAAGAATAAAGACTAAGAAAATGTCACGCTCCTAATATTGGGCTGAAAAAATTGTATTTTTTGACATTTGAAGGTCTGTATCTGAAGAGCTCAATCTCGCTACCCAATTTATGCATATCATTTACAGATTTACTGGCTCGAATAATAAAGGATTTTTTGCGGTAGTTGGTATTTATTCGAGGTACTGGGTGGATTATGCCTAGTGCGTAAATTATGCGGTACTCTGAATTTAATTTTCTCGAGAAGAATCGAGCAATCTATATCTACTTTAATGATTTTTAACAATGTAACAATATCGGAGACAGTACGTCTATTTGTTAAAGGCAGAAAATGATATCTCTTATACATCTTGTCACATATCCGTGATCAATACACTTACACTTATACCTACTGCAAATATCTTAAAAATATTTTTTGGATGGACTCAATACTTTTATAGGCTACTTTTTAATGCGAAACCTGACATACACGCGGGCGGAGTCGCGGGCAAAAGTTAGAATATTTCAAATGTGAAAGTGAGTTTATTTGTTTGTTTTTTTTTACGATTTTAGGCCTAAACCACTAAACTGGTTTAAAAAAATCTTTCACCAATGGAAAGCTGCATTATCAGCAACATAGGCTACTGTTTACCGCGATAACCGACATAAACGCGGCGGAAACCGCGGGCAAAATCTAGTACTCATTTCTTATGAGAATATTTTTTTAACCGAATGTTGAATGTCGGACATTCGATTTCGAATGTGTGTATTAGAGGAGGTATCAATCGGTATCATGAGGTATGTATATTTCTTTGGCACGCTCTGGAGCCTACGAAATATGATGATAATGGATTTTGACTTGGGGGGTGTCCTTAGATTCGTCTTAATAGTGAGATTGACTGTGGGTATATCACAGAATAGTTAAAGGAGATTAACCTCCTTTAACTATTCAGTGGGGTATATGACTAATATAAAAATTAAAATCGACGGTTTAAAAAATTCAAGTAAGGAAGTATATATCGGTTTGCTTTTTGTTCATAAATTTCAATAATTAGCTTGATTTCGTGTTGTTAGTAACAACTTTTAGTCTTTTTTTAGACTAAAAGTTGTTACTAAGAACAGGGGCGATCGAGGAAGTTGACCAGTAGGCCATTTTCTGACTTGTAGGTGCGGCAGCGGCGCGGGATCTGTAACCTCTGTACCGAAACGATACCTTCAACTACTCACTTATCTGTATATTCTCGGTTTAAAATCCAAGACGATATCTTCGGTGCAGCAGCACCGAAGATATCGTCTTGGAGTGATGAAGATATTTTGGCGTGTTAATATGGTTATACTGCGTAAAAAAAGTAAACGTTATTGGCGTCATCCTTATATCGAAAATCTTTTATATAAAATTCTCGTGTCACAATGTTCGTTCCCGTACTCCTCCGAAACGGCTTGACCGATTTTCATGAAATTTTGTGTGCACATCGGGTAGGTCTGAGAATCGGCCAACATCTATTTTTCATACACCTAAATGGTAAGGGTGACCCATCCCTAATTTTTTTTGTTTTGCAATACAACGTTTGCCGGGTCAGCTAGTAATATATATAATAATAGTGAAAGTACCCGTTACTACGCTTTTTGTAGTTGGGAGGTCTGCAGTGTAAAGAGCATGGGCCCATAACACTACCCTGAAGGATACCTGCTTCGATTTTATACAGGGATGTAGATTTGCAACCTTGTTTTAATATAAAATATCTATCGCTTAGATAGGATTTAATTAGGTTGTAGCAATTAATAGGTAGATTCTTGTTTGGCGCCATTTAAAAATAATATGTATATATTTAAACGCCCATTAGCGCACACCACAAATAATGTAAACAATTGCAGATAAACTTTGTTTATTTATTACATTATACTTAACAATCAGTCACACCTTATATTACTAATAGAACACTTTAAGTACATACTGAGTTAAAATAAAACTATAAACTGCTAACTGTGCAAGAATGTAACAGAGCGAACACAAAACTTTAGGAACATGCATAGAAATCACATCCATAGAAATCGTAATAATAAGTTATGATTTCTATGGCAACATGCAACTTTATACCCAATGACGTATTATAATATGGTTTATATTTAATTGTTTATACCTATTTAATTTTCTTTTAACAATGATTATGGTCGCATTTTGAGCACAAGACAAAGACGAGCACCCTAAAAAATTTAAAAGATGATATATTATAATGTATAGATAATTCATCACACATCACATCAACAGCCTATAATAGTCTACTGTTGGACATAGGCCTCTCCTTAGAAAGGAGGTTTTGGCCTACTATGCCACGCTGGCCAGACGGGTTTCAATAGGGTTTGTGTCAAGTTTTCCTTCTCTTTGCAGTGCTGTTATCCTGCGTAGTTCGCCAGTCTGCGGTTCGCCAGTTAGTCGGCTTTTACGACACCCACGGAATGAATAGGGGTGGTGACATTCCGTATTCTTAATCCGTCACCACATGGATAGATATAGATAATTACCTGTAACTAATAATGTATTACATTGTCATTATTTATCGAGTCACGATTTAGCGGTTAATATTTACTTACTCTGCTACAATTCTAGTCCTAACTAATTATTAAGAAACGCAACATTATTCGTGTTATATTCCGCGTGATTGTGGTTTAATGCGAGATCATGGCTGAAGAAAATAAAATATATTTCCTTGGCTCAAACCGTGACCTGCATATCAACGAGTTATTTCCGAGTATAATCTTTGGCACTAGAACCAGGATGACGGTGTTCTGCGTAGGTTCAATTGTTCTATTTACATTTTATTGCACTCTGCTATACCTATCGGTTCACGATTCCTGTTTGTGTTTGTATTGACACAGCACAATGGAGCCAAAAAAGAAAACAAAATAGTTAGCCCCAACGGTAATGACAATTGGTCTGATTAAAGAAAGTATTCGAGCAGCGCCATCAACCGTTAAGTTTAGATCTAAGCTGCGTTATACATTAACTACGGTTATTATCTTCGATATCCCCTAGTTTTCTGGTACTTTTTCTAATCTCGTGCTGTAATCTTACCTACATTTGTAGATAACTACATACCACAATTATAGGTCAGCGGTTGTCGCGAATTTTTCTTTTAAAGACTACTCCCGCACTAGGAATATCTCGGGAAATCGGACGCAAAGAAGACTCAGAATAACAATTTGTGGATCACACAAAGTAGCGCAGTAGAAAGCGGCGAGGGGACCGTTTAAACTACTACGCGCGCAGTTGAAATCTTGTTTTACACAGCTTCTGGTTAGACAATAAAAGGGTTAAGAAAAGAGAGAGAGAGAGAGAATAAGGCAATACCCAGAACCAAAATAAGAAGCTTTGTAAGGTGGCTACTATTGCCAATGCCAATACCAACGCCCACACACTTTGAGAAGAACAAATTGCTTTTTTGATTATAAATATATTATTATTTTTATTTTCGCACACTTGTAATTAAATATAACATCCATCCTACTTTTTTCTAGTTATAAAGTATCATCTTATTCCTAATTTGAAGACGATTTCACAGAGTGTGCAATAATTACAGTGGCTTTAGACTTTGTCACTACACCGCGCCAATTGTTATGGGTTTGATTCCCGCACGTGATAAAAAATGTAAAATTCTACAATAATATTATTTTCACACATTTCACACGGCTGTCTGATCCCAAACTAGGTAGAGCCTGTGCTATGGTAACCTGACTGCTGATAAACATACATATATATTTCTAAATACATACATATTATAGATAAAGTACACCCAGACACAGAACAAATGACCGTGCTCATCACACAATCATTTGTCCTGGGTGGGAAACGAACCCACAAAATAGTTGTAACAAAACTATTTGTTCTTTATATCCTTTTTTTATTCTATATTTATAGAGCTCTCCGCATCATAGTATATCATAATCATTAGTATTCAAATCAACATCACGTTGTCTTTAAGAAATAAAAAAGCACTTTCGTATTTACTTTCGAATTTTGGGCAGAATTTGTATTTTACCACATTTTTATTTTGAGGTTATTCGTTAGCTCTGAACAGGTTTCAAGGGGCTTATACAAAACAAATTCTTATTATTCAGCGATCGCCCCATTACCTACTTAATAAAATATAGTGTGTTCCGTACCCGATGCAAATTCTTTAGGTCATTCGCCGTATATTTTCGCCGTTGGCTACGTCAAGTCATACATATTTTCAAAACAAATAAATTACGTGAAACATTGCAAACATTAATTATAAAATCATTTCCAATACAATAAATACTTTCGAAGTATTGTTTCTTTGCAATTGACGGGTTTTTCTAGGCATTGCCTGGACAGACGTGACTGGCATTCGACTGTCCTAGCTGTTAGTAGGAGAAGTAGTAGCCAGAGTTCGTGGGTTCGATTCCCACCCAGGACAAATCTTTATGTGATGCTGATCATTTATTCTGTGTGAGTGTGATTTATCTAATTTATGTATATATTTAGAAAAATATGTTTATTAGCGGTCTCGTCAGTTTGAGATCAGACGGCCGTGTGTGAGATGTGTGAAGTTATTATTATTTAAAAGCAACTGTTTCAATGTTGCAAGTCTCTTTTCTGATCATTTTGAAAATAAGTCAGACTATCCATTAGATTTTGTTATTTATTACGCAGGTAAACGGCACTGCAAACAGAAGGAAAACTCGAAACAAACCCTATGCCAACCCGTTTGGCTAGCGTGGTATAGTAGGCCTAAACCTCTTTTCTAGAGAGGCCTATGTCCAGCTGTAGACTAGTAAAGGCAGTTGATGATGATGATGATACACTAGATTTTTCTCTTTTTGTGATTATATAGAAGTCGAGATTGAAAAACTGCAAAAGAAGAGAGGTTGCGCCATATCTTGCCTTTAAATGAGATATGTAAGATAATAGTAATCTTTATAAAAATAAAATAAAGTCGTAAGGAACGGCTTTTAATAGTATACGCACATGCACGTTCTTGAATTTTAATGATAATAATAATATAGAGAATCTCGTGAAAGTTGAATAAGAAAAATAAATTAAATATTTGGATTTATCTCACGAGATTGTCGATATGTGGATTGTTGTTTCGGCGATCATTGTTCCGATAGTCGTATCTGTTCACGGATTGATTGCCAAGAGCCTCGACAAGGTGTTGACCTTAAGAGGCTCACGTTAGACAGCTGGATCAAGGGTCTGATGCAGAAGGCAGTTTTTCTTGACACGGCTCGTATAGTAAGGACGTTCCTGTCTTTGGAGTCCCAACCACCGGTATCTTGGTCCCTATACCCGATATCGGTGGTCTACTGTTTTTTATATTTTTAAATGCATTTCTTTTCTTTTGTAATATACTTAAAAATGTAATTAATATGTATTTATATAATGTAATAAAGAGAAAAATCATATAAAATTATGATAATGATAATAATAGATAAAGATGGAACTTGCTCAATTTTACTTGATTGAATCTTAAAGCCGCAACAGTAACCTTCTCTTTTATTTAAACGTCACGTTATCTCGATTTTCCCTTGTCTCGATTTCCTCTTAGTTTTTCTTCTATAGCATTGTGTTATTTATAAATAACTATTTTTCATTTCAGAATGCGACTAAGCGCGCGCCGTGTATCCAAAATCTGGCACGACAGGATAGCTGACCCCTTGGAAACGGCTGTATATTGGGTTGAACGGATTATCCGATGGGGTGACTCAGATCCCCTGCATTCAAAAGCAAGGGACCTCTCTTTCATAGAATATAATTTACTCGATGTTGTGGCTGTGATCAGTGTTACTTTTATACTATTCATTTTAATTATGTGGGTAGTTCTAAATAAAATGTTGCGGTTTATTAGCGGCAGTTTCCATTCTAAAGAGAAGTTACATTAGTAATTAATTAATAAATGTTGTTTTAATAGAATATAGAAATAAGAAATGTTACTTTGTTTATTAAGAAATTAAATCTTATAAGTATGTTGTACAAAGTCACTATTAGGAAATCTATGATCACTAATGATGCTAAGGCAACAAAATATATTAATGTAAAGAAAATATAAGATTCTTAATCAAATGCCTACAATGTGATAAAGTTTCAAAAAGTCTCTTTGAAATCGTTTTTTTTTTGCAAAAATTATATACGCATAAGTTTTTTTAATTTTGTTGTTCGTCGAATAGACTTTTGCTAATGGGGATCTTTTGAAACTAAGTTTTAAATTAAGAATTAAGTTTTATATCAATTTCGATTCGAATGAATTTAAATTATTTATTTTCATATCTAGGAAATGCCGGATAAATCATTAATATAATTATTACTTTTAAAGGTAAATATTTCATTTCACACTTTTAATTACAAAGTAAGATTTCAGTAGTATTGCAATTTCTACTAAAATTGGAAACGTTCTAAGTTATTTGCAGAATATATGGTAGGATCTTTAAAATATGATATTCTTTCTGATCTGAAATAATTATTTGGACAATTTTCATATTAATAATTGAGTAGATGGTATTTTGCATAGTTTAAAACCAAAGATACTCTTTACTATGCTCTAAACCTTATATATCCTGCAAATAATATCTTTCATGTAGGCCCAAATCAACGAATTAATGAATGACTTTAATAAATAAATTTTAACCTCGTAGTAACACAATAGTTGAGGCAGTTTAAAAGTGTAAAATATTAGTAGTTTCCTTATCACTCACTATGGTGTCACTCTGTTAGACCTATTTTTGGGTACCATAGACACCTCGTGTAGTTTTTATTTGTATACGAGTATTTATATGTAATTACACATAGAAGAGCAATTCCAGTAAAGCTAATACTTCCCTATAATAGAACTGAACTTTGTAAAGAATGATCAAATATTGTAATTTGGATTTTTATATACTAAACTAAGTAGATCATTTGTAGTGATAGGGCCTTTGATACACTAAGAAAATAAATAAACAGCTTATGTTGTTTTCTAAATATCATTGCGTACACATATTATTGTAACACATAGGGATATGTGCACAATAATATTTTAGTAATTTTATGTTCATATAGGTGATTTTAATGTTATAACTGCGACCTAACCATTTGACGATATAAAGTTCATTTCTGCTATTTATTTAACAAATAACTTACATCTCCGTAGTTTTTTTTTATAGGTGTTGAAAAAGACAAAACTTTTTGTTATTAAATCATGTTATAAAATATATAAAAAAAAAGATTTTGTAAAAAAAATCTATATAGTTATATATATCTATCTACCTATATATCTCTCTTTTAAGAAAAACGCAGTCGTGTTTTTTACATGGTGATTGTATGTACATTATTTACATGGTTACAAGTCTCAATTATGGACAGTAAAGTCAAAGAGAACCATCTCTGTTTTGAAAAATGTCCGTAAAAACGCGGCCAATAAGGGTAAATTGATAATATTAGACATTGTACTAGACTGCGAAAATAGCCAATGAGCTTAACAGACATCAAATAAACTTGTAATAACTTTTTGACAATAAAAGTATTATAATATTTTAACTCGTCACACTTCATTCCGTCTACAACAGCTGAAAATTCATATCTTAGTTTTTCATACGCCAGCGACCTCTATTTTCAGTATACAGCGTGACACTATTTCAACTTTCCCCCCATTTGTGATGATTCTCCTTGCCTCTACACTCCATAGTCTCAAAACACAAATGTATATTTTGATTGTATTCACTCAATAGTAATAAATACTACAGATAAGGCCATTACCAATTACTTATCTGTCATTAATCTCAATGGCTGAACATGCGAATTTAATGGTTTTTATATTTTGCACTATATCTGAGGCGACTTCCACATACGAAAAACATAAACATGCTACAGCGCCATCTAACGAAGACACACTGAACTACGGAGTAACTCCTAAATGAGAATTGCAAACCCTATATCGCGATATGAAGAATTCTCTCACCGATTAGCATATACACATTACGCATATACGCATATACACAAAGGGATTGCCCTTCGGTCTACGCATTCCACCGAATTTTGGATGTTTAATACTTTACTACGAACATATCTGATCGCAACTGAATTGTGACCGAACTCTTATTTCGAGAAATGGCCTTCAGAGGAACGACTGTCTAGCAGCAGACTGCGATAGGCTATTGATGGGTATTTAAGATTTGTTTGATTTTTATAAATAAAACACTATAAATTAACGGTTGTTTTCAGTTTTAATTAAATATATACTCAACATTTCACTCGTTTGAATAAAATAAATAATTTCAATCACGATTTAAGTTATACAGCAAATGCGGTTTGGCTGACCGTTCAATAGATATCACAAATACAAGATTGCCCGGACTCATCTAGTCCGGGCGAAGATGACGTTACCGTCAAAACCTATCGAATTTTGTTTGCGGTCTGAATATATATAGCATCCCAGCCTTATTTTACTTAGTTAATAAAGAACGTGTTGCAAAAGATATTAAATGGTTACCAATTATCATCATTCGTTTACCCCATCGATTCGGTTACGGGTTACCACCTTTCGGTAACTCCGGTTACCATCATTCGGTTACGCAATCGCTTACCGGATACCACCATTCGGTTTCCAGCTACACTTATGCGTAACTCAACCAGTTACCGGTTAGCTCATACAAATATGGATACCGGTAATGTTTAAAAGTGTCACTTGTGCATTAAAAGTGCCAGTTTAATTTTCAGACAAACTACTAAAGTGCAGAAGTAAAATGGAAGTACATCACACTCTATGCAGTTTACCAATACACTAGCGCTTTTCTATTCAATTCAAACACAAAATTTAAGATTTGTTTAACACAGGTTCACCCTACTAATATCGTTCTTAACCCCTCTAACTAAGCTCCACCAGGTTGGGTTAGGCCCCATACCATTTATTTAATCACCTGACGCCTGAGCTTTCGAATTAGATGTGCTTAAAACATAATAAAAAGAAGTCTCCAAGCATTAGTTCACTCTTAAGCTTTTTCTGGCAAAAATTAGAACAAGGGATTCATACATAAGCAGGATTTAGTCATTCTTATGCCAAAATAATTGTTGTCTTCGTGTAAAATATGCATGTATTTACAAAAAAAAAAAAGATAAGTATGTATTCTATCAGTCCATCTAACTTTCATAGTACATCTGCTTAGTTTGAAACTAGACGGCGTTGTGTGTCAGATGTCTGCAATATTTATTATTATTATTCAAAACCCCCAAACTTTACTGTCATGAAAAATACTGTGACTACTGCATTGCAGGCGTTCACGGGCGGCGGTAGTCGCTTTCCATCAGGTGACCCGTCTGCTCGTTTGCCCTCTGCCATAAACAAATAATTAGCAAATACAAGCATAGTTTTAGAACAGTCAGCCAATGGTCAACGGTTTGAATTCTGAAAATTCATCAGTCTCCAATAAGCTCTTAAGCATAATTAACAATGCATAAGGTTTTTCAATAGGGGCACTGGTAGTGTTCTGCGGCCTTGTTTTTTTTATATTTATTTTGTTTTAACTTTTTAAGATCTACGCTGTATTAAAGAGTCCCACAAAGTTCACATGGCAATGTGAACTTTGCAGAATACCCACATGTCGTTTTAATAAAACCTCTTTTCATGGTGCGCAGGAAGCATTTAAATTATTAAATAGACGTCTTCACGGCGCGTGATAGCGACATCAGCCCAGAATATGTAACTTCGCTAGATTATGAATCTATTTTGTTATGAATCTTGAACCACCAGGGCGTGCCATCTATAATGGAGCCAAGTGATCATTGGGCAAAAATGCAAGATCATCTCATGATAGTCTGGTTCATTTCAAAGTTTGATCACTCTTAATAAAAAACCCTGTACAAATACACCTCTTTCTATTCAAACATAGCATCTTGGAGTTTCTTTATCTTCAAAGGCAGAATGTTAACCATCTCTCTGCATAATTGAAACTCCTCTTGCATCTTTGCTGCAGCCGCCTCACTTGCCATACATATATCCACAACAGCCTGGTAGGAGTCCAGGCTCTGTTGAACATGAATTAACTGCATACTCTTATCTACCGCAATTCTCTTCATGCTATTTCTACCTATAAAGGCATATGCACTTATTACAGGTCTTATTAAATCATCCGTTAATGTTGCAGGCATTTTTCCTTCTTTATCTTTTACAGAGTTTAAGAAAGCAGTATAGTTTTCAATGCTTTTTTCACAAAGCGTGTTTATTTTTTTAAGTGCATGAGGTATCGGATTCCCCTTAAGTTTATTCTGCTTATCAAGCTTTATATTCAACATCTCTGAGTAAACTTCACCAAGTTCAAACCATATTTGCCTGCAAAACTGTAAATAGTATACTGGATTGACTTGCTTTAGTAATTCTTCAAGCAGATCAACACGTCTTTTGTGCATTTTAGAGCGTCTGTCATCATCTTCTTCAAAGAAAGCCAAATAGCTGTATGACTGAGAAATGTCTTGAACAATTTCTATATAATCTGAAGCTAATGTATCAAGTTTATAGTATTCTTTTGCTTTATTTAACCAAATTTGACAACTTAAGAATACTTCTCTAGCATCTTGGTATGTAAGTAAGTATTGGTGTCCAATTTGGTTTTCGTACTTACTGACATCAAGGTCTGGGAAAGATAACTTGGTGACATCAATACCTTTGATCTCTTCATGGTCTTCAAATGTAAGTTTTGACAAACCTGTAATAAAAAATAAATTCATAACTTCGCTGTTTTTCTTTTCTTTTTCGCTTATTACTTCAGACCTCCATCATTAATTTATGAACTGATATTCGAAGAAAAAAATTCACCACTAAGGGTGAAAATTAGGGAATGAAGAATACAATTTATTACAGTACATCATGACATTGGCTCAATAATTTAGTTAATTTTTTATTTATTTCATGAATTAAAAAAGTTTACTAAAATACATTACTATCTAGTCCTGCCTTTCTTTTTTTAATTTAGTATTTTGTATATTGAGTTTGAACATTTAGTATATTGAGGTCATTTATAAATATATGATCTTAGGTACTTGTGTTGATGACCTCAATAATATATTATGAGAATATTGAACTGCTAATGGTTGTACGGATAGCCTATGACAGCATTAATTTCTTATTCATATCATCATCATCAACAGCCTTTAACAGTCCACCGCTAGACATAGGTCTCTCCTTACAAAAGAAGGTTTTGGCCTACTATACCACGCTGGCCAGCAGCTGTCTTTGCAGTGTCCTGAGTAATAAATAAATAAATCTAATGTATAGTAGGATGATTGGGGATGGTGACAATCCATATTCTTAATCCATCACCACACAGACTTATTCATATATATTTTCTTAATCAAACATGTCATATATATTTATGGTCTGTGTTTATACAAAAAATCCAGTGCTATTAAAACACATGATATTTTTTTTCATCTAGACCCCATTGTCATCTATCTACCCTTATCCCATTTTTGTTTTGGGGTTACGCAGTAAGTATTATATATATTATAAATTGTGTAAGTTGCAACAGTTAATAGAAAAGAATATCCATATGTTTTTACTACTATTTTTTTTTAAACACACCACATGTTCTGGCTGCAGGGAAGGTGTTAATGATTACAGTATAGTATTCGGTACTCGGTATTCGGTTTAGTGATTTGTCAGCTATATAATTAGTCTGTTATAAAAAGTACAGTATTAAGAAGTGGCAACTCAGTAACCCCTAAAAACACTGTAACCTTGTGCTGCAGGAATGACATATGTAAAAAGAAAAAACTTACCAGTTTCACAATCAAAAGGTTCTTCATCATCATGCATAAGCCTGTCTCTAGATGTAGACATTAATAAAATGCAATATTTAGCCCAACATCTTGCTACATCTGCAGATCTATGATTAAATGTCTCAACCTTTGCCAAATGTACTTCATCTTGACTCTCCGAAGATAATAATTGTTCTTGATACTTTTCTAACACACTTGAAGCTGCTGCTAAGTGGTGGCGAGACTGCACAAACCCATCTCGTTCTGCAAACACTTGTGCTAAAGTAGCAGAATTCAATGCCCAATCAATTGGATCATAATCTTTTAGTTCCAACTGCCTCCGTAATGTTATATGGCAGTACACTGCTGACTTTAAGTTCTTGTTTAATGAACCATATACTTGAGCTAAATAATACAGAGTTAATGTAAAAGCTTTTTCTAATTGAGAAGTATCACCGGTAAGTTTCTCATCTAATTCCTTCACAACATGCTCAATAGGCAGGGGTAACTCCAAAGTAAATTTAAAAGCGTCATATAATTCCTTAGCTTTGAACAAATAAGTTTTTGACTTCATTGGTTCATCACGGTTAAACCATAAGATCCCCAAATTATTATACACACTTACGAGTGTGATAACGATTTCTGGTCTATTACCATGTGGCTCAAGTAATTCGACAGCTTCTGACAATGTCTTCTCGCTTGACGCCAACTCTTCTGTATCCATCTCTATGCTGCCTATGTTGAGTAAAACAACCCCTAACATAGCACGTATTTTAATATCATCCAAACCTGTTTCAGAACCCAACAATTGCTTCAAACCTATATGCATACTCTGTAATATTTCTTTCGCTTTGTATTTTGAGAGGTAAGGGTTATTTTCTGGATCATTTTTGCTGTCTTCATCCAAAAGTTTACGGCTCTTGGAATAGTTCTCCTCAAAATCGTTGAGGATCTCTTTAAGAGACATCTCGTTAGTCATCTTCTAACAGATTTTAGGAAATCAATGTGTGTCTACTACAGAATACAAATTTCTATTACTACAATAGCAGCGCCATCGTTTACCGATGACTAAAGAAGCAAATATTTTTTTTAACTTTGGAAGTAATAAATTCTGTCAGTTTTGACGACTAGTATATAGTTATCTGTGGTTTTGACTTTTTAACCTACTCGAATAGGTTTTGTAAGCAGCTGCAGATTAAAAAATTTAAACATCAACTTTTTATGTTGGTTAAGTTTAATAAAGCCTGAATACTAAATAAAAACGAAAATCAGATATAAATATGAAAAGTGAAAATCAAAATTACTGAAATGGTCTTTAAATAAAATCACCCTAGATTATAATAACATAAGAAAGTCACTAAGGCTACTAAATTGCAAATAGCTTGTAAAATAGGTTTGCATTGCAGTAGTTTTAGCCACTCAAGGCGTGTGAACACTTTTAGGCGTTTTCCACTCATATTTTAACAGGGGCTAAGACCATTTTCACTTTCATAAAGTTCAAAGAAACTTTTCTTAAGCATTATGTTTCACTAGCTGACCCGCGCAACTTCGTAATAAATTTTCTCCGTTTTTGAAACATTCTTCATTGGTGCTCCGCTCCTATTGGTCTTAGCGTGATGATACCTATAGCGTGATGACGCCTATAGCCTTCCTCGATAAATGGGCTATCTAACACTGAAAGAATTTTTCAAATCGGACCAGTAGTTCCTGAGAAACAAACTCTTCAGCTTTATAATATTAGTATAGATTTTCGACCACATTTTATAGAAACCGTACACAGATAACAGAATAGATTTCAAATATTTGAGATTTTCATTATTGTTATATAAGCTAGATAAACTAGACAAGGATATTCATGATAAACGATGAAAAATGCTAGTTACCAACTTCTAATTTAACATAGCTTTTCTCGATATCTAATAATAATAATAATATAAGCCTTTATTCAGACATTACATTAATATTAAACTTATCGTAACGATTCGAACGAGTCGATTACCTACATGAACAACCCGGTCTGTTTGCCCAATTTTGGCAAAGGCCTTCTCCAATTTCTTCCACTCCGTTCTGTTTTGCGCTTTCCTTGTCCATATTTTTCCTGCTATGATGAGAGGCAGACAGCTTCGAAGGTGAGAAGATAAAATAAAATATCTTCTCACCTTCGAAGCTGTCTGCCTCTCTCTTTTTCTATCTCTTAGGTCCCAAATTATTATTTTATTGTTCCACTTTTCAGAGCCTCTCATTATATGACCTTAATGTGTTTTCGTAGTACCTAAAGTATTAAACATCTAACGTAGACTGTAATGTGATTATATCGTATTGTAAGATTGTAACCGAAAATTGAATCGGTAATCTGCTGGTCTTAGTAATACTTTAATATTTCACTCCGAAAATACATTTCATGACAGTTGCGAGATCGAAAGTTGATCGGAGCTGAATTGAGACCGAACTTTTATTACGAGGATTGGCCTTCAGTCTATTTCCACTTCAATATTCTTATTCTGGTAGTGATATCAACAAGTTTTATGCGCTTGCTGATAGTTTGGTTGCTTATTCTATTGGACTTCCTTACATTTAGCATGCATCTTTCCATTGTTGTTTGGCATGTTTTCAGTTGTGAGATCGAAAGTTAATCGGAACTGAGTTGGGAACGAACTGTTATTACGAGAATTGGCCTTCTGATGAAAGTTGTCAGGGTTAAATAAACTATTTAAATCCGGTGTCTGAAACACTAGATTTTTTAAACATGTAAACATATGTGCAAATTAATTTGAAAATACCGATTAAAAATGGTTTACTCACTATTTTCAAATTAATTTTAGTGTAAAAGATTAAGAATATGGAGTGTGGGGTGGTGACTTTATCCAATGGGTGTTGTTAGAATCCACAGAGGGAGCAAGCTATGCAGGACAACAGCACTGCAAAAGAAAACTTGAGACAAATCCTAAATAAACCTGTCTGGCCGGCGTGGTTATAGTAGGCGAAAACGTCCTTCCTAAGGAGCGGCCTATATTCAGCAGTGGACTATTAAAGGCTGTTGACGATGATGATGGACATTATAGGTTCTGACAAAAAAAAACAATGTTTAAAAAGAATAAGTCACATTATTTGCACTGTTTATTCTTAAATAAAGTTATCTCAAAACTTTACACATTATCCATCACATCTATGATGGTTTTCCTACATAGTGATCGGAATTTAGGTGCTAATTGAGACGATATCACTAGTATGGATATGACGATATTCCCTGAATTCTGGTAATTATGGTTAGGCTTAAATTTATTTAATATTATTTTAAATGTATAGCAATCGAGTTTGTTTAAGGAATAGATTTATTCATTCGTATTAAGCATTTAGATTTAAACAGTAGTGTCTTACAAATTATCATACATCCTTAAAAGTGCAACAGAAAAAAATTAAAACATTCTGAAATTGTTTTGTTTAAGGGTAGCGCTACATTAAGTAATTTTAGATATCCCAAAGTGTTTCATCTGAAGTTTACCTACTACACAATACCTTGACAAAAGTCAAACCTGATTTCGTACCAAACTAAATTTGTTCTAGGCCAAATCGATGTATCCTACATTATGCATGTCAAGATATACTTGTGTAGGTATAAAATCTAGTAAATAAACCAGTTTGGCTGAAACAAACTAGTTTGGCATGATATTGGGTTTGCCCAGCAACATTACATTGTTTATTGTTGGTTTTTGCAAAATTATTTACATGGACCTGTTATTCTACTTATTTCTTTTTTTTTAAATAACCTTTATGTACCTAGTAAATGATTATTTCACATAATTATTAAAAAAATGTTGTATAGAAGTACAAAAATCATTATCATTCAGAATTCTAATTCCCGAAAATTTTTGGTCAAAGTACCGATTCCTGGGATTTTTGATCATACCTATACTTTTGATAGTAATAGCACCCAAGATTCTGATATATATACATCACTCATATCATTCGGCATGATTCCCTCATTCACAAATATTAACATAATTTTTCATCTTTATTATTTACATTGTACTGTTGAAAAATGTTAAAATATAAAAAAAAAGGTATAAAGTCAGTCCGTATAAAATTGTGTTACTACAAATGCAAAACAAATTCATGAATAAGGAAAGATACCCATATTTCTAGTTAACAATATAGTTAAGTAAACAGTGCTTACTATGAATGGCATAGCCAATAATACGTGTTAGGAACCTGAAGGAGGTTCTTGGTCCTCCATCGATAGGGCTCTAGGAGGAGGTGTGTGGGCATTTAGTTGAGAAAATACCTCTTTTTCACCTAACGCAAGAGGGTCAGGCTGAGTTGCAGGCTCAGAGTGAGCATAATCCATCATGGGGGTAGGAGAAACGGGTCTTACAATGCCAGCTCCAGTTGCTTCCTGTTCCTCTAAAAATCTATCCATGTAATCTGTATGACCTGGATGCAAGGTATACTTTTTCTTTTCTAATCTTGCTTTGTTTGCAAAAATATCATGCCTCTCTGTTTTCTTCCATATATAGTAAAACTGTACAAGTTCTCCAACTGACCGTGTTCTCACCTTGTGCTGTCGAATTAAATGGAAATCTTTGCCATGAGCTTTCAAACCATTTTCAAAGTTGCGACATTCTTCTTCTGACCAAAGACTTGCATGAGCAGGAGTTTGTGCTGATATTCGTCTTCTTCTTAAGGCCTCTTCAACATTGTGACCACATTGCTGTAATAAATATAATGCTTCTTCGTCATCTCTAAGCTGCTTACCTCGAGGTACAGCATCAATTCCTGTTGTTGAGCTCATCGCCCCGATTTTTCTCATATAATCCTCTGTTACTTTTTCATCTAAGGTACATGGGTTCCATAATAATTTGTCCTCATTCTCATATGGTAGTGCATCATCATAGCTACATAAACCTTCAGGTATTGCAGCTTGGTAGTCACTCCCAACCATGATTGTCTTTTTCCAATCATCTTCATCAGGACTATAATCATAGTCATCTTCTTCTTCAGAAGGTGGCCTTGACCCGGATCTAAGGCATCGTGTGGCTTCTGGACTAGTAGTCTCACTGTATAATTGTTGCAGTGCCGATTCTGTCTTCAGTTCAGGCTCCTCTGGTACCACTTCAGGAGCTGGTTCTTGAGGTATAGGTTTATCCATGGTTCTATCGTATCCGTATAACGCCAATAGTTCCTCTAAAGGCATATCACCTTCTCTTTGAAGGCTGTTCAATTCGGCCTTGGGGTCCTGTTGCTCTCCCGCTGCTAAAGCTTCTTCTTCGTCTAATGTTCTTTCGTCATCAAAATCATGTACCATCATATCAACAGTGGGCTCGAATAGAGACTTGTCGTTCCCCACGTCCATGCTCGCATCGTGTTCGCTTACATTGGTCACCAGCGCGCAATCTGACATGACTATACCCCACTTCAATATTGTAACACTACAACATTATAAGTATTCAATGATGTAATTATTAATTTGCGTAATTTAATATTAAAATAAATAGAAAACATTACAACTATGACATATTATGCGAATATTTAAGAAATATACTCAAGAACAAAACAAAAATATTTTGACACGAAAACGACAACCACAGCCTTGTTGAAACTTTTTAAATTATTTCACATCAAAAATGAAACTGAGTCTTTTTATCTACATTGTTTGATTGGTGAGATGCACGATTACCCCCTAATAGATTCCGCATACAGAGCCATAAAGGCGCGCAACACATAGGTATTACACGTAGGCACGTCCGAGTTCTTTCTAATTTAAAATAGTTTTATATACATTTATTATGATGGTATAATATTTTTAGGGTAAGCAAATTATATTATGATCACGTTACCTTATTTCAAATGCACTGGCGTTCATCTATAGTGGTGCATAGTAATAACAATTAAGCATCCGTTGATGAAATATCCTTTCTAAGTGCTCTACTTAGAAGGATATTTCATCAACGGCCTATGTCCAGCAGTAGACTATTAAAGGCTGTTGATGATGATGATGATGATCCGTTGATGTCTTTTTGAAATGTCTCTTTCACTCATTACGTAAATTACAAAAGTCTTTGTCTAATGACAGCTCATGTATCGATATTGTTGTGATTTATAGGTCGATATTTGTTTGGTCATCCTTTGAAGTTTTGGTATTGAAGTCATTATTTTGTAAAAATAGTGGCGTATCTTTGTGGTATATTTTATGGGTTTCCTAAATTTCCCAAAATAAAAGGATGTACATAGGCGAGGGGATGATTGGATTTCTACCAAAATGGTGTGATATGCTCAAGACACTTCAGAGAAGACAATCTTCACATTATGAAAAACCGCTATAGCCGATAACCGATAGCTGTTGGAAGACAAGGAAGATATAATTACAGTTAGATTAATTTAAGCAGACCCGAATCTAAAAGAACAAGATTTTAGCATACTGTAACCATTCAGCCAAATTATGAAAACGGGGAACTGATAAGTAAAAAATCTAATCTTTGGGGTAGTATCTTCATCTGTTCCTTAAACAACTTTACTTTCTTTAAACATATTCTAATGAGTTATTAGATATTTGGACCCAAAAATATCAATTTACACGTAGACAGCTTATAGGTGTAACATAATTTAACTGTACTTGTATGATTTATTACATAATTTGAGCATGTATTAGAAATGAAAAGGTACAACTTACAGGTTTTACAAGAATTATTTTAAAAGTATAGTGCACAAATTTAAATATAGAGTTATATATAGAGTTATATATAGAGTTATATAGAGTTAGTGAATATTATTATCTACAAAAGAAGGTACTCAAATTTAACCTAAGCTTACTTAGATCACGAAATTTTTTAAATCTTGTTTTTATTCTCCTGTAAAGTATTGTTTTTTTACTTGTATCACTTTTCAGAGTAGGCACTGAAATATATATAAATTGTTTTATTTTTTAAATAAATATCAAAAAAAACATTGCTCCATATAATTGTTTATCAATAATCAAGAATAAAATAAATATCAATCATCAATCCCAACCGTGTCCCGTCACTGTGATTTGGTGCATTTTATGTTTGACTAAAATATCCAACCACAGCGGATTTGACACGTCCCCCGCAACCCTTGCATACCGCCATATTTGGTGAACTAAAATCGGAATAAATAATAAATAATACGGAATCTATTAGGGGGTAATCTGTGGTGAGATGTTTTCCTTTAGCCATCAAACGAGTCCTATTCGACCAATTTTTTTCAGATCCAATCAATACAAAAATTGGTCTAATGTTAAAAAAATATCAATGAAGTAGTTCGTGAAAGTAAGTATTCTGATTTTCTTTTATAATTAAAATTTTAAATAACGTAAGATTAAATCATAATTATACGTTCTTAAAAACTAAGCTTTTGGTGCTAATTTATGTTGTTCGGAAACTCTCGAAACTAAACTAAAAACACTTGTTTAGTTCTGTCAAACAAATTTTCGTATTCTGAAAACGTAATATTTGACAGGACAATTTTTTTTTAGAGTGTTTTAGTTTAGTTTAGAGAGTTTTCGAACAACAAAATTAGTACCATTATATATATTTATATAATCTACAATACTGTAGTTTAATGGACTAAAACTTCAGATATAATATGGAATATTTTGTAAACTTATCAAGGTTATAGAAACTATGTGAAAAACCGAAACCAATATTTTAGACAAATCTCAATTTTCAGAGCCTATGAGTCTGATTTGAAAAATTCAAATAAAAACAATATTATTTTGTTAAGAGCTTTTATATAAATGTTTACACTATAACCCATTGGATTAGATCTATAAGTATATAGGACAACCAACGGGTAAAATGTTGTTCACCATGAATGAATCATGAAGTATAGCAAGAATAACCACCTAGCTAGCTATACATCGAGTCTCAAAAGGCCAAGGCACTAAAATCTTAATCTGAATTTAAAAAAGTAAACGTCAGTGAATGTCAAACAAATATCTGTCAAGTGAATGCGCTGATTGCGCTGTCCTAAGGAGAAATTGTTACCTATTTGTAATTTATACCAAATTAAAATGTTGTTTGGACATATTTCAATAAGAATAAAATAATTTGATTTTCATGCAACATAAATCAATACAATGTTGCTGAAGTTATTTATACTGTTTGTAGCTGTCGTCAAAGTAACGTATAGTTTTTCCGACGTAGGAAAATGGGAATTACCGCTGAATGGGGTAACAATGTTTTATTTTATTTATACATATAAACATATTTTGCATTATTTTTATTATAATATATTTCAAAGGACATGACGATTAAACGCTTGAACTAAATGGTACAAATTTAAACGCCTATTTATGTGGTTGTTCACCTTCTGAGTCATACCTTACATAGAAATGTAAATACTTGACCATATGTATACTTTTTATAAATATATTTACCTCTCTTATTAATGTGCCGCCTATTTAAAAACTTATGTCGTAATTGAAAACAAATAATACTTTCATTATTAAAATTAGTAATCTTTATGTAATTGGTGTTTATGCAAGATACCTACTAGGTTGTTTACTAGATAGTTTTACTCCATCGTTTCACTACATAATTTGATAATAATTACAGTATAGGTTTTAAACTCTTTTTAATGATATATGCACAATGTAAAAAAAATATGTAGCACCTGTCTCACTAACTTTTTAAATGAATATGTCTTTTTTATTATAATTGACAGAATATAGTTATATTATACAGGCACAGACATCTTTTTAAAGAGCTAGTTGATTATTGAATATTATATTATAGGTTAGTTGATTATTGTATAAGTAATGATTTTTAATAAATTTTTTCAGGAGAGTTGTGTCTTCACACTAGCTAAGTCACTATTTCAGGATTCTAAGCTTATTGTAATGTGTAAGTATACCTATTATTCATTATTTATAACTCTTTTTACTAATAATTAAAAACAAGAACTGTAGTCAAAATTACTTCCTTGACATTATCCATAAACTATTTAATGCACACATAAAAAAAAAAGTTAAATATCAATTAACAAGTATAATTACTAATAGATACCACACCATATTAACACCATTTTTAGTTCATGAATTTCAATGAAATGTTTATTTTAATGGAGTTCTTTTTGTTTGTTTTTAATTAAATACATACCCAAAGTGAATATTGTTTTACTAGTGTATGTGATAATTGGCATATGTCAGGCAACAAACAACAGGAATACTTTTCCAAACCACCATACCATTGACACCTTACTATCTCTCATTAACGGTATGGTACGGTCACAAAATGTAAATGTTCATTGGAATGAATGTCAACTTGGGCTTAAAGGAAGGGATAGGACTATTCCTGACATCAGACAGAAGAATTACTGAACATACTGACATAGACATGAGACAGAATCAAGACAAACAAGAGGAATTAGCACTAAAAGAGTAGCAATGCACTTGTGTCACTTGACTGCATGAATGGTGTAGTGGTTTAAGTGGTCACCTCGCCACTACCTACTGCACCGAGTGTTGTAGGTTTAATCCCCACATGGGACAACTTTGTGTAATCCATAAACTAAGTTCTGAGTCTGTTTGTTCTGTGTGTCCTTTTCATGAATGTTTTGAAACTTACATGCGACACAGGATTCATTCATAGTGTTGGTGTTGTCTTTTTCATAAAAAAAGGAAAAAAGAAAGTTGCAGGTGTTCATGGCTGTCATACAAAGATTTGTGTTCTTATATTATTGTGTTCTTATCCATTTTTTGGTTGCTCTGATTTTAATTGAAGTGTCTTTTTTAATTTGGTATAAGAAGACTTGCTTGCAGGAATTGTTTAATTTTAGCCCACTTAAGTTAGAGCATTGTTTGAAGCACTACTAGTCCTTACTTGTTTTAAATTATATTAGTATTAATTTAAGTTGAAATTGTAATAATATGGCTAGTTTAATTCTACTATAGTCCACTCGTATTTCTATAATACAAAACATCAAATATGTTAGTCAATAATAAATATACAATCTTTAAATGTTTAAGTCATTTTCTAAATGTGGTATGTTTTGAAACACATATATGTTAATTGTTTCTAGCTTTTATCCGCGGTTTCGGTCGCGTTAATGTCGATTTCGTTAAACAATTTTTCCTTGTTAAACAGTAGCCTATGTCATATTCGAGATTATAATCACTGTGCCAAATTTCATCCAGATCAGGTCAACCGTTCTGGCGTCAAATATATGGATTTATGTGCCTATGGAGGTACATAAATCTTTGCAATTTTCGGGTTTATAATATCGATGGGGTATGTAAATCCTTTTAAAATTGTATAGATTTTTGTACTTTTGAAAATACTTTAGTACCATAGGATTTATTCTTTGTGTAATATTTCTTAAAATTAGAAATGACTGTAATGCTATTAATCTGCACCAGTAATTTCCTACTTTTATGGGTCTTTTGTCATTACCAGATATAAATCCTAATCCTTGAGATTGACTGAAAAGGGACGGAAGACGTGTAACGCGTGAAATGGCGCTATTTGATTTGACCAATGAGCGCGCCTTGTTCTAGAGTTGGCTGTCAGTTGAGCCTGGTGAGATGTTAAATATTACATATCGTAGGCGACTACTGTAAGGCTCGTTTTGTATGCTATCTTCTTCTTCTCAGCCGTAGACGTCCACTGCTGGAAGTATGCTATAACTCTTTTCAATACTCAATTATTTATTTGCATTCTACAATTTGTACTTAGGTGGTAGGTTTAACATTAACAGTTCATCATGGACCCTGTCAGGCACAGCAAAATACATTTAAAACATGTAAAAAAATGGAATAGAAATTACGTTAATTTGAATAGAATTTAAAAGCTTCTCAGAGCCTATACACAATATCTATTATTCATCGTTGAAACACCTAATTCAATGCTATGTATGATACGTATTAGTAGATAACATCTCTAAATTATACCTATTAGTATCGATTTATCAATCCATAGATCTATATTCTGTTTAACCTGAGTCTCCGTTATTATTTACATGTATTTGCTTATTTCCGTTGTTAAAAAAGTTAATCGTTTCTGTGAGCCACCAATAATAGTATTAAATAATATCTTATCTTATTTTTTGTTGTCAAATACTATCAAATCACTATTTGATGTTGTGATTCACCGACTTATAAAGCTATTTATACAATTTGTAATGTTATCTGACCTATATTATAAATATTAACCAGGAGCCTAAATAAATCGGTCAATCAGAGTAGATTTAAATTGTTAATGTAGCCAAGATATTTTACAAAATACCCTTACATAAGATAAAGTAAGATACCTTAAACAAAAGGCGAAGCCAGAGGCGATCATGGGCCGTAAACAACCGCCTGGTATTTCATGGCTTTCTTTGATCTCCGGAGACTGCAGTGAATACCCGCAATATTGCCTCGGTATTGACCCGCAGGTGTGTCCCAGCAGAATCTTCTAAAAGGATAGAAAGTTGCTTCCTCTGAAAGAATTCCTGTGCTGCAGCCCTACCTAAATGATAATGCTGTGGTGTCCTATAACTGAAGGAGTATACTGTTCAAAAAACTCTGTCTGTAATATATGTACCTTTGTCTATATCCTTTGTTGGAGATCCAATAAATAAATAATAGACTGGAGCGTTTCCATCAAGCCCGCACACAATTGTGTTTCGACGGAAAGGCTAATCCTTCACGCTTCCTAATGGCGTAGGCGGGCACCAAATAATATTCGGTTAAACTTTTGCTTTTGAAATAGATCTGAACCCTTTTGTAACATTTACATTATTCTCATATATCATCGCTTGGAGCTACTATCAACGCTTGGCGATGCGTAGAGATGTACCTTTATTCTGCATTCTCTATTGTTTGTATCACGGAGATTGCTCCAGGAATTGTTTGGACTAATACCGGTCGCAGATTTCCGCCATCGTTAAAACACCCATTTCCATCACTTGGATGTGCACTCCATGACTATGCGCTTAACAAGAAATTTATGCCCTCGCACAGACACTCTGTGGAACAAATTGTCACCAGTCATATTGCCGAACCGATACGACCTTCAAAGAAGAGCGTTCTCAAAGGCCGGTGACGCGGTAGTCACTTTTCATCATAATCATAATCTTCATTTATCCGTAACATAAAAAAAAGTACTCTTGGATCGAAAAGATTTTACAGAACTAGTACACAATTCGCCAAATCATTCCAATAACAGCACTTTAAGTATATATTTGGCTAATGTGGTTTATTACTCTACAATCGGGACCCGTTTTTACTTATCTTTGCCAATTGTATTATTATAGTAGTAAGTTTAACAAGATGTTTTGCACCTTTAATATATTGAACATTTGTATAGCGTGATACTAGTCGTATAGACACAATTCAGTAGTCATATAATCGTGTTTTTTGCTGTAAGTAAGTAAATAAAACCTACTTACGTACAGCACAATACTTATATTATCATATATAGTTTGCTTACGTTTCGCAGTAACAGTAACTATTATCACTTATCAGTTCGATGCCAATCAATACGTCATCTGAACTCGCAATGGACATTTTACCAGAATAACTATAATGTTATCATGAAGTATGGCTGTTTTTTAAAAATATGGGATAAGGGGCAAACGAGCAGACGTTTCACCTGATGGAGAGCGATTACCGCCGCCCATTAACGCTTGAAACTCAGGAGTCACAAGCGCGTTGCCAGCCTTTGAGGAAGGAGAACGCTCTTTTCTTGAAGGTCGTATCGGTCCGGAAATACCGCAGCCGATAACTTGTTCCACAGATTGGTAGTGCGAGGCAAAAAGTGTCTTGAAAAGCGCATAGTGGTGGAGCGCCAATTATCCAATTATTTATTATTATTAATTGTTATTTATTTATAACCGTTTAGTTCTTAGTCGATACTTCACGCCTTTCACCCTGAATAAACTACCTCTTTCTTATAAGGGAATAAATTGCTCTTGATACTTCCAGCTGTTGCACTGCCTTGGCTAGGATCTCCCATAGGTATGAGCCGTTCGTGTAGAACTGCTGCTGGCTAAAGAAGTTTTGAAAGTATGCTATTTATTACTAAGGTTTTATGTTTTCAAATTAACTAACAAAATAAACTTTTAATAACTCCTTAGTTTTTATAATTTTCGTGACATTCATACAAATAAATGAAAGAATTATAGTGTAAGAGCGAAAGAAGTGGTTGCTCCAGGTGCCAAGTAGCCAAATGCGAACAACTATTTCAAGTCAACGAAATGCGTCAACAAAATGAGCTGAAAGACAATTTTACTTTATCCGGGTTATAGGCTAGGGCCGGTGCCGAGTGTTTTTTCTAGATGATACCTGTTTTTTTAAGTGACTTCAAAAACACGAGAAGGTTCTCCTCGTTTTAATAATAATTGGGACGGTGTACTTCCCGTTTTGGTCTCATTCAACTTGAAGATGTGGTAGACCAACCCTGTGGTAGAAAAATTAAGGAATTAAGAATTCAGTTTATGACAATTCATCATGATGTAGTCGTATTTTACTCAGTTGTACTTTTCTAATAGTTATTTATTGTTCTTTTGTTTCAGTTAAATGTGATGTAACAAATTCGACAGATGTGACAGTTACCTATATGTGGGCAAAGACAAAATGCTCGCCAGATTATTTACATTATTTTGAACAGGTATCGTGTATTTTATGTTTGTAAGTTGTGGAATTTTCCATAAATAAGTCTTTATACTTTTTGAAATATACTTACTAGTAGCTGGTACCCTCGACTACGTTCGCGTGGAATTTGGAAAGCGCTGCCTTAGCGATACGCGACTGCAGTTCATGAGGCTTCGGGTTCGATTCTCGGACCGGGCAAAATTTTACTCCTCATATAGACAGCTACCTGGTAGTAAAATATTATCAAAATCGATCCAGCCGTTGAGCAGATTACCCGGAGCAGACAGTCATTTTTTTATTTAAACTGGTTTTTAGGCATAGGCATCGTGCGAATAACCGTTTGAGCATGAAAAAACCTATTATGTTGACACTCCAATTTTATTTATTTGTATAGATAAATGTACTTATGGTTTGTGTCAACATGAGGCCACATCTATTAATAGATTTTATTTAGGTTATTTAAAAAGTTCATGTGGATGATGGTATACTATTTTCATTTAAAGAAAAGGGTGCATGCTTCTACCGTGCTCGGCAGGCCTGAGAGGCAGAATTTACGTTGCCGTGTACCTACTACAGTGTTACTTTCACGGCAATTATTGATTCTCTTTTTTCAGCAACAAGTAGTAGCATGTTCTAACAGAGTTGAGAGATCGATCGATGATAATGGGACGAGCCCGCTGCAAGTACTTAAAGAGGAGACGAAGACGCTCACGTGTAATGACAATCATCTCGTATCATTCGATGATAGCAAGGCGTCTGATGCAGCTAAGGATACCACCGGGGTGGTAAGTTACGTTTCTACTTACTTGTGGTCAACGAAGTTGCTTTGTTATCTGTACTTGAGAAGGTGTGGTGATCGAATTGAGACAATTGAATCGAATTGTTCATTAATTATTAAATGTACATATTGTTTGCTGCTACGCCAAAGGTCGCGGGTTCGATTTCCGCTCAAGTCAAACATTTGTGTGCTTTATTTTTTTAATATTTGATTTTGTCTGGGTGTTTCTATGTATAATATGAATGTATTTACAAAAAAAAGTATAGATCTATTTATATCAGTTGTCATAATCCTCTTTCTGGGGCAGACGGGTAAAAAAGATTTTGTTTTTTATAAAGACAACTCCCGCATTAGGAATATATCCTGTGTCGCGAGGAACTTTACAAACATACATTAAATGGACACAAAGAACACCCACACTTAGCTCAACAATTTATGTATCACATGAAGTTTTATACCATGTGAGGATCGAACCCACAACACTCAGCGCAGTAGAAATTTACTATTTATATCAGTTGTCTAGTACCCATAGTACAAGCTTTTGCTTAGCTTGGGACTAGATAGCGTTGTGTGAATGTCGTACAATATTATATATATTACTAGCTGACCGGGCAAACGTTGCTTTGCCTAAAAAAAAATTTAGGGATGGGTCACCCTTACCATTTAGTTGTATGAAAAATAGATGCTGGACCTACCCGATGTGCACACAAAATTTCATGAGAATCGGTCAAGCCGTTTCGGAGGAGTACGGGAACGAACATTGTGACACGATAATTTTATATATGTATAAGATTATTTATAATAATATTTTAATCTCTATAAACCGTTATCGTGGGAGAACTATGCTCATATGGGCCAGGCTCGTCAATAATACCACGGCCTCAGAAAACCGGTTTTAAGCAGTTCCTTCATTGCTTTTCATCGAGTGAGTGCGGTTACAGGAGCATAAACCCTTCCCCTGTTGCTGGGCTACAACGCACTTGTGACTTTTGAGTTGGAGGTGTTCCTGGGCAACGATACTGGTAACGGAGGGACTTTACAAACATACATGAAACGGACACAAAGAACACCCAGACTCAGAACAACTATTTGTGGATCACACAAAGTGTCGTCCCATGTGGCGATCGGACCCACAACACTCGGCGTAGTAGTAAGCGGCGTGGCTACCGCCTAAACCACTACGCCATATGTGCAGTCAAACTACGTACTATGCTAGCTCATTGAGATTCGCGATCTGTTCTGTTCTGATATGGCTTGAGGTGGATCACTGTGTCGCTCAATTTCTTACGGGTCATGGTAACTTTAAGAGCAAGCTTTATTCATTTAAATTAGTCGAGTCACCATTGTGTCAATGCTCAACACCTAACTCTCACTATGAACAGTCTGCTCATCATATCCTCTGGGAATGTAGTCTTTGGTATAATGAACGTAATATAATGCTGAATAGCTTGCAGGTGACATCTGGGGCGGTATACTATGGGGATCTTGTGTCAACTAGGGTGAATTTCCGTGCGTTTAGGCGATTCTGCCATACATATTATAGAAATCAAACATAGCTCACGTAGGACCCGTATTTGTGGCCGTGGTGCTTCCCTGTTTAAAAGGGTGTATGCCCATTTTACTTCATTTTGTCTGCCGCTTTGCTAAGGAGGGAAGTGGATTTACTGTATTTCCAACTCCTCCAATTTTCTTCTGATTAATTTCGTTGCGGGTTCCAAGACAGTTTAATTTCTTCTTGGGACTTCCCGAGTGTCATAACTCGGTGTGTTCGTGGGTCACTGCTGTGGATCCTGGTGTACAGGAGTTACAGTGGTGGACGTGTGGGTGGGATTAGTCCCAATAGCTCATTGAGACTGTTCTAATAAGCCCAAACATGGTATATATGGAGGAGTTGGCTGCAAGTTCCAGGTCACCATGTCGTGGAAATACCATCAAAGTAACAGTATACCAAATTTCAGATCAATCGGATCTGTGGAATTTAGTGAGATCCCTTCATCATCTAGGAAGTGAGCTGACGATCTGCGAAATTTATAGCCAAGAACCGTCTCAATCACATCGACTTTCGAACAAAAAATCCACATCGAAATTGGTCCATCCGTTCGGGAGCTATGATGCCATAGACCTACGCAGGTTCAACTTATAACATGAATGAAACGTGAAAATCGGTATGCGAATACACGATTCCTGTTAGGTATATATTCTTCAGTTTTCCATTAGTAACGGAGGGACTCCAAGGGCAGCAACGCACTTGTGACTGTTGAGTTGCAGGTGTCCATGGGCGACGATACCATCAAGTGATCCGCCTGCTGGTTTCCCCCCCATACCATAAAAAAAACCGATAAAACCCGTTAAACCAACATGCTAGTTATCAATGTTTTAAAGTTTAGTACTGACTATAAATGTATAAACCTTGTTGTGTTCTAAAGATAACGCTTGCTTGTTTTTAACGCTTGTATTTTCTATGTAGGTAATATAGATTATTTTCCTTCCTCTTCACGTAACAGTGATAAACTTACAATGTTATATGTTAAATTCATCAATATCGTTCGGTTTTCCTATTAACAGTTCCAAAGAATCTTTTTTTTTGTCCTATGCCGATATGAGTTAGCCGGTCAGATGTCTGTTTAAAACCAGTTTAATTCTTTCGAAGATGGAGCAATATGTTATAGTTCACACGGGCTATTTGCTGCAACTCCACGCCAAAGCGACTATGCGAGAGAAGACTCTTCCTCTATTTTGTCGTTTATGTTGTAAGGTAACTTTTTGGCCTATGCCGATATGAGTTAGCCGGTCAGATGTCTGTTTAAACCCAGTTTAATTCTTTCGAAGATGGAGCAATATGGTATAATTCACACGGGCTATTTGCCGCAACTCCACGTCAAAGCGACTATGCGAGAGAAGACTCTTCCTCTATTTTGTCGTTTATGTTGTAAGGTAACTTTTTGGCCTATGCCGATATGAGTTAGCCGGTCAGATGTCTGTTTAAACCCAGTTTAATTCTTTCGAAGATGGATCAATATGGTATAGTTCACACGGGCTATTTGCCGCAAGGACTATGCGAGAGAAGACTCTTCCTCTATTTTGTCGTTTATGTTGTAAGGTAACTTTTTGGCCTATGCCGATATGAGTTAGCCGGTCAGATGTCTGTTTAAACCCAGTTTAATTCTTTCGAAGATGGATCAATATGGTATAGTTCACACGGGCTATTTGCCGCAAGGACTATGCGAGAGAAGACTCTTCCTCTATTTTGTCGTTTATGTTGTAAGGTAACTTTTTGGCCTATGCCGATATGAGTTAGCCGGTCAGATGTCTGTTTGAAACCAGTTTAATTCTTTCGAAGATGGTACAGTTCACACGGGCTATTTTCCGCAACTCCACGTCAAAGCGACTATGTGAGAGAAGACTCTTCCTCTATTTTGTCGTTTATGTTGTTAGATGACTTTTTGGAAGAAAAAGTATTCCAGAATTGATTACATCGCTGGCTCCGTTCAGTTGAATAATTCATACTTATATTATAAATGTGAAAGTGGGTTTGTTTGTTTGTTACGCTCTCACGCATAAACCACTAAACCGATTTTTAAAATCTTTCACCAATGGAAAAGTCCATTATTAGCGAGTAACATAGGCTTCTTTTTACTATGAAAACCGACAAACACGCGGGCGGAGGCGCGGGCAAAAACTAGTAATAAATAAAAAAATGTTATTTCAAGGAAACTAATAAGTTGACTCTTAGTTTAGTATTATTTTATCTATATTAATACGTAACGAGAGTTAATTGCATCTTCTTTTTAGAATTTCCTTTTGTTTTGCTCAAGAAGGAATATTTAAAGTTTATTATGTAAAAGGAAGGAAGCTATTTTTTTAAAACTATGTGTTACAAAAAAGAGTGTACTCCTACTTTAAAGGCTGGTAACACCCTTGTGACTCCTGAGTTGCAGGCGTTCATGGGTGACGGTAGTCGCTTTCCATTAGGTCATAGGTGACGCGGCTGCTCGTTTGCCCGCTATACCAAACAGAAAAGGCTACTGAAAGTAATAAATCCAGAATGTTAAGCTAGTACTCACACGGAAAATCTATAAAATGACAATTGAAGTCATAGAGTTGATGACCCGAAAAGATAAAAAAAAAGGTTTTCGGGAGTCCCTGCTTTGGTTTTTCGAAATCACCGCAGTTATGGGTGGTTGGGATTCATCTCCTAAAAAGTCTGCTATAGAATATATCGACTACTTATCAATTCCTCTTGCAGAAACCTCGCCGCTCGCTGTTGACAGTCGAGAAGGAAGGTATCTACGTGTTGAAGATGACCGTGTCTTCCAAGTTCAAATTCAAGGCTACCGTTAGTGTAGAAATGGTTTCACCGTCGGGCTATCTCAGTGCGGCCATCTGGCCCTTATTGCCAGTGAGTATTTTTGGTTATATTATATCTTCTGCTTTCCTATTGTATTCTTAATATTTCTAATTATTATTATTTTCTGCTTTTACTTTTAGCTTTAGTTCAACGCATTTATTCCCTAAAAAGAAGTTTATTTTATTTATGCGATACAAAGGTTTAAATAACACAGAAATGTAGAGAAATCCTATTTTATTTGTTCTTCATCATTTTTCACCATAACGAGATCTGATTTTTGAAAACTTTTTGTTGAATATAGACGTGTAATAATTAAAAGGATTATATTCCTACATATAAATATTATATTTTACAAACAAAATATAACACTAGGTTGTTTCTTTTAAGCCTTATTGTATTTTCCGACCGTACTTTTGGTTTTTAATTATATATTTTCCATTTACATCTAATATTTTATATTTGCTAGTGGTTCTATCTTCCCCCAGTTTTTCGGAGTAATGTGTGGAGTATACACTTTGCTGTGCACCGCGTGGCTGCTGGTGTGCTGGCTGCAGTGGCGCGACCTTCTCCGCATACAGTACTGGATCGGAGGCGTCGCGCTGCTGGGAATGGTGGAAAGCGCCACGTACTACGCCGTATACTCGAATATTAATAGCACTGGGTATGTTACTTAGATTAGCTACAAAAAGTATATTTAAACCCCTATTTAAATATATAAACTGCAAAACTAACTGTCAATATCCTCTGGGGGCGCTAGAGGCGAGCCCTATTCTGAGCGGTCAGAGCCGCCGCCCATACTGGTGCACCGTACAGTGCCATGTACAATCGTCTTGTCGCGACGTTTAACACCCAAATTAGGTAAAAGTCGCCCTATATTCCATAGGAGGGGTCAAAGAACAGACCCCTGCGGAACATCGCACGACATGGGCCGATTCTTGAGATTACCATCTCGGTCCTCGTACACGACGGTACGCTCCTATTTAAATATATAAACTGCAAAACTAAGCCTCCCTATTTAAATATATAAACTGCAAAACTAAGCCTCCCTATTTAACTGCAAAACTAAGCTCGCTTCGAGAGTAAATCCGCTTGCAAAATGTAGCTTTAAATTGTCGTTTAATTGTTAAAAACATAATAACTTTGTAAAATTCTCTATGATTAACTAGGTTAAAAGAAATTATCGTTTCGTACGAAAATTTTAAAATCAAACATTACAATCGCTTATTTGATGATAGCAACGTCAAACAAGAGAGAAACTGATTTGACTTTACAGTCGACTGACGTTGTTTTTTAAATTGTGGGTCAGGCCTTCGGCTCTCCATCACTGGAACTAATCTATACTAATATTATAAAGCTGAAGAGTTTGTTTGTTTGTTTGTTTGTTTGAACGCGCTAATCTCAGGAACTACTGGTCCGATTTGAAAAATTCTTTTAGTGTTAGTTAGCCCATTTATCGAGGAAGGCTATAGGCTATTTATCATCACGCTAAGACCAATAGGAGCGGAGCACCAATGAAGAATTTTTCAAAAACGGAGAAAATTTATTACTATTGAAAGACGCAGACGAAGTTGCGCGGGTCAGCTAGTGGTGAATAAAACAACCCGATCTTTGAGTTTAATATAGTCTATAATACGCTGGATTAGTTATATCTTATGATTACTTTCGAACGGAAATTGACCTATTGCCCTTGTTTTCTAAAATTTACACTATCACCAATAACTGTTAAGTAACTATTCTTCACTTATCGTTGTAAACACTGTTCTTATCCCTTAACTTGCTCAAGAAAAACACCTCACTTAATTGAACCCCCCATTAGGTTATTTCAAGTAGTTGCTAACTTAGATTTTCTGTTGGTTTCAGATACTTCAACGCAGAAGCGTACATGTTTGCTGAGTGGGTCTCGGTCGCTAAGCGAGCCTTAGCTAGAATGCTTGTCATTATTGTATCACTCGGCTTTGGTATTGTCAAGTGAGTATCTTAGTGCTTTTTACATATAAACGAGCTAATTGACGGGCCTGTTGGTTCAGTGGTTAGAGGCCTCGACTGCTTCGCCGGAGGTCGTGGGTTCGATTCTCACCCAGGATAAATAATTGTGTGATGAGCACTATCGTTTTTTCTGTGTCTGGGTGTAATTTATCTATAATATTTATGTATTTAGGTATATAGGCCTCTCCTTAGAAAGGAGGGTTTGGCCTACTATATCTATACCTATATACTATACCTAAGGAGAGGCCTATGTTCAGCAGTGGACTAGTAATGGCTGTTGATGATTTAAGACTATATAAATATGTTCATCAGCAGTCTGGTTCTGCTTAGTTTGGGATCATATTGCCGTCTGTGAAATTGTGAGGTTATTATTATTATTAATTATTGAAAAAAAAACGACTGTGAAATGAAAATGTGTACTCAAAATTTACACTTGTCATTTTCACAATTAAGATGAATCTAACGACACCTCCCAAGCGAAAATCCATCAAGCCGTTTAGGCTAAGGAGTGTGCCAAGGAAATATACATACATACATACACTCGAAAACGTAACTCTCCTTCTGGGGCAGACGGGTAAAAAAGATTTTGTTTTTTTTTAAAAGACAACTCCCGCATTAGGAATATATCCTGTGTCACGGGGAACTTTACAAATATACATGCTGCTACGCATAAAGGTCGCGGGTTCGATTTCCGCTCAAGTCAAACATTTGTGTGCTTTATTTATTTAATATTTGATTTTGTCTGGGAGTTTCTATGTATATTATGAATGTATTTACAAAAAAAGTATAGATCTATTTATATCAGTTGTCGTAACCCTCCTGGGGCAGACGGGTAAAAAAGGTTTTGTTTTTTTATAAAGACAACTCTCGCATTAGGAATATATCCTGTGTCGCGGAGAACTTTACAAACATACATTAAATGAACACAAAGAACACCCAGACTCAGAACAACAATTTATGTATCAAATGAAGTTTTGTCCCATGGGGGCATCGTACCTACAACACAGCGCAGTAGAAAGCGGAGTGGCGACCATCTAAACCATTACGCCACCCGTGCAGTCCAATCGTAGTAAATAGACTCTCGATGTGCTACCATTTGTGGGAGCTTGTAAATTAACAACAATAAACCTTAATAATTTAAACCAAGATGTGGTTAGGATTTGTTTGAGTTGGGCAATACCCGGCTAGGGACAGTGAACTGATTGCCAAAATTTATATTAAATTCCATTTAAGTTTTTAAGTTATTTTCATTCCGGAAAGGTATTCTCAAGTGGTACAACAATAATAACAAATAATAATAAACAACAACAGTAATAACAATTTAATTAGGTCGACACCACTTGAGAATACTTTAACACATTTACACTTTTACATTATTCACAAAATGTCATGTCAGAAAATGACAAAATCTCCATCCTAACATTGTCTGGTAGAGATCGCTTTTAGTGATGAGACCGCCCATTGTACTCTTGTTTTAATGTCAAGTGTCTGTTCATATTATTGCTAGATTGGTGTACAATAAAGGATTATTTATGTGTCTATCTGTCATCGGTCAAGTCCGTTTCGTGACGGATTAAAAATACGGAGCGTCACTGGCCCTATTCATCCTAACAACATCACTACAAATAGAAGGAAAAATAAACCCTTTAAAAAAAAAAGTTGAACCGACTTCAAACAACACCGACAAAGAGCACTAAAAATTAAAAAATAATTACAAATCAAGAAGGGATACAAGAAGGGACTATTGGTATTATAATGTTACCTGTTACATTGAGGGTACTTATTATAGTTTTTTACTTAGATTTGTAATTATTTTTTAATTTTTAGTGCTCTTTGTCGGTGTTTGAAGTCGGTTCAACTTTTTTTTTAAAAGGGTTTATTTTACCATTTTTAGTGTAGGATATGTTTGTAATGAGTAGATAAGTACGATATTTAAAACACTACGTACCGTAATGTATAGTAACAAACTGTAGTTTGTTAGATTATATTAAATATTATATTAAATTACTGCTGGACATAGGACATCCTTAGAAAGTTGACCCATACAAAATTTAAGAGTTTTTTCCAGAACTATTTTAATAAATTAAGTATAAAATTACTTACAAACGAAATGCGATGCCATCCATAGCAACAAAACGTCTATCCGAATTATTTTAACAAGATAGAATACAAAATTTCAACCTTTTCTTCTTAATACAACGAAAATTACTGTGGTGACATAAATACTCGAGTTCTCTGCGTATCACATCGCGCAGTCTCTGACGGTTGCCATGGTCTATTTGGCTAAAGAAATACTCTTAGCTAAAACACGTTGTCGGGGCTGTCACATTCGCAATAATTGTGAGGGTTTCCCTCGATTTCTCTAGGATCCGATCATCAGATCCTGAATTGGTGGTAATGGGACCAATTCGGGAGCATACCCTTTCGATTACAAAAAGAATTTTGAAATCGGTCCACAATTGACGGAGAAATCGCGGCACAAATATACATAAAAAAAAATACAGACGAATTGAGAACCTCCTCTTTTGTGTTTTGGAAGTCGGTTAAAAAATATATACAAACCCGTCTGGCCAGCATGGTATAGTAGACCAAAAGCTATGTCGGGCAGTGGACTAGGAATGAGTATGAGTGTGTCGGCAGGCCGCGGCTGGGCCCGGCGCTGCAGCGCGTGGTGGGCACGGGGCTGCTGTGGGGCGTGCTGGCGGGGATACACGCGTGGCTGCGCCTGCACTACAAGGCCAGCGACTCCAACCGCGACCTGCTGCTGTCCGAAGTGCCGCTGTCGCTGCTGGAGAGCGCCATCTGCTGGTGGGTCTTCGTGTCGCTCGCGCACACCATGAGGACGCTGCAGCTCCGGAGGTTACTTTCGTTTTTAAGTTTATCCTCTTATATAGTAATTAGCTAACTTGCGCAACCCTGTCTGTGTCTCTCAAAACGAATCACTTTACCCCGTTTTTGCACATTTTTCATTAATGCTCGGCTCCGATTGACACAGCGTGATGTCATACTGCCTCGATGGCGCAGTAGTAGCGTATGCGACTGCTGTGCTGAGGTCTCGGGTTCGATTCCCGGGTCGACCAAATGTTTGTGTGATCTGTAAATATTTGTTTCGGAGCTTGGATGTTTTCTATGTATAATATGTATGTATTTACCAAAAACAAAAAAAAGTATTTTATCAGTCAATCTAGCTTTCATAGCACAAGCTCTGCTTAGTTTGAAATTAGATGGCGTTGTGTCAGATGTGTGAAAATATTAGTATATTATATTAATATATAGCCTAGTCCAATACTAAAAGAATGTTTCACTTAGTCTCTCGAACTAGTAGTTAATAAGATGAGAGCGTTCAACCCAACAAACAATCTTTTCAGCTTTATAATATTAGTAAAGATTGACAATTCTTTATTATAATTGACAAATAAAATATAATTTATTTTATTTACTATAAAAAGATTTTTTTTTTTTGTTCCAGAAATACGATAAAATTATCCTTGTACAGACACTTCACGAACACGCTGATATTCGCCGTAATATCATCTGTCGTGTTCATGCTCTACTCCATCAAATCGTACAGGGTGTTTAAGTGTATAACGGTGAGTTTTAAAAGAGGATCATAATAATTCGACACACCTCACACGGACCTCCAGTTCCTAAATTCGTCGGAGCCTCTGTTAGGTAATCCCACTGCTGATAAACATACTTATATATTTCTTATCATCAACAGCCTTTAATAGTCCACTGCTGGACATAGGACTCTCCTTAGAAAAGAAGGTTTGGTTTACTATACCACGCTGGCCACACGGGTTGGTATAGGGTTCGTTTCAAGTTTTTATTCGCTTTGCAGTGCTGTTGTCCTGCGTAGTTTGCTCCCTTAATCGGCTTTTATGACACCCACGAGATGAATAGGGGTGGTGACACTCCGTATTCTTAATCCGTCACCACACAGACAACTACGGATATATATTTGTAAATATGTACATACAAATGTAATATATAAATATCTCATGTCAAGGTCTTTTTGGTGAATATGTTAGGTTGGTTATATTCGGTAGGTACGAGAATAGGTAATAAAATATTTTTCACCCTCCTACCCCCACCCTCCATTTCTTAATTGCGATTTTAGTATTTTTGTAAACTTAAACTTTTTTTGAAGCTCGAAATCGATCGAAGTAGCGTGCTATGGGAGAGGCCTGTGTCCAGCAGTGGACTGCGATAGGCTGATGATGAAGAAACATATTTTTAGATTTATAATTACGTTCTTTTGATTTCTTCGATAAAATAATTTATATGTCAGAACGTTTGCCGAGTCAGTTAGTTATAAAATTACACCTAAACACAGAACAAATGATCGTCGATCACACAATTATTTATTCTGGATGGTAATTAAAATATTTTATTTTATTTAAAACTTTTTTAGCGCAGGCGTTTCTTAATTTTTATGGACGAAACGAGTAGACAGGCCAGTTGATGGTAAGCATTTTAAACCCTCCCCGTATCAAAGGTTGTTCTCCTTTAACCTCACTCAGTGCAAAGCAACGAAAGAACTGCCTAACACCGGTCATTTGTGATTAAATTATTTATACAATATGTTTGCGCAGGAGTGGAAGGAAGTGTGGATGGACGAGGCTTACTGGCACATCCTGTTCGCGAGCGTGCTGACCGTGATCATGGTGCTGTGGCGCCCCACCAACAACAACCAGCGGTACGCCTTCACACCGCTGCTGGACTACGCTGAAGACGATGAAGGTAGATTTATATATTTTACTTTATTTGTATTGTATCAATCTCTTTCGGGTATCCCTGGGAGTTAGTATATGCACGTATAAAATTTTAAATCTTGATGATCGTCGCATTTAAAGCAAGTGCCTCGAAATGACTATTGATGCACTATTAATAAAAAACCCAAAATAAAGAATTATAATTATTCTTACAGAAGAAGAAGAACAGTTCGTGAACGACGCATACGGTGTAAAAATGCGAGGCACGAACAGCACAAGTGAAATGATCGAAGGCCGGGACTCGGAGCCCAACACTAATTCCCTAGATTCTGATCTCCGGTGGGTAGAAGAAAACATCCCCACCAGTACCCTACCGCTCCTCGACTCCGACGAAGAAATCATTAATACGAAGTTCGAAGTGTCGAAAATGCAGTAATTACTTAAGTGAAGTGTATAAAGTATTATCGTAAATGTGCAATGAGTTTTTATTTATATCATTTAAAATAAATATAGTGAAAAATATTTTATTGAATCTATTGTTATAATAACCTTTATACATCAGAAATACGGTAGCATTTGCTAGAACACATACACGCACTAATCCGCATTGATTAGGAAAGCATGAAAAAAATCCGACCACAGATTAGTTTTATAGTAAACCATAAATTGGTACAACAGATTGTTCACTTCGCTTCAACTAAGTAATCAGCCTAATATGAGCCTATAAATGCGATTTGTCTGTGCTAGGGTAGCTAAATAATTGGGTAGTCTAAGTATTTGTATGATACATAGATACGGACACTCATCTATTTTTCAACCAACCCGGCCTGCTTCTGCTAAGGTGACAGATGGTCTCACCTGTCAATCCTAGGCCTGCGCCAATGGAGGACGGAGGTCGCGTGAGTCGTCTGTGGTACCTGGCTAAATCTCTCCCAGTTCCGCTGCGCCGTCTCCTTCGCACTAATAACTTGCTCACAGGAGACGGCGGAGTTTCACGATCTCTCGCTCCGTACCATGGCCGCAATCATGGTACTAAGTGAGAGAATTTCCACTCCGATGGCCGCTACAAGGTCACTCCTCTGCTCAACCCACGCCGGGCATTCTGCCAGCGTGTGGAGAGCCGTGTCCACGGTCCGGTCATTGCAGTAGTGACACCCAGGTTGGCTCCTTGCGGATCAGACACAGGTGATTCCCGAAGCATCCTTTCCCGGTGACCTATGTCATCCGGTATAAGAGGGTTCCGTGATGCCTCTCGAGCCAATTCTCCATAACGGGTCTTACCGCCACAATAACGGCGTGCCCAGTGTTAGAACACCATATTTTGTGGACTTACTTTCGTCTATATAAGTGGGTAAAGTGGGCAAGCCTATTGCCGTCATTTGTGTAATTCAGGGCTCTGATGTTTTGTTTTGTTTATTTCTAACAGAATATCGTCATTATTATTTTAATATCTTTAAAATGCATACGTTCCTTTTTGGCTAAGTCAGTTAACATTAAACTTTTGACAATAGCAAGTTGTGACATCAGCGTCACTTTTTACATAAAGACAACTCCCGCATTAGAACTACATCATGTGTCGCGGGGGACTTTACAAACATACATGAAACGGACACAAAGAACACCCAGACTCAGAACAACTTGTGGATCACAATGTTGTCGCATGCGGGGATCAAACAAATAACACTCGGCGGAGTAGAAAGCGGCGACTTAAACCACTACGCTACCGTGCAATTAGCTTTTGTTCGTTGAACAGAAATGGTAAGTCTCAATCATCTTTATTTCGTACGTCGTTAGGGGTTTAATATAATGTTATATAAATAAAACAAATAGTAATTTTAAAATCTTTTTTTTATACATACGCAATTAAATATATTTGTTCTTTAGACACGATCTTTGGTATATAAAATATAATATTGGTATATGGCCACAATACATTAGGTTAAAATGGAAGTTACATAGAATTCAGTCATACAGCGCGAATGGAAAATCAGTTATACATTACTTACAGTAAATTGTTAAGAAAATTATAAACTATTTATAGTTAAAATACTTTGTGCTCTCTTATAAATATAATGGAAAACATTTTATTGGAAATTATTTTTAATTTTACGTAAAACATGTGTTTTTCACTTCATTATTTCGTATAGTTTTAACTTGTCTAAGCTTAAGTTATGTTCAATCCGAGAAGACAAGACAACTTAAGAAAGAGACAAAGGGAGATAGATAATATAGTTATATAATAGATGTTAAACACAACTTAGTCACAGGGTCTGACTTAATGAACTGCTACAGGGCAGACAATTCGCGTAAACAAATTTTTGGCCTTACAGCACTGGGCCTAGTATAAAAATATTTTGCACAAGCAAGAAATACGAATAAAATATGTATTTCTTTTATCAGTATTTACTAAAAAAGTCCTAAATAACAATATTTTCCTGATTAATGTCTCAAATGCCTGCATTTGTACGAAACCTCTTTTCATTTTGTACGAAACCTGTGTCCAGCAGCGGACTGCTATAGGTTAATGATGATGATAGATAAAGTGTATTATCTATTAAGTAAACAGTTGGTGGCTCTTTTATTTACTTAAAACTTTAACAAATCATTTACATGTTTAAACTGGTAAGATTGTTTTGTTGAAATTCAATAAAAAAATTGAAATAGGTCTTAAATATTCTTGTAAGGCCTAATCTTATTGTAATCTTTCTAATAAAACGTAACTAGTTGCCAAAAAGCCTTCTCTTATAATAAAAAAAAATGTCTTCAATATCTTAATACGTAAAGCGAAGTCAGTTAGTTACATCATTTATAATATAACTCAAGAACGGCTGGGCCGATTTTTTAGTTTTAGATTGTCAGATTTGTTTTCGCTCCGAATAGCTTATTATTCTAGGCATAGAGATTTAAATTTTACGAAAAAAAATTATACGCAAAATTCATTTTCTCATACACCGTGTGACACAAACCATGGACAAAGAGCGGGCTGTGACTAAAAATGCATTTGAAACTGGAATGAAATGCTAGTTACTTAATAAAACATTGACACCTTTAAATAATAAAAAGCAGTAAAATAAGAGATATGACATATCTGAATCCTGTTTTTAATTTATAACATAACTGTTCAATGTTCATATTTAAGTGATGCCCTGCAATGATGACAGTACTTTTCCTGTCTGTAATAAATCTCATTAGTATGCAAAGAATGATACCTATATCGCGGATGTACGTACGTGTATTTTTTTTCACTTGGTATCTTTTCCATTCATTTGCAGTATTAAAGTTTGAATTCACGGATAATGCATATTTTAATGTTGAACACTGAAGTCACTAGGATGAGATATTTCCTCGAGTTCACAAATTGTCAAATCGATCATTATGTTTCGAGAGAAATACAAATTTGTTTACTATATCACCTGTACCTTCTGGTATGAGACGTAAATTTTGGTTTAGAGCAATCAATAGGTACATAGTTTAAAAATATTCTTAAAATACATAATTATTACTTTATGCTTAGCTTAAAATATATTTTTCAATTTGTGTATTGAAATATCACGACCACACACTCTGAATAACATTGAAGAACGATTGTATGAATAAAATAAGACTAGTTATTATCATAGTAAAAATCATAATCTGCTGGCTCATCGGGAATTTGAGGCGGATCTTTGGGAATGTCAATACCTTCTGCATCCAGTAACCTCACTTTAATATCCATTGACAATAAAGTTTGTAAATCATTCTCGAAAGATTTGCTAGACATTTTTTCTTTTAACAAAGCGTTGACACCATCCGTCCAGTAATCGAATATTTGTTCATCTGGCGCGACGAAGTCCAGAGACGGTATTTCGGAAGACTTGGGGATCAGAGAGAAGGCTAAGTGTGGCGTAGTCTTCCGTCCTCTTAGGTCTTTCATGTGAGGGCAGTCTTTACCTGTTATAACGCACTTTATATCAGCCACAGCCAGTTTGTTGCTGAGGTCCTCTAAGCTGGGTGTGCTCTTTTCGTCACAGTCCCCGTAATGAAGTACTTTCTGATTTGGTGACAGTCGTACAAACCAAAATTTGTCCTTTATTCGTTGACCTCTCAATGAGTATTTTTTAAACCTTGTCCCTCCAACTAAGACACCTAACCGTTGCTGTTGGATGAGATCAATAATTTCTGGTGTAATTTTCTCTTTTAATTCAACAATAGGTCGGGCATGTGATTCCCAAACTTCCCTGTTATTTCTCTCTTGTTGCCATAACTGGGTTATTTCTGCATACGATAACTGGTCAATCCTATTTTTAAACTTGTCAAATGCTTTTGGAGAGATTGATAATGCTCTGCTTATTTGCTCTCTAACAACACTGGAGACTTTGATAAAGTCCTCTGTGGTAGCTCTCATCTCTTTCCAAGTTTTATTTAATAATACTATGCAAATACAGAACAGCTCTTCAAAAGGCCTGTCATGTGTGAAGAGTAAAGGATGGTATGACTGTCCTTGTTCACTAGGAGGTTCCCCAATGTGCAAAATATCACATAGTAATTTTACGAGTTCCACACTTGTCTTACCAAATGGACATTCATGTTCATCTGCTCTGCAGCTGTTCTCTAAAACTATTTTTGTATAATCTTCTGAATAATTTCTTGCAAAGTACAGCATGCAGTCAAGAGCTAAGACCCCAGGAGGTACTTCATTAAAGTCTTTCATCGGGTCAATCTCACATTTGAAACCAAGCTTTTTGAAGTCACTTTTAGAAAAGGTGCCACCGAGAGGACGCCTCATTGTAACCTCCATATTTGGGTTGTGATCAGTTTCAAATGCTATTTTTCGGAGTTCATTAATTTTCTCCTGTGATTCTTGTTCCTGAGCATCAGCTCTTTGTCTCATTTTTGGTTCAAGTAGGCCAAGCATGAGAGTTTGTAGGATGTAAAGTTGATGAGCCAGCTCTGTGCCAAGAGATTCCTTGGTAGCATTTTTGGAACACTCACTGGCGCCAATGAGGTTTTCGTAAATAATATTTCGGGCTTGCTTTGAAGATAGGGTACTAGCAATAGTGTTACGCCTAGTCATATCTGCTTTAGAAAATATAGCATTAATTAGAGCTATCACATTTTGTTGAAACATACAATCTTGTTTAGGGTTTTGCAGATGTTGTATCAAGTTCGTAATTGTTACTTCTTTTTCCACATGTGAATTTTTTGAACTATTAAGTACTATATTTTCTAGTATAGATAAACAGCACTGTATTACTTTCGGGTCTTGGGTGACAGATTGATTATTTACAAAACTAGCAATCTTGTTGATAAATTGATTTTCCAGTATATCCCAGAATATAATACCATGATCCATGAGTTCAACAAAAGTTATAAGAGCATATTTCAGTGATTCGTCCTTAAATTTGCCATGTTGTATATTGTTAATAATTAAAGTTAAACCTTTTTTGTTAAAAAACTCTTCCGCAAATGTGAGATCACTGCTTAAGTGAGACAATTTTGTCAATGCAAGGCTTTGTTCCGCGGGAGTGCCATTGTTTATCTTGTTCAAAATATCTTGAACAGTTTTCGCAGGCGACAACTCAAGACGCAAAACTGAGCCGTTTTTAATTTCATTTCTATTCTTTTCTGTAATATAATTTTGATTGTTACTCTCAGAGAATTGTAGAGCGTAGTTTTCAGGATCAGGGAGGCCCCAAGGCTTGCAAAGGAGCTGAATAATACTCGACAAAGGCTGGCTTTGGTCAAATTCGATAAACTGCGGTACCTTGTTGGGAGCATTGAGCATTTCCACTGCGATTTTAACGGTCGTTGAGTCCTTATCTCTCGTTGCCGACGGCATTTTTATTGGTTTAGTAGACATTTATAAAACATTTGACACGAAGACAAATCAACACAACACCACACCTTGCGATTACAAGCAACAATTCCCCCGTGATCGTGACATGACACTGTCAAAAATGTCTATCCTACTGACATTACAAGTGTCATGAATGCAAAAAATTAAGAAACAATATACCATAGATATGGTCGAGAAATTTATAGTATGTTTCAAATAGTTCATAGAATTATTTCTTTAACGAGTCCATTTGTATATTGACTTGCTTAACATTCAAGTTAAAACTATCACAAAGATAATGGACAACGAAGCCCTTCCTCAAGAATACTACAATATTCACTGTGAGGAATATTAACAGTACGCCATTTGAATTTCTTGTCCAAGTTCAAACTTTCTCACACCAATAGTATATAGTCCCATCAACCGTTGGGACGGGGTCCATACAGGCATGAAGACCACGCATGGTCAGAGTATCTTCCTTTTTGTTAGAAGGACCTGTTCTTCAACGCCTTAACCTTCTTACTGCTTACATAATCTGTCTCGAACCTCAAATAAAATTGGCAAAGGTGAAGGAAGATGATTTCTAAAATTTGATCTTTAACATAAAATTAGGATTCACAAAAGAAACGATACGAACACAAAATAAAAGATAACATAAAATAAGTAATTCTTTATTTTTCACCGAGTGAGCTTACTGGAGGCGGCGGTAGTGATTACTTTCAAGTAAGAACTGTAGGTATGCTTGTTTGCCCCTGTGGCGACTTCCACATACAGTCAACCAAGAAACATACAACAGCGCCATCTAACTAAGATAAACAGAACTACGGAGTAACTGTTAATCCTCAATGAATAATTCATAATAGCTGCAGAATAATTTGCTAGGGATTCATTTTTCGAAAATACGTTAAATACAAAAGTTACATGAATTTTCCCTGGCTATCATTTGGTGACCTTGAAATCGACCTTGACCATAACCTTGAAGGATATCACAAGGCTCAAGGTTATGACATGACATGACACCCGTTCAACCACAGCCCTGTACCTTAATAAAAATAACATATCATTAAAACGGTCTGACACTACTTCTACTCTTCTCCAATTCACTATTGTCGTGTAGTCCACCAAAGACATTAAGTACCGTAAACAAGTTTGTCATGGCATGTCATCAATCAAATGTCTTACTCAAAAAATGCATTGAAAGTGTTTACTTTTATTACGAGGTTATGTTTGCTTTAAACAGTTTTGTGAGATAGAATTTTATTTCTTTAAGCAAAATATATAGTCGCTGCATCCTACTAAATTTGCCTGTGAAGGCTGAGGAAGAGAATCAGCGTAGGTCATCATGGGCTTGAAGTAATGCTGGAATCCTTAAAATAATGACTTAACCTTTACAAATGGATAATGACTATTTTTTGAATTAAAAATGACTCCCTCGGTAATTAAATATTTTAAAAAGCGTAGTCCTTCAAAAAAGAAAACGAATGAAGTTACTGTTTACTTGTAAGTATTAAATAAATCTTATTAACAAAGGACTTCTACCGGACAGTTGAGATTTAGATTATTTATGTGTCTAGATGGACAGTCCAAACTGTGAAAGCAGAGGAAAAAATAGCATCCAACGGTTGGCCTCTGAGTAATTTTCCCGCTTTTAGTTTTAAAAGTACAGTCACTGCATACACGAACGTTGCTTTCATATTTTGTGCAAAAGCACAAAATATGAAAGCAACGTTCGTGTATAAAAATAATGACGATTTGTGTGATAAAAGTGTTCTTAAATAAAATTAAAAAGTTATCTAACATCGGTTAGTACCATTGATTCCTAGCTGTTTCAGCAAAATAAGCCATTGAATTATTTCTAAGATAAATAAGTGTTGCTAGTTTATGAACTCAAGTCAAAACTCCTTAACGCTAAAACGTTTAAAATTATAGCGTACTATGTATTGTTTGTAATACTTACTTATGAGTTAGTGATATTTCATAAGAGAAACAATTTAAATGGATATTATTTGAAGGATATTATTTTTATATATTATGGATATTATTTGTTTATATGTTTATATTATGGTTTTTCCAAGATTATATTTTTCTAGATTAAAATTAGATTCATCATCATCATCATCATCATCATCAACAGCCTTTAATAGTCTACTGCTGGACAAAGGCTTCTCCTTAGAATTAAGGTTTTTGTCCCTACTATACCATATTATATGGTATAGGGTTTGTGTCAAGTTTTCCTTCAAGTTTTGCTCCCTTAGTCGGGTCTTAGGACACCCACGGGATCAGTAGGGGTGGTGACACTCGGTATTCTTGTCTTTATCTATCCGCGAATGAGTAAGGTACTTGTTTTAATGATCCCATAATTGGGCATAACAAGCTTATCCTCATTTATTAAGTTTAAGTTATCTATGATTACTCCTAGAAATTTGTAAAAGGATATTATTTGTTATAGAATGCCTACTAATAATAAAGTTATAGGTAAATGTTTAACCGATATCAGAAATCACGGACACTATATTCAATGTGGGACATCGGAATCCAAGAAATTATGTTCAGAACAATTTGATGAAGAGAGCTTGTACATGAACTGTGGTCTACGCTGTATAAGTAGACCAGAATCTTCTGAAATGGTACTTAGAAGTTGTTATTTTAAAGTTTTCGTATAAATTAGTCTAATTGTGTCATATGTTTTTTTCCATTCCAGCTTCGATATTCTCCGTGCAAAGTAATATTTGAAAACGAGGCAATACAAACTCCTAGTAAACTTTCCATTCCTGCACTTGTCAGTATCCTGAAACCAGATTGGTCCTATGTGGTCACCGACAAAAAGGTAAGTACTGTCTCAACCCTCGGAATCCTGTATACGGGTAGGACTACACGTAACTCGTATTATTGTTATTGTATTGCTCCTGTAAAGGTTTTTTAAAATTGGAATTGGAGGAAAACGATGTAGATAAGTCACCTAATCGTGATTTACCGCCCTTTGTCGGGCCGGTCGAGCCGGCCCATTTGTGCCGAGGCATGGCATGTCCTCATGTCATAGATACCTTATAATACATTCCCCCCTATTATGTCCTTAATTTATACCATTGTTCTGACACAGCATTACTATCTACAGCACTTTAAGTACTCTTTTCGTATAAATAAAATATACTTATAAAATATTAAAAAAATGAATTCCAGATCCTATTTCCTCCGTTCAAGGTGAAGTTTAAGAAAAAGTCCGCATTCACTCAATGTGTTAACAAAAAATGTTTGAAAACTAAACCTCTAGCTCCTTGTATACGCTTTAAAAGTTGCGGCCTCACTAATATGCCGTCAAAAATAATAACCAGGTCATCAAGTGTGGTAAGAAATTGAAATGTTTAGAAGGTTAAGTATGCGCATCTATTAGCGATGTGTCAGATATCTGATAAAAAATGTGTATCCGTAACCGCGTGTATTATTTTTTGGCTAATTCCGAAAGGGTATTTTACGTTAATTACACATCGTCATCATCAATAGCCTTTCATAGTATGCTGCTGGGCTTAGGCCTCTCATTAGAAAGGAAGATTTGGCATACTATACCACGCTGGCAAGACGGGTTGATACTTATAGGGTGTGTTTCAAATTTTCTTTTTTCTTCGCAGCCTTTGTCCTGCGTAGTTAGCTCCCTTAGTCGACTTTTATGACACCCATGGGATGAATAGATTGCGTTAATATATTTTATTGTTTTTACGTAATTTTAAACATGGATTGCTAAAATTTACTATTTAAATATTTATTAACAGTTGTAAGATGCCCGTCTAATCTACGTGTATTTTAAAATTATTATTTTAGAAGTCAGGCTCAGTAGAAGTCGAAACATTTTCAAAGTTATGCAAAATTATCTGAGAAAAACATACTTTTGTATTCGCAGAATTAGATTCAAATAAACCGTTGTATCCATATCCAATCCAAGGATTTAACGGCACATTACTGAACTTTAGAGAGCCTCTATCCTGGATTTTTGCATTCCAGACAATTCGTCGTCCAAGTAAGGTAAAATTTGAGGAGAAGCTACAATTATCTAGATTCTCACCACGTAATACGAGTAGACACAGGAATGACTATCAAACTTCTGTTAAAATGAACAAAATGGAAAAATCTGAAATTGTTGGCAACCTTGAGTTATCCAATGTGATTCTAAGTAAGGAAGCTTCGAAATCAATTGCCCGTATAACTGACAAAGATTGTGAACTAGAAAAATTGAACGTAATCATTGAGAAGAAAGTATCGAAAGTTAAATCCTCGGACGGTATATTGCAGCAAACATGTGACGTACCATCTTCGAAGGATGACAATGGGTCTTGTTTGATTACCTCGGATTCGTGGCACCAGGCTAGTAGTATTTTATGTATAACCCTAACATAATATGTACATTTCTACAAATATCAACTGCAAGTGTCGGGGTTCTTTCTTTTAGGAATCGCATTCGTTTTGTAATACGATATGTATAAATACTTATTGTGATGGCATGTTTGAAGTCGTACGAAACACCAGCTGCTCTGAACCTCAACGCTATTGTGGATGTGATTGTAGTTATGACCATATAAAAGACCGAAAGGATTGTAAAAATACTACATGTGAATGTAAAACTCAAACATTTGAATGTGATGGTGCCTGTCAAATTGAAGTTGAAGAAACTTCGACCCCGCCTAAAAATTTCATATGTAAAATTGTAAGTAAATTATAGTAATAAGCTACGTAAATCACTTTTTTTTTAATAGCCGTGTTTGAATGTTCATTTATATCCGAATGCGTAATAAAAAAGAATTTCATGGTTTAATTATGCTAAACATTTTGTATATTGCCTTCATGGTGTATTTTCTAAAGAAATCAAAAAAGAAGGAAGGCAATCTGACATAATGAAGGGAGGAGGAGAAGAGGACTCTCTCCTCTTTTCCAGTAACAGCTAAAATGCCTATCTTAAAACGTGTCTGCATCGGCTACGTTTGTTTTTAATATGGGCGATATTGAATATCAATATGTGAAGCCTATGTTTTATGTATTACATAGAGCAGATTCTATAAATTTTATTCACGTTTCATTGCTGCGATTTTTGCGATATTTTTGGAATAGGAATTGAATAAAAGGATACCCGCGATTAATGATGGCAGTGACTGCTGTATGCATATCATCGACGTACCTGATTTGATCACTGTAGTCGTCCACGACACGTCATCATCGAGTAGATCCGCTGGATATGTTGCCGTAAGTAAAAACCACATGTATTATTTAAAAAAACAGCGAATCTTACAGTAGTGGCATAATATTATTTGATGTGTAATATCTGATATCTCACCAAGAATTTGATGGCCAACTCTAGCATCCCTCCCACACGCCTATCACTGTAACTCCTATACACCAGGATCAACACCAGTGAACGACGAAAACACCGAATTATGACACTCGGGAAGTCCAAGGTAAAAAAATAGCTGTCTTGGCCCCGCAACGAATTGACTCAGAAGAAAATTGGAACAGTTCGAAATACAGTAAATCCACTTCCCTCCTTAGCACAGCAAAGCAAAATGAAGTAAAATACACCCTTTTAAACAGGGAAGCTCCACGGCCACAGAATATTATGGGTCCTAAGTTATATTAAGCTATATTTGATTTTTATAATAAGTATGGCAGAATCGCCTAAACGCACGTATATTCACCATAGTTGACACACGATCCCCATAGTATACCGCCTCAGATATCACCTGCAAGCTATTCAGCATTATATTACGTTCATTATAGCAAAGCCCACATTCCCAGAGGATATGATGAGCAGTAATCACTGTAAGAGTTAGGTGTTGAGCATTGACACAATGGTGACTCGACTAATTTAAATGAGAAGTATTTGCTCTTAAAGTTACCATAACCTGTAAGAAATTGAGCTACACAGTTATAGGCCGGCGCGGTTATAGGTCAAATCAAAATGTGGCACTCTTATTGGTCAAATCAAATAGGGCGCCTTTCCTCGGCTTCCTCTTACACAATTCCGTCCCATTTTACGTTATTACTTTCACAGCTCGGGCATCATCGCCGCTAATGTTATAGAATGTTACAGATAGCGGTCGCCATATTTTGGATCGTATAGTTATCCCCGTAAATAAGATAGCGCGATTACAGCTTAAGAAAACTCGTGATTATAATAGACAAAAGACTCATAATTGAAGCTATGGATATTGAATATCAATTGTTACAATTTTAGAGTTCATCTTTCTTTACTGATTATTCAATCCTTGATCGATCGCGAAGGCTTAAAATGAGGAGGATGTTATTAAAACAACAGGAATTAACTCTAGTCAAAGTGGAAGAAATTAAAAAGAATAAGTCACTTAAGAAGTATGTAAGTAGAAAAAAAATGACACCCATAACTTGTCTAATATTGTTTTCTTTCTCCTCGTTGTATCTTAAAAGGTCTGCAGTAACTGAACCCGAATTATCTTGTCCGCATTCGAACTGTCTAGTTGACTTTTTATGAAGTATGGACATACATTCTTCCAATGTAAAAATCGTGTTCTTATTTTCTTTTATGGTGGGAATCCCCCTAGAGGAATCTCCTAGAGATTGTAATTCGTAGGGGATTCCCCACGGTAATGATTTACCGTGGTTAATGGTAGAGTTGTATGTCGGTAGCTCTGCCAGGATCTCAAGATATCGGACAGCCCAACTCATCACGCCCAGGCCAAATTCCATTATATAAGGCAGAATGAAATTAAAATCGTATTGACTAAACGGTTGTGGTATGTTTTCATTAATATGCTAATAATTGAGATTTTCATAGGTTTCCGATGTAACCGAAGTCTTTACGGCTGAATTGCGTAAACTTCGCAATAGGATGGCTAATTTAAATTGGTTGTCTTAGCGGTTTGAACATCATCACTATACCTATCTCCGATTTACTCAGGTTTGTCTTTTAAATCTATTGTATGTTTTTTTCTATGTATCATATAATCATGGCAAGAATAATCTTCCTTCAGTAAAATTTGAGTGTACTGCAAGAGCAACAATATTTGGACTTCATTTCATTTATGTCCTTTTATATATTTTTTGATAACTCATTTATAGCCAGTATAAAATAGTATTGGTATACTAACAAAATACTTAGATTCAGCTACGGAAAGGCAGGTTTTATGCAAGTAAGACCGATGCCATATGCTTCGGTTACATTTATTTAAAGTAATGTCCGCTGCTAAAACTAGGTTGGAATTGGATTTTATTAAATACTATATTTTGAATATTTAAAAGCTAACTCATGCTTTTTAAACCCTATGGTTAACAAAGAGAACATTTGAATGAACAAACAAGTCATCAACAGCCTTTAATAGTCCACTGCTGGACATAAGCCTCTCCTTTTGAGGAGGTTTTGGCCTACTATACCACGCTGGCCAGACGGGTTGGTATAGGGTTTGTGTCAAGTTTTCCTTCTCTCTGCAGTGCTGTTGTCCTGCGTAGTTTTTTCCCTTAGTCGGCTCTTACGACACCCACGGGATGAATAGGGGTGGTGACACTCTGTATTCTTAATCCGTCACCACACGGACAATATCAAAATCACGATAAACAAACAAGTATAATTATGTTAATAGCAGTATGTACCTACATGTTTTAAAGTATGTATGATTGTATATTTATACTTATTATTATGGGTTTGCCCGCCATAGAGATATTTTTTATATTTTTCGCAGATGACCATCGACCAAGTATAAATCAAATGCAAGATGGTGGGACGCGGAAAAAATTAAACACTAAACACTCAAAACACATATTAAAAGTTGGAGAAATAATGTTTAAGTGAAATATATACATTTTAATGATTGTTTATTAAACATCGTCATGGCCGTTGCTTTATTTCCTTTTATGATAATGTTACATTAAGGACAAATAAAACGCAGAGTATATTTTATAAAGCTTTGTTTAAGCTTACAAAACTCTCTGTATATACATATCTTTACATAGGTAGTATCTTCGATCAACAATAGCAGTTGCTATTGTTGATCGAAAGGTAGTATAAAATAAAGTCGCTGTTTTGTGTTCTACGCTTAGATTTTTCAAACTAAGAAATGGATTTTAATACGGTTTTCGCCAAACAGAGAGTCAAGAGGAAGGCTTATATGTATCATACATGCATATTATAGTGGAGAAAATCCGAGAATTTCAAAGATATGTCGTAAAAAACATGCTTTTGGGCGCTTATATTGCAAATGCTGGCTAAACCTTACGAGATGGAATATTCAAAATAATGTAGGTACTACAGAATTATATATCTTAAACAGATCTACAAAAAAGTCTGCGATGGTATATATGTCTATCTCCTAAGGATAACACACAGTAATCATTTTTATTTTTTAAATATTACAAAAAAATTATAGGTTATTTACGAAGCTATTTAAAACAATACATTATTATTCCTTATCCAATTAAATACGTTAGATACGTTGTGTATGTAATGTAGATTAAAATTGCGCTTTAATGCATATCATTAAAATTAATATTTTATAGGATAAGAAATTAGAGGTTTATATTTGTTATATTTGTTAATTAGAGGTTTAAAGAGTGTTTTGATAAGTACATACAAACGACCGAAAACACTCTGAAATCAGAGCCTAAGAGGTTCTGGACTTATATAAAACATATGCGCGGTGGTTCTAATTATCCTAAAATGTTAACTAATAATAACGAAATCTATTCTAACGGACAAGATATTTGTGAAGCTTTCAACAATTTCTTCAATAGTGTATTTGGAGTACAGTCTTCTCCAGATGATTTGGAGAACGGTCTAATACTGCCGAGAACTGTCCTGATATCATATGTAAATTGAGAGTAGATCCCGTTATTGTGGAGAAAGCATTGAGAACTCTAAATACTGACAAGGGACCTGGATGTGATGGCATCCCCCCAATATTCTGGAAAAGCTGTGCCAAAAACTTGGCGGACCCTATTTCAATTATCTATAATCGCTCGTTGGAAGCAGGAGTCTTCCCAGATATATGGAAAAAGCACATGTTGTTCCTATACATAAGAAGGGGTCTCGGGTTAAGATAGAAAATTACAGAGGTATTTCAATACTTAATACTGTAGGTAAAGTGTTCGAAAAACTCGTATATAATGCTATATATCCCTATATACTCGCTGGGATGCCGAACTCACAACACGGATTTTTAAAAAGACGTTCTACAGTCTCAAACCTAGCCTGTTTTTCGAATTATCTCTTTAAGAATGTGGATAATGGGGGGCAGGTAGACTTAGTATACACGGATTTCGAAAAGGCATTTGACCGGGTGGATCACATCATTTTGCTTAACAAGTTATTCAGACTCGGTATACGTGGTGATCTGTTGAGGTGGGTTCAATCTTACCTAGCCAAAAGGTCTCAAGCAGTAGTGATGGGAGGGTACCGTTCCAACTTTTGTGAAATCCCCAGCGGTGTGCCACAGGGTTCGCATTTAGGACCGCTGTTATATAACGCATATTTATATGACATCTCTGATGCCATCAACAATTCTGAATATTTAATGTATGCTGATGATAAAAAAAAATTTTTAAACATTAAGGGTCTTAATGATTGTGTGGCACTCCAATCTGACCTAAACCATCTATACAATTATTACAACAAGAATAAAATTTCCGTGAACATTAATAAATGTCAATGTATCACTTACAGTCGTAAAAAGCAACCCATAAACTATTTATACAACTTTAATGGCGCTCAAATAAAAAGGGTTTCTGCTGTACGTGATCTCGAAGTTACGTTCGACAGTACACTATCGTTCTCTGAGCACATTGACACGGTTTGCTCTAAAGCATACAAAAACCTTGGGTTTGTCCTACGATCTTGTAAAACTTTTAAAACAACTGATTCCCTAAAGTTTGTTTATTCTGCTTATGTACGTACTACACTGGAGTATGGTTGTCCTATTTGGTCCCCTTTCTATACAATTTATTTAAATCAATTAGAACGTATACAAAAAAAACTTATAGATCACCTTAACTATCGTTTGCGTAAGCCAGCCATGACCTACCGTCAAAGTTGTAAGGCCCACGGCTTGTTGACTCTTGAGGACAGACGTATGGTCCAGGACATGTGTTTGTTGTATGATACTATAAATGGCCACATTGATAGTGCCGAATTGGTCTCGAAAATAATATTTAACACTCCGTTACGTCGCACCCGACATACACCCATGCTTCATGCACCCCGACACGCAACTAATTATGCAAGAAACAGTGTATTTACGCGTATTTCGCGTACTTATAATAATTTTTTCAACGAGATTGATCTCTTCTCGTGTTCAAAACGACTATTCAAATCCAAAATTTCTAACGTTTTGAGTGGACAGTGTAAATAATGTACAATAATTTTATGTGGTATCACATTTTGGACTTATGTACTAATTGAATATTATGCTATGTCAACTTTTCATGTTTTCCTTCGCATGCTGGATATATAGTTTTTTTAGTTAACCAGGAAAAACTGTTATTAGCCAAACTATCTGTGTATGTTATTAAGTTATAAAATAATTGTATCGCTGTTGTTTTTCAATAAATAAATAAAAAAAAAAAAAAAAAAAATTGCGGGGGCCCAACGGCCATCGAACCGTGTGTCCGTACCGGGTGGCAGCGGCCGGCAGGATCGGAGCCGGTCTATAAATATTGCATTTAAATATGTCCTGTAGTATAGTCCTATCATAATAATAGTATAATTAATTACTCCACATTAGTAGTATCTACATTGCACCGCGCGCACCATGCGAAGCCGGGGCGGATCGCTAAGTTATAGATAAATTACAATAGTTGTCCTGAGTGGGGATCGAAGTCACGGCCTGTGGCTTAGCAGTCAGTAGGTATCAATGACAACTAGAATAGACGAACAAGCCAGCATCACCAACCGGAAGCATCATCATTATCATCAGCCTATCGTAGTCCACTACTGGACCTAGGCCAAAACCGATCTACGTGGCGTGCAATGTATAGATATATTTGTTGTTGTGTTTAATAGTTTATTAACATAAATTTCTATGAAAGTAGGTTGTTCCAGATTATTGGCATTATAAACTATTCTGTACATCATTATTGTACGTTGATTCTACATTTTATCACGTTGTAATAAAACGTATTATCGCATGACTACCAAATTCCACATTAATTAGTGGGAATGAGATATTAAGGGCCATGCATTGAGATCATTTAAGTAATTGTGGACGGTCATTTAGTAGCAGGTTTATATGTGAGCAAATGACACCTATTGTTACATATTTTGTGACAATTTTTGAAGGTTTGTAAAAATGAAAAGGCGTATATTTGGTAAGTTTTATTTTTCATATTTATTGCGGAAGTTATAAAGGGTATTTCACAAATTACGAGTAGATACTAATTTGTATGATTGAGTAGTATGTATGTACATTGTACGCAATAGCGTCTGCTCGTCTGCCCCTCTGACATAAAAACCAAAAAAAAAAAACACAAATTCAGTTTAATTTTTTTGTTTATTTTTCATCCTCACTTTTAATATTAGAAAAAAATTAAAATGAATACTGAAATAATCATTTAAATGATTTTACATTCCCTTTACGAAGAAGAGTAGCAGAGGTAAAAAAATGGGCCGTCAAGATCCACATTATCTTTGACCTTTTATAAACAGCTCTAATCCATTGTAGGAATTCGTTCCTCACATTTTTGAATACTCATTTACCTCTAGCGCCCTAATATTTATTTAAATAATTGAATTTAATTGAATTAAATTAACTTAACAACTTTTACTGAACAAAATAACAAAGATATAGGAACCCGACACGAACCGAGTTTAATGATCGAATGAAGGTTTCCTCACGTCCAAGACCTGGGCATATCAGGTATTTTATTGGCTGACTGGCTAAGCAGTGTGACCACACTGCTGCTAAACACTTCGATGTTTTGCACAGGCAAGTTTTAGGTACATCTGGAAGCTGGCAGCTTTCTTTACACGCTTTATATCATCATTACCAGCATGTCGCCGTTCACTCCTAAATGGAGGCCTTCCAAGGAGCAAGCTCTGAGCCGAGAGCCCCCAACTATTAGAGCCTTGGGAAGTCCTTGCCCAGCTGCTGTTAGCCGTTTTCCTCAAGTTATCGGTTCATCGTGTCGCAGGACGTATAACATTACGTTTGCCTAATCGCGGTCCCCACTCTCAACTACAACTATTTAATATTACGTTCGCAGGCTTTTACCAGCTTTTATACATCGTTCTCTCATTCCACCTTTATCTCTGCGATGAGGAGGGCATCTGTGATCGCAGGCCTTTGGGAACGACTACAGACCCGTTGCCGCCTGACAACCGCTTTCTGTTAGAAATCAAGGACGCTCATGACGACAAGTACATTCCAAAGCGACAGTACGAAGGTAATTTATATTTTTAATGTGAATAACTGCATTCGATTCGTCTTTAACCTTCGCAAATACAAGTATGAACATGTTTCCTCCTTTCGTCGCGAATTAAACTGGGTCACTATTTGTCAGCGCTGTCAGGTGCGCGCCTTCATCACCCTCTATTCCATTTTGAACTCACCTATTTCGCCTTCCTATCTGACGCCTTCATTCCAATTTCTGTGTTCCAACCAAGATAGAACTTTCCGTTCATCAAACAATCCTTTTCTGCTATATCCACTCATACTTCCGCTTGTGTCCACTCCTCGTTCCTAATCCAATCCGTACTCCTCTGAAACGGTCTTTTTCAAGAAATCAGGATAGCACCTAGCCTACATGTCGGTTTATGTATGTATGTATATTTATCTTATTGTTTCTGTCTAACTTCTCAATAATTATCTTGTACTTTACACATCAATGTCTAGTGCACCTAGTCACACATTTCAGCACCACCCTAAGGTAGACTGGGAGAATCAGCATTAATCAAATAATTGATAATGAAGATTTGAATAGGAGACAAGCAATTTTCGAGACACTTTTTGCCCCGCACAACCAATTTGTGGAACGGGTTATCGTCTGCGGTATTTCCGGACCGATACAACCTTCAAACTTTCAAGAAAAGAGCGTACTCCTTCCTTAAAGGCCGGCAACGCGTTTGTGACTCCTGAGTTACAGACGTTCATGGGCGGCGATAGACACTTTCCATCAGGCGACCCGTCTGCTCGTCTGCCCCCTCTAACATAAAAAAAAAGTGGAATTGAAGCCGAATCAGTTGTCACTAAACTGTCTGCTGAACTAACTAGATATTAATTAAACAGCCACGATATATATTATAGCCTTTATTCTCTTTCCCAGTTCGCCTTTTTTCTCGAGACAAAAAGACTCCTTTTATTGCCTTCACGATTTCTTTACGAGAAGATTTTATAAAGAATAAATATAACCCTCGGAAGCCGATTATGTTAAAAGCTGGGTTCTTGGAGACACACAGTAGCTTCAATAACGCTAAATACAGTCATACGTGCAATAATACCATCATACAGTCGGATATCACACCGAAGACAGAAACTAAGGTATTTAATGTCTAATTTGTTTCCGTTGTCTTTAATTAGAATTGCTTCTATCCAATATAGGTATAATTCATTTATTATTCTGAACTATTATTGCATCTACGAGTGCTGCACGCCACCAGTTACTGAAATTAGAACATATTTTCATTTTCCGGGTGATCATTACATAGTGTAACACGTAAAAGAGGTTACGACGGTTTAGCATAAAGAAGCATCTATTGAATTAATAATCTATTGATAATAATCAATTACCTTAGGACTAGATAATTGGGAAAATTATTTTATAAGGAACACTCAATTTTGGCTCAAAGTTGTGATTGATAAGTTCCTCCTATGTCTTCGCTTTGCGATTCCTGTTACCACTGTTGACTTACTTCATCCTTTTTGGCAGGTGCTGTGGACAGCTCCAGAAAAAAATAACAAATGCGTTACCATTTTCGCTTTGGTGGCAGTCCAACCAACTGTGTGGTACAGTTTTGAGGGACCCCTATCTAAGCAGGTGTGTGAAGATAGGCGGAAGGCAGATGACATGCAGCCCACGGAGAACGACAACTGTCAAGTTTGTGAAGATGCCAGGTATCAGGTAAACAGACTGTATCTGAGGACTGATGTTATTAGATGTTAGAAATTATAGTAGCGCGTATATATTTAATTTATAATTAGGAATTTTTATTGCGCGATGTAGGTTCAATTTTTTAAGTGCAAGGCTTGCCTTCGCTAAATGACTCTGAAGTGTTTTTTATGTTTTGATGGATGCCCTAGATTTGGTTGTGATTTGTTGAACCAAGGTATATATAGTGATGTAGATATATCATAAAGATCTGATGATGAATTTCGGCGACACACAACTGAACTCTTAAATAAATGACAGCAAATCAACCGCGGTTGCTGCTAGGTTTTTAGTGCTCTTTGTTAGTATTTTTTGAAGTCCGTTCATCTTATTTTTAAAAAGGATTTATAAAAATGACATTTATCCCAACAGTTGACGATAGAAGGTATGTGGTCTCCCAACACACATCAGTTCACGTACCCAGTGACCCAAGAGCTGGCCAGATTCAGCGATATTGTCGGTGCATCACATAACAAGGACTTCGCTCTTTACACGTATAACTCGGAAGCTGGTGATGGTCTGAAGATGTTGGCTGAACAAGGAAACACTACAAAAATGGAATTAGAGATTCTAGATATGGTAAGTTATATTGGGAGCCGAGAAATGAAAGATCCTTCTTATATTTTCATGATATCGACACATATCATGAAAAGGTAGGCAGGTTCTTCCATACAAATAGTTTATAGACAAGTCCACTAAGTAAAATGATGACTCAATGAAACATACAAAAGTTTAGACAAGCAGGAGTGAATATTCTTTATTTTTTAATTTTTCTGATGTGTCTTTAATCTTCTATATACGAGAATCCTTCTGTATAGTAGACCCATTATTATATAAAATACTTTATAATTTCAACAATTTGTCAGTGACATCATCTTAAAAAACTTTTTAACTTGACGTACCCACAAATATATTTGACAAATAGACATTTTCTTGAAGAAAAAATAAAGGAGGTCTGAAAATGGTTCATGTTTCAAGGGCTTTTGTCTGTAATATTACCCGCGCGTACTTATAATATATATTCTATTGTGAGTAAGATTTACTTAAGGTGACCAATTACTTTAGTTTCATTTAGATGATTGTTTAAGGTTAACGATGATATCCAGATATCACTTGTCCGCACTCTGATAAAAGCCACCGCCCCGCCCCGCCCAAATATGTCCACGGTTACTAACTTCAGAGTGACTCGTCGCCATCACCTAGTTTCATTAGTGATGGCCCTCTTGCCTTCCCCTGATTGGTTCCTTGGAGTGTCAAATATGGAATTGTGTGATGCAACGACAAATATGTGGGCGGAAAATATCACTTTTAACCTGTATCCTCTTGACGCTGGAACTGACAGCGGGTTGACTTTTGAGGTTCGTATTTTTAATTTTCACAGTTTACGACGGATGGACGGAGGAACGGATGTAACGTTTCTTATTTGTCGCCATAGATTTCTTATACCTATTTATTTAGTATTAAAAGTTACGTAAAAATGAAGAAATAACCGTTAAATTGTGACTACTTATTTCAAATACCCGTATTTGTGCCTCTATTTGTTAAGGCGCGCCGTTAAATTATGGTAGTCATATTACTTTATGAATGGGATACTCCCTTTAGAAAATAAAAAGACTACCATAAACGTCCAGTATCATAAAACAATTCTGTCACGATAAGTATTTTCATCCTCAACATGCTCACAACTAAGTGCAATGTGGGTTACAATAATCAGTGTATCTGCCGATGCTATGTTTCCATGCTATCCCTGGAAGGTGAGGAGAGGATTTGCTTAGATTACACTTCCCATATCATTTTTTTATATAGACTAGTTTATAAAGCAAGGGCAGAGAGGTAGTGCTCGTAAGGGGTTCTATATAGAAAAATACTCCTGAGCGCTCCTCTGGGTCATAAACTATAATACATTAACTTATAAAAAATGATTCGATAGTCCATTTACCGTTCTACAATTTGTTTTAGTCGCCCAACGATGAAACTTCACCACCGCAGACCATTACATCAGCGGATATAGCACCTAACCGAGCCCCCAAGGAAGATACAAGGCCTTACGCAAGGTTGCTGTTTCATTTAGTTCGTACATACAGCAACCTTGATTGTTCGGAAGAACATCCAGCTACTGAGGAAACTGGTACGTCTAGACCGTATTTGGCAATCTATGTAAAATCGTAATTTTCTGCTTCATAAAATGATAAAAATCAAAATTGATTCCAATTTAAACCATTGGTACAGGGACGAATTTGATGTCTAAGGTATGATAGTAAATTGTACCGCTCGGAAAGAGTTTCCAAGTCGGACCTCCTTGTATTCACTGCATTCCTAATTTATAAAGCGTATCTGAGCAATTGTCTCAAGCTATCCCTATGGTGACGGATTAAGAATACAGAGTGTTCCCTGTTCATCCCGTGGGTGTCGTAAGAGTCGACTAAGAGAGCAAACTACGCAGGACAACACCACTCCAAAGAGAAGGTCTCGTCTGGTCAGCGTAGTATAGTAGGCCAAAACCTCATTTCTAAGGAGAGGCCTGTTTCCAACAGTAGACTTTTTAAGGCTGTTGATGTGTGTGTGTGATGTGTACTGAGCAATTTGCGCACTGAGCAAGCGTGGGTAATTTTCGTTGAAAGTAGAACCGAACGCTAACAGAAGGATTACCGTACATCAAATCCATTGTAAAATCACCATTCGACAAACAGACCAATGTTGCAAATAAAAGTTTGAAAATAAAATACAATAAGTAAGTGATGTTGTACAACAAATATTGCCTACAGGTGGTGGTACAAGTGATGACAACGGAGGTGAACCAGGAGATGGGGAAGATGGTTCTGAAGAAAAAAATAAATTTGAGTATCGTCCTTCACCTGTTCCAACTACAACAACCAGGTTCTAATAACTACATAATTATATTTATATGTTTTTTTCCTTAATGATATTTTAACGCGCCTCACGCGGGTTCGATCTCAGCCTCAGGATAAATAATTGTCCTAGTAACACGATTATTTGTTCTATCTGGGTGTAATTTCTAAAATCTACAAGTATAGTAATCAGCAGTCTGGTTACCATAGTACAGTCTCTGCCTAGTTTGGGATCAGAAGGCCGTGTGTGAAATGCCTGAACTTATTTTTATTTTTTACCCTGCATTTTTGTTCCTATAGTTGCCTTAAATCTTCTCGTCGTACATACTTTGGTTCTACAAAAAGGTTATTTTTCCAGTGAACAACCTCCATCTGTAGATCCAGACACAGAAGAATCAAAGTGTCCCATGACGACGTGGAGTGACTGGGCTGTATGTGACGGAGAATGTATAAATAACAAAGTTAATGGATACCAGGCGCGGTATAGACAACACGTTGGGGTAAGTAATGGAATGGGGGGTGTTGAAATTGTACTGAGACCGCTCGTCGAACCACGATGGCTTGTTAGTCAACCCACTTGAGGCGCCACGTGCTAGCTTTGCCACCGTGGAGGTGCTCCAGCCAGCTCATAGTCGAGTGGGCAGGGCGGCAGCACGGGATCCTTTCCACTTTCAGCCGGTTCGGGTGGACGGGACGGGTTTTCCTCTCTACCCGCCACAGAGGCCAGGACATCTGCGTATGTCGGACCTCGACTAAATTAAAGATTTTAAAAGAAGATGGCTATTGCGTGATGGAAGACGCTAGTATGGGTCCGGAGGTCTTAATAAGCACTGTTCTTGGATCCCTCCTATTTTATGCGCAAAGTGGCACACCGTGTGGTTTAAAAAAGGGTCCAGATGGATCTAAGTGCCATTTATCCATTACTGAAGTACTACGAAGTTGTTTGAGCAGCAATCATCCCTTGGGTGTATTTTTTCACCTTTCCTTTTAATCTTGATACGGTATTTGATTTATCTTGGTTTCAAATGTTTTCTGCTTCATTTATTCATTCGTTTAAGTCATCATCTTCAACATCAAAGATTGATATTTCTACTTTTGAACATAGACCAATTATTATTAAGTCTCTGTACCCTCAAAACCTCGTCAATTTTTACATAAGAAAAACTTCGGCTGATTAATTTTATAAAGATGGCACAGCAATTATTTTTTTTAAATGTTAACTTCTACTTTGGCACAAAATACGATTCGCTTTAAAGATTGTTTTTGTCTATATTTCGCGATAGTTTTCTGCCTCATCTCACATCAATGCAACCACGATACAAATCAGCCACAGCGAAGCGTGGCAGGCTAGTTCTTAATAGTATTTATAAGGGAATAGAATTAGGTAGTACTTAGTTGCATGCCAACAACAGGTCGAAAATTATATGTATCATCTGACATCTCTGACATCTCATTGGTCAAATCAAGTAGGATTTGCTTCCTCGCCTTCCGTCGAACTGGTGGCTATTGATAGGGATGTGTGTCTTTCGAACCTCATAGTTGGTTTTGGTACTAAGTTCTTCTTATACCTTAGGTATTATTTAAGAGAACACAATTGTTACTTACTGTATCACCTTGCCAATCTACTTTCTCAGGATCCAACTCCAGAGTGCATAGAGGAGGCTGCTACCGAAGATTTTCAACCTTGCTCAGAAGATTGCGAAGAGGAAGAACCAGCACCAGATGAAAATGAAGAACAAGAGTAAGAATAAATATAGATCCACGGAAGAATGAACATAAGGAAATACAATGAAACTTCAGCTCTTCTAACTATGCGGAGATCCGCAATATTTAACTTATGGCTATTAGGTACTAGCTGTATCACGACCCTTGAAGCGTGTTACAAGACCAATAACGTCATTATTTTTGAGTGTATTGGAATAAAGTAATAAATATTTATTTTGCATACCTATATGTTATTGGCCACACTTCCTACTTAACAATTCGTATAAGAATTATTTAATTTAGACTAATGTTTCTTCCGTTCGGTTTAGAAAAAAGATTAGGGGTATTAAACAAGCGGGGCCAGTTTCCGAAATTATGGAAGATAGGGAAACTGGTGCTCATCCGAAAAGAGGGGCGCCCGGCGGACTAACCGTCCGCCTACCGGCCCATAGTGTTGCTTGACGAGGTGTTCAAGCTCTTTGAAAGATTGATTGCAAGGCGCCTCGTCAAGCATCTCATGATGGTGGGGCCGGATCTGGCGGACAACCAGTACGGTTTCCGTCAGGGGCGCTCCACCGTGGATGCGATCATGCACGTGAAGGCTCTGGCGGAGGAAGCAGTTTCCCAGGTGGTGTTGGCGGTGTCCTTGGACATCGCCAACATCGGCTACGACTGGGTGCTTCGTGGTGCCTTCTTGGATGGTGTCGCCGTCGTGTGCTACGCGGACGACACACTCGTGACGGCGCGCGGCAAGACGCACCACGAGGCAACCCTGAGGGCCACGGCCGGGGTTGCCCGAATCGTTGAGCGAATCCGGCGGCTGGGTCTCGAGGTGGCTCTGCACAAGTTCGAGGCCCTGTTCTTCCACGGGCTTCGGAAGAAGCCACCTGAGGGATCTAGTCTCACGATAGGAGGCACTCGCATCGGCATCGAGCCCTCGATCAGGTATCTGGGGCTCGTACTCGATGGCCGATGGGACTTCGGATATCATTTCCGAGGTCTTGTCCCCAAGTTGGTTGGCGAAGCGCGTGCGTTGGCGCGGCTGCTGCCCAACATGAAGGGACCCTATAACTCCTGCAGGAGACTCTACTCGGGGGTGCCCAGTATGGGCGGGGGCCCTAAAGGCCAGCAACGTCGCGATACTGCGATGACCGCAGCGAGTGCTGGCCTTCAGGATCATAAGGGGTACCGCACGATCTCCTTTGAGGCGACGAGTCTCCTGGCCGGAACTCCACCGTGAGACCTGGAGGCGAGAGCCCTTGCGGCTCTGTATCAGTGGCGCAAGGAGGCGCGGGAGTTGGGTCGGTGTCCCGAGATTCGAGATATCGATGACCGAAAATCCCAACTCCGCCAGGTCATCATAGGGGAGTGGAGGGAACGACACGGGCAACCGAGCGCCGGGCACGCCGTCATCGCGGCGATAAGACCCGTTATGGAGGATTGGCTCGAGAGGCGTCACGGGACCCTCTCATACCGACTGACGCAGGTGATCACTGGGAAAGGATGTTTCGGGGATCACCTGTGTCTGATCCGCAAGGAGCCAACGCCTGAGTGCCATCACTGCGATGGCCAGACCGTGGACACGGCTCTCCATACGCTGGCAGAGTGCCCGGCGTGGGTTGAGCAGAGGCGAGACCTCGTGGCGGCCATCGGAGTGGGAGCCTGATTGCGGCTATCGTGCGGAGCGAGAGTGCGTGGAACTCTGCCGTCTCCTTCTGCGAGCAAGTTATGCTAGCGAAGGAGACGGCGGAGCGGGACCGGGAGAGGTTTAGAACTCTCCCGGCCCGCCAGGCCCGGGAACGGGCCAGGTACCGCAGGCGACTCAGGCGCCGGAGGACGCAGAACGAGCTCCTCCATAAGCGCAGGCCTGGGGGTGACAGGTGAGGCCGTCTGTCACCCTAGCAGAAGCAGGTCGGGGTGGCGGCGAGCGCGTTGCGAAGCGCGCTCGCTTCCAGGGAGCAGAGGGAACATAGGGTTCCCACATGGGGGGGAGTCGTCTACTCGTCTGTAGATGGCCCGAGGTATGTCGGGGCACCAGGGACTTCCTTTCTAGGGTATACCTGGGGGTGGTATCCGAGGGGATTTCCGCACGGAAAAAAAAGGGTATTAAACAAAAAAAAAACAATTCTCCATCTTAAATATTATTTGTTTGGTAGGTATAGATAAATATATATTTAGGAAATACATCCTATTCAGTGTGTATAGGATGGATTTCACACTGTACTATACACTGAATGGGATCAACCTTGACTTTTGTTGAGTTTAATATAAAAGGAATGATTAATAATAATAATATTATTTATTTGCAGAAAATGTGGTAGTCACAGTAGGTAGTTTCACATCACACATCAACAGCCTTTAATAGTCCACTGCTGGACATGGGCCTCTCTTTAGAAAAGAGGTTTTGGCCTACTATACCAAACGGGTTGGTATAGGGTTTGTTAATGTTCCGCCCGTCCGGGAATCGGAGGTAGGGGCGGCTGTTCTACGGATCCGTTCCAAGAACACCGCCCCTGGGCCAGACGGGGTACCGGCCCGAGTGCTGGCCCTGGCCCTCAACCACATGGCAGACCGCCTCGGGGAGGTGTTCGACGCTAGCTTGGCGTCGGGACGCTTCCCTGAGTGCTGGAAGAGCGGGAAGCTGGTCCTATTGAGGAAGCCGGGACGGCCTGCCGATTCGGTCGGGGCCTATAGGCCCATCGTGCTGCTGGACGAGGCGGGCAAATTGTTTGAGAGGGTTCTTTCTGCCCGCATCGTCCGGCACCTCTGCGAGGTGGGCCCCGATCTGTCGGACGCCCAATTTGGTTTTCGGGCGGGGCGTTCGACGGTCGACGCCGTGTTGCGCCTGAGGGCCGTGACCGAAGAGGCCGTGAGCTGTGGCGGCGTGCTGTTGGCGGTGTCATTGGACATCGCCAACGCATTCAATAGTCTGCCATTCAGCTGCATCAGGGAAGCACTCATCTATCATGGGGTGCCAAAGTACCTGAGGCGGCTGGTGGCAGACTATTTAGAGGAGCGTACCGTCGTGTACGAGGACCGAGAAGGTTATTTGAGGTGTCGGCCCATGTCGTGCGGTGTTCCACAGGGGTCTGTTCTTGGACCCCTCTTGTGGAACATAGGGTACGACTGGGCCCTTCGCGCCGATTTCCCCCCCGGGCTGGGTGTAATCTGTTACGCAGACGATACCCTGGTGACAGCCCGGGGGCAAACTTCCAAGAGGCGGCGCGCCTGGCCACAGGGGGAGTCTCCCTGGTGGTCGGGCGCATTGAGGCGCTGGGCTTACGGGTGGCCCTAGATAAGACGGAGGCCCTGTTATTTCATGGGCCCCGTCGTGGTCCACCCCCTGGCGCCTCCATCGTGGTCAACTCGGTCCTCGTACCGGTTCGGGCCCAGATGAAATATCTGGGCCTGATCCTCGACGGGAGGTGGCTCTTCGACGAGCACTTCCGACAGCTTGCTCCAAAGCTGGTCGGCGCTGCGTCTGCCCTAGGGCGACTTTTGCCCAATATGGGTGGACCCAGCGTCGCGACAAGACGGCTGTACACGGGGGTTGTCCGGTCAATGGCACTGTACGGTGCACCGGTGTGGGCGGCGGCTCTGACCGCCCAGAATAGGGTACGCCTCTGGCGCCCTCAGAGGGTAATGGCGGTCAGAGCCATACGCGGTTACCGCACCGTTTCGACGGAGGTGGCGTGCGCGTTGGCCGGAACTCCCCCGTGGGATTTGGAGGCGGAAGTGCTCGCCGAAGTTTATCGGCGAGTGGCTGACTCCCGGGCGGAGAGCGGATTTCGCCCTCCGCCCGAGGATGTGCGCGAGTGGCGCGAAGCCGCTCGCCGAGCCACGATGGCTCGTTGGTCGTTCCGGCTGGAGACTCCACGCGCTGGCTTCGCCGCCGTGGAGGCTCTCCAGCCGGTCATCGCCGAGTGGGCAGGGCGGCAGCACGGGACCCTTTCCTTCCGGCTGACGCAGGTGCTTTCCGGGCACGGTTGCTTCGGAAAGTACCTGCACACGGTCGCTAGGAGGGAACTGAGTCCCGCCTGCCACCACTGCGACTGCAGTGAGGACTCGGCCCAGCACACGCTGGCGGTCTGCCCCGCATGGGCGGCGCAGCGCCGGGCCCTCACTGCAGTCATCGGAGTGGATCTCTCGCTACCGGCCGTAGTACGCTCCATGGCCGGTAGCGACAGTTGTTTTACCGCGGTCGCAACCTTCTGCGAGGTAGTAATCTCGCGGAAGGAGGCGGCGGAGAGGGCCCGGGAGGACGACCTCCACTCGGACCCGATCCGCCGCCGGCGAACCGGGCGGCGGAGGCCCGCCTATCACAGCCTCATGCCGCCCTGAGTGTGGCCGCGGGTGGACGGGTGGGTTTCCCCTCCACCCGCATTAGTTGGCCAGCCGCGAGGGGGCGGCGTCCGCGTGTGCCGGACGTCGCCTAAAGACAGGAAAATACATTGAGACGGAGCCCGCACCAGGAGCGGGCTGGCGCTAGGAGGGGTCCGGATGTCTTAACAACAGCTGTTCCCGGATCCCTCCTGTTACAGGCGCAGAGTGGCACACCGTGTGGTTTTAGTCGGTCCGAGTCCGACACACCACCCCGCCGCAAACCCCGGAGGGGTGACGGTCCGAGGGGATTTCCACACGTTAAAAAAAAAAAAAAAAAAAAGGGTTTGTGTTTCAAGTTTTCCTTCTCCTTGCAGTGCTGTTATCCTGCGTAGGTAGTTCTATTAGTCGGCTCTTACGACACCCACGGGATGAATAGGGGTAGTGACACTCCGTATTCTTAATCCGTTACCACACGGAATGGTAGGTAGTTTACAATGTTCAAAGCACAAGACGCATTTCGCTATATTTAGATAGCATGCAAATTGTTAAGATGACAGAGATAAAATTATTAAAACAAAACTACTCAAAAGCATTAGATTGATGATTAATTTGCTATTACATTGTATTACAGCCACTCCAATTAAAATACTACACTAATGTATTTCTGAAGTGATATGACTGAGTAGAGTACTTTTAAAAACAATCATTGACGGAGTAAAATCACTCTGCTACTAAGCAATTTTTGTCATAAGGAAGAGTTGCAATATAACACGTAATAAATAAGTGGTGCCATATAAACACAGCTAAACCTGAAAATTTCTAGGTACTGGTAATTTAAAATACGAGTCAGTACTTTTATGTTTGTTGGCAAGAGAGCTCTTTGAACTCAAGGACAATAATCCTTAAGTTCAAAGGGTTTTTATTGCACTTTAAAAATTTAGTTCTTTGTAAATGAACATGCCAGGGACGGTTAACAGCGGCGAGCGCGTTGCGAAGCGCGCTCGCTTCCAGGGAGCACAGGGAACACGGGGTTCCCACACGGGGGGGGTCGTCTACTCGTCTGTACATGACCCGAGGTATGTCGGGGCACCAGGGACTTCCTTTCTAGGGTATACCTGGTTCCCCGGCTATTAGCACCCGAGACGGCGTGCGGTTTTAGTCGGTTCGAGTCCGACATGCCACCCGGTCGGTGGTATCCGAGGGGACTTCCGCACGGAAAAAAAAAAAGGGACGGTCAACAGATTGTGAGATACAAAAATAGGCATGCATGAATCTTTCTATTTCAAGCCGAATATTGCTCGAAGCGATTTTTTTACCCTAAAAATACTCGCGTAATTTCTGATGAGTAATATGTATGGTAGACCATTAAAGCAGTCAAAGCAATCCCTTTAACTTTTTTCAATGCAAATACAAAGTTATTGATCTTTTTGCGAACATTTTCTTGTGATACTTCCACGTCAAATGTTCGTGTACTGAAATACCTAGATTTTGTGCTCTGTGTGTATTTGTTCTATTTCTTGATCATCATAATCAACTGTAATATGAAATTGTTTTGTTTTTGCTATTCTAAAATGGATAACTTTTGTTTTATCTATATTAATGTTTAAATTATTCGTATCAAGCCATTTGATGATATTCTGAAGTGTCTTGTTTACTTCATACATGAATTTAAGTTAATAGAGATTTGTGATTTTGTATTGCTTGAGGGAGATCATTGATGTTAATTAAAATTATTACTTTTATTTTCATCTTTCAAGTTATGTCCAAGAATTAGCTGGAGGAAAGGCATTTTTTTTTCTTTTTCAAATAGTTTTTATCCGATTTATCCAGCAAATATTTTTTGCCAGCCTAAACGGTTTTTAACTAATAGAATTTTTTATCAAATACTTATAGACTTTATTTTAACGTATAAGGGACTGAACATTTAATTGCATGGAACACGACCTGATTGATAGTACCGTTATTAATAAAAATAAGTGACCGGCTCGAAAGGTAGTTTTTTTAAATCCGATATTTAGAATGGCTAGTGGCAACACTGTATACCGATGTCCTTACGTCATCACATGAGACATTCGGTATCAATGCAGTCAATTTACATTTGATTTTATAAAATATAGCACATAAACTGCTATATATAATTATTATTATGCTAACTAAAAGTCCGAAGCCTGCATACAAGAGATTTATCACGTTTTCTTTGAAGGCTGTATTGTTAGTCGAAGCTGCAGGATTAGCTGTCTCCTACGGTCTCTGGCACAAGTTAAATTCCGATAGAGGTGATTAAACTCTTTTTATTTTTATGTATATTATACATACATCTATATTTATAACAAAGCCATTTATACGTAGTTAAACTTTCCTTTCTAAATTAAGACAAGTGATCTAAATGTGTCGCGGAAATCTCCGTTGTAATTTTTATCGATAGCACCTGATATTATCATCTTCGAAACAATATAGGTATCAGGAAGAAAACTGACTATGACTGCAATAATATGTTGAAAAACTTCCTTCCTAAGGAGGGGCCTATGTCCAGCAGTGGACTATTAAAGGCTGCTTATATTGAAATTGACAAACATTTGCTATAAATTTTGTATTCTGTCAAATTATATCATCACGCTTGAACTGTTTTCATGCTTGCTAAGGCATTGAACTCTATCAAGCATGCTATCAAGCAAACATCTACTTATATATTTAGTAGATTTTATTTAATCAAAATTATTTTGATATAGCTGACCACTTTCAACCTCAACTGCAGTAATTTGAGATAATTATCTAGGCTAAACATTTATTCTTTTTAATTCTTTTTCTGCATTGGCCCTCATGCAGCAATCATCAACATAATGGGCCAGTTTCCTAAACAACTATCTTATTTCAAATAATATGTTTCACAATTAAGATGAATTATTTGTATAATGCGGTGCTGAAGCTAACAGAATTTCGTACAAAGACCTTTGTGCTTACTGCCAGTGGTCAAAAATAATTTTACTTAAAGTGCAAGTCCATAAAATTTTGCGGAAAATATGTAAAATATACAGAATATGTGTAATTTAATTTATATTTGTCTTAAGGTAATTACTTATTATTTGGTATTAAATATTATATGAAGTTTATATGAATATACTATACTCAGCCTTACTCAGGTATACACAAAGTCAACACTCAACATCACATTAACCTGTATGGAGATGGCAATGAATTTACTCGCTAGGGACAGATTAAGGATATTAACAAGTCCATGTATGCAATCCTTTCTGTTCCGTGACCCCACTATAGTTTCAATTTATAAAACTCTTTGCGTCATCAATAATACCCAGAAGTAAAAAGAGTGAAGTAATGCCTAGAAACGCCTTAATAATTTTGACAAACTAATAATACAGAAATTGAATGACTTTATTTTGTTGTATGAGCAAACTGAGCAGTTACTTAAAATATGTAAATAAATAATTTGCTGAATGGTCTTAGTGTATTTTTGGTCCACCTATCACTGGTGTTGCTAGTTGCTTGTGTAGGCTATTAAAATGTTATAATAAAATTTTAGTTATATAGATTTATATTGATAAAATAGCTTGTAAGCACTTCTTCGCTCGAGACATGGGTTGAAACCTAGTTCGGGCAAACGAACAACAAATGTATTTTATTTATAAATTAGAGAACCATTTATTATAAATTATTGTTCTCCTAATCTCATATCATCATCATCAACTACCTTCAATAGTCCAATGCTGAACATAAGCCTCTCCTTAGAAAGGAGGTTTTGGCCTACTATACCGTGCTGGCCAGACGGGTTGGTATAGGGTTTGTGTCAAGTTTTCCTTCTCTCTGCAGTGCTGTTGTTCTGCATAGTTTTTTTCCCTTAGTCGGCTCTTACGATACCCACGGGATGAATAGGGGTGGTGACACTCTGTATTCTTAATCCGTCACCACACGGACCTTATCGTATTATTATAGTTTACCTTTCAAGTATTTATTTGCAAAGAGTAGTTATTGATCCAGATTAATATAAACACCTAATATAAAAATAAATTGTTTTTGCAGATTTTCGTCTGTATATGTACAAAAACTACAACTGGGCGTTAGAGGGTTACTACGGAGTTGGTGAAAAGTTAGCAAACAATAAAACTAGGGAATTAGATCAGGCAGTTTGGAGAAACGAAGGCAAAATATAAAAAAAGCGGTGAGATGAGTATTGCAATTAGAGCCACTTTCTGGGTGGCAACATTTGGAACAATCGGTTATGCACTGTTCAAGTTGGTCAAACCTGATGATGAGCTACTTAAGCAGGTCATTCTATTTTTGTTGTTATCTTCAATATTTGTTGATTGTGGTCACTGATCATTTAGTTTGTCTTTTATTGGGACTAATTAATTGTTGCATGTTGTATGTTAATACTAAAAGTCAGTGGCGGATTAGCCACGTAGCAAGAGTAGCAAATGCTACGGGCCCCGCGCATTTGGGGGCCCCCGCTCTTTCTGACCGTAAAAAAGTATCTACTTACTCGTATTTCGATCGGAGTGTAATAATATTTTTTCAAACCAATAAAGCCAAAATTCTTATCACGAAAGAGTTGCATCTAAATGTCAAACTATAATTTGACGGGCCTGTTGGTTTAGTGGTTAGTGAGCCTGCTAAGCTAGAGGTCGTGGGTTTGATTCCCGCCCAGGACAAGTAATTGTGTGATAAGCACGATGATTTGTTCTGTGTCTGGGTGTAATTTATCTATAATATGTATATATTGAGAAATATATAAGTATGTTTATCAGCAATCTGGTTAGAATAGTACAGGCTCTGCCTAGTTAGGTAAACATACAGCCGTGTGTGTGATGTGTTAAGTAAAAAATTTAAACTTTTAGTACATTTCTAAAACTATGTTTTGCACTGCGACCCAACGCTGCGTGTGACACCCAAGCCAAGCAAATTGCCTGCGTGTGCTGGGCCGCGTCCTCACTGCAATCGGAGTGATGACTGGCGGGATTCAATTCCCTCCTATCGAACGATTGCAGAATTAGCCGTACCCAGAAAGAACCTGCTCTGCTCTGGACGCTCTGCCCACTCAATGATTGGCCTCAACTCAACGACCGGTTGGAGTGCCTCTACGGCATCGAGCCATCGTGGCTCGGCGAGAGGCTTTACGCCCCTCGCGCTCCTCTTCGGGTGGGGGCCGAGCACTTCCTTCCCAAATCCCACGAGAGTGTTCCGGCCAGGCGTCGACACGGTGCTATAACCATGGTTCTAACTGCCAATGCCCTCTAAGGGCGCCAGAATAAAATATGTTTTATAAGCTCAGACTTATTTTAACAGTGGCGTGCAATCATTTTTTGTATTAGGCTGAGTAAACATGCTTTTTATATTCAAACCCAGAATAATATTAATATTAAATCTTAACATTTGGTAATAAAAATCAATAATGACACAATAGTAAACATACAACACAAACTGCACAATAGACATTGAAATAATATGTCCATAATCCATAGCACTTACATAATTTTGGTGAATGCGCGCCCTATGCCGGGCGGTCAGAACTGCCGTCCACACTGGGGCACCGTACAGTGCCATTGACTGGACAGCCCCGTGTACAGCTGTCTTGAAACGATGCTGGGTGGGCAAAAGTCACTTCAGAGCAGACGCAGTGCCGACCAGTTTAAGGGTAAGCTCATCGAAGAGCCATCTCCCGTCAGATATCAGGCCCATATCCTTCATCTGGGCCTGAACCGGTACGTTGACCAAGATGACCACGATTGAGGCGCCAGGGGGTGGACTACAACTAGGCCCAAGAAATAAGAGGCCTCCGTCTTATCCAGGACCACCTTTAAGCCAACCACCAGAGACACCCCAGGTCCCCTCCTACCCACAGACAACCAAAGTGTCGTTGGCGTAACAGATTACGCCCAGCCCGGGGGAAGTCTCCTCGAGGGGCCTAGTCGTACCCTATGTTCCACAGGAGGGCCCAAGACCAGAGCCCTGTTCAACACCACATGACATGGGCCAACGTCTCCAAATTGAAACAAAAACTATAGGGCTTGTTTCTTGAAACTTAAAACAAGCCCGAGTAGGGTTTGTTTCAAATTTGAGACTGGTATAACCAACCCGTCTGGCCAGCGTAGCATAGCAAACAAAACTCTCCTTTCTAAGGAGAAGCCCATATCCAGCAATAGACTGTTGAGGATGATGATAAATTCCATAAACTAGATAACCTAAAACAACCCAAGGGGCCCTTGGTAGAATTTGCTACAGGCCCCGCGCTGTCTTAATCCGGCACTGCTAAAAGTATTGTTTAGATTTGTGGATTTCTATCTAATTGTTGTTGTTAAATATATTTTTAAAACAAAAAGTGGAAGACTAACAATGACTATATTGTTATAACGAAAAACCTAACTACCCTAAATACCCTAGATTCTATAGTACTCTTTGTACTTCTAGGGTACCGTTAAGATGGGTGTATAAGTTAAATATATTTAAAATTGTCTAGAAGACAAAACCTCTTTCAACAGTAGTTCATAGTCAATGATCTTACCTTTACCAATTTATTAAAAGAAATGCTATGCAATTTTAAATTGGTATATTGATATCAGTGTCCCTTCTATAAAGCATTCACCTAACAATAAAGTTTGCCATTGAAGCTTTAAAGTCATCAAGTTTGATCCATTTTGATTCATTAGATTTCATTAAACATATCTTGGAAGTGTAATTTGCTTATACATTTTTTTTTGCAGTTGGACTCAGAATCTAAACATACAGATGCTAGAAGAGCTAGTGTACAAACAATAGAAGTGCTTAAACAAGCTGCAGATCAAAATTCTGAACTAAGTAAGACATTAGAAGAGTTGATAAAGAAAGGAAAATGAGTGATAAAAATACAATTTTAGAAAGGTTAAGTAGGCGAGATGCACAACGGTTAGAAAAATTACAGAAAGCACACAAGGCGAGGGAAGAAGTCGATGCATGTGATGAAAACGAGGATTATTTCTCTGGCGCCTTTAAAATAAAATCTGAATACATTGAAGACCTGCTATCACAAGTTCCAACCACAGAAACTAATGTGTTACCTTCGCACTTTGACAACATAAAACGAGAAGTGAACGAATTACAAAAACATGTTGTGACATCATCATTTTTTCTAAAGGAGTTTAATATGCGGAAATATTTAGGTATAGTGCAGAATTTACAAACTACATGTTATGAATTAGAAGATCGTTATGTACCAAGGAAAAAGTTTGGGTTTTCAAAGAAAAAGCTACCAAAATCTCATAATCAGAAGCAAGGGTCCTTAGACGAGAGTGACGGTGCAGGCAAGATTGATAGCAACAAGTGGGATGAAAAGCTTTTCGGTTTTGATTCACAGGAAAATAAAGTGTTACTACTTGAGAATGATGAGCTGTTTCAGAGGGATGTTGCTCTACGTAATCTTAAGAACTGTACCATTGGCCTAAAAGGTATTATGGGTACGTTGCATTTAACTAATTTAGAAAACTGTGTGATATTGTCTGGACCAGTGACATCATCTGTATTTGTTGATAAATGTACCAACTGCAAGATTGTAACAGCTTGTCAACAGTTACGTATGCACACATCCACTAACTGTGACATTTATTTACACGTCACTAGTAAAGGTATTGTCGAGGATTGTTCTGGTGTATACACGGCCCCATACAATTTATATTATCAAGATTTAGAAAAACATTTCAATATGTCCTCTTTAGACCGAAATGCCAATAATTGGGATAAATTGGATGATTTCAATTGGCTGGCCCCAGATGTTCCATCACCGAATTGGTCAGTATTGGATCAGTCACAACGCATCACAAATTGGGATGCTTGGTGGTCAAAGATACCTTCCTAGTGACAGAGCAGGGTAGTCATAAAAAAATTGCCGTGTTATAATAATCTTAATACTCCATAAAATATAACACCTACTAACTTACTGCGATATAAAACCGGATTCCACAGCCAAAAAATTTCTGTATATTATATATGTGACATCGGGTAGAATTCCTTTTTAATAACAAAATTTCCTTTTACTAAAGAGATTACATTTAGTGACGTCGTTGGGTCCAACTAAAAATACCCGTACTCAAAAACAATACTTCAGTGAGGTTGAACACAACACTAAGTTATGTAAGACATTTCTCAACACATTTGTTTTAACGAGACATTATCGAATTCCTTTGTGCTGCTATATCAATCTCGTTATTTGTTAAAATACAGCGGAAAGTACGAAAAAAATAGTGTAATTCACATCATCTGTCACTATCGCCAATGCTAAGGGTTGCGTAAAATAGCTGTCGGCCTACTGAGGGTCCGTTTTAATGAACTCATTGCTCAAGCTTTTTTATGAATTGAAATTGCTGACCGTATGCTTCCAGACTCTCAGGTGCTCATAGTATTGTTTGTGAATACGGGTGTAAGAGTGCAACATCACATTATCGATAGTAATTTTGATTGCTTGTTGATTTTTAGCACCAAATGTTATTTACATTAACAACACACACATAAAAGTAAAATGATCAATAGTATAATTACGATATGTTATTCTAATCTGCCGTTCTATTAAAAAATATTAGATTATTAAATTGTCATCACAAAAAAAAATGTGTCAGCACAATATAGTTTTTGCTTAAAAATTAAACATTATATGTATTAAAAAAATTAACACTCAAAATGCAGTATTTAATAGTTTAGGAATAAGACCTACTAAACTATGTAATTGAATAGTCAAGAAGAAGAACTTCTATCTTAGATCGCTCTAAAATTGCTATGCTTGTGGTTGTGCAATGTTTAAAAACTGGACTCATTATGACCATACTTTGTATTTCTTAACAAAGGAATATTGTTTTTACCACACAAATATTTACATATTGTAGAGTTTAATTTGTGTTGTTGCCGTGACTGATGTAATTTTAATAATAAAACTGCTGTGCTGTTTCGCTATTTAGAACATCTTGTAACATATATTAATTATTATTTAAATTCTCACAGAACTGACCGGTGCCCTTCTTATGTTTTTATACTACTATAGAGCTATTATCATGTTAAATTTTTAGATTTGGTGGTAATACCACTCCATAGATAGCGAGTAGTGATGACCATCGACTAGGCTCGTCTATACCAAAAACAAAAAAATTATATTGTTTTAATTTTGATAGTACTATTTGAAACACTTTTCTTTGAACAATCTTTGAAAAAAATTGTCTACGGATTCTTGGTATGCCTAGAATAGAGACAACCGGTCATTTGCTGCTCGCATCACACATATTCTTAGTTAGGTATTGCAGATTCATATGTTAATTTTGATGTTGAAATTTTATCAGAACACTGATAAATTGAGCCATAGAATTACGTTAACAAATGTCTGCTTATTTAACTCAATGCATATAATTTATGAAATAAATAACTTTATGAGTCGTCTGCCTTTTTTAATACTCTTTTACGTATAAATATAGAAAATTCTTACCCCAGACGATTCCCGACATCATATTTTTTTTATCTGGTATAATCCAAACCCAAGTTTGAGGGTTCAATAAAGTAGGTAGCCCTTGCGCTTCGCTTGGCGGGGACGCTGCTCTGTCCCCAAATTACATTCACATAACAATGTGGAAAGAATACATATATCTTGAAAATATGAATCATTTTCTTACACTTACCTTATAAAATTATTAAAACCACCTACTGTACACATCGCTTGTTTTCCACAACAAGCGATTAACAGTAGGACCTTATGAACAGGCCTTTTTCCACGTCACCATCGTGTTGTCTGTTCCAACCACAGATTAGTATAATGTAGCAAGCTAGTTCCAACTAGGGCCTTCAAGCCCGTGCTTAGGAACAAAGAGGCGCTACCTCGCTCGCTTGAGTAAACTTCACACATTACAAACTTTTCTACTAAGCGAAATTGTCATTCTCATCACCTGGATAGTTGGCGCTCCACTACTGTGCGCTTTTCGAGACACTGCCCCCCACAACCAATCTGTGGAACGGGTTATCGTCTGCGGTAGATCGGGACCGATAGGATTCAAACCTTCAAAAAGAGCGTACTCCTTCCTAAAAGACCGGCAACGCGTTTGTGACTCCTGAGATGCAGACGTTCATGGGCGGCGATGGTCGCTTTCCATGAGGAGGCCCGCTAGTTATCTCTGACATTACAAAAAAAAAACAACGTATAATTCCGACTAGTATTACCTGTTACGTGCCAATACAGTTCAAGCTTTAAGTTACTAATATTGTGTATTCATTATGTTGGCAAAATAAAAGGCATCACAACAATAAATAATAATTTATTTGTTTTTAAATTGGAAATATATAAAACTGTCGAGTTGATAAAATCACAGTAATTTAATAAAACCTTTATTACTTTACATAGACAAGTTAAACAACACAGAACATTACAGAGACGGACTCCATAAATTATAAATGGAGAAAAAATAATTTTCGGTTTATTCTTCTATATTTAAACTGCGCGATTATTATTAGCAACACAAAAAAAGTAATCTCTTAAAGTAAAATCTTAGTAGGTACAATTATTATCAACGATAAATGAACAAAATTAAGGATTAAAAAGAATGAATTTTCACCCGGAAGTCTTTTTCAAGATAAGATAGCTTAATTAGATATCTTTTTACTTACAGTATTTCTATATTTACGGTAGCCCTAGCACGATTTTACAACTTACCAATTCTAACTCCATTAAATAAACAAGAGATTAGGCACTTTTTGCAAAGATTAACTTTTATAAAATGCGCATAATTTTATAATTATTTTTCTTATTTTATATCCTCAGAGAGGGAATGGTGCCGTTAATAAATTTAACGGGACTATTCCTTGGTCAAACGGGACCAAACTTGAAGACAATTGATTCAATTGAATAGTTATTGAAGTCTGTCAGTCGAATTGAGAACCTCTTGCATGTTCTCCTTACATTAAAATACTTTACATTTGAGTAATATAATCGTTTAAGTCAAAATTCGTACCAGGGCTTAAGATACTAAGTAAATTAAGTTATACTATTAGTATACTCACTACATTAAGAACGTATAATTTATTCATGTGTAACATCTTTTTTCTGGCTTGCCTGCATCTGTGAGAGTGATTTCGTGAAAAGGGACGGAAATACGTAACAGGAAGTCTAGATAATGGGCGCTATTTGATTTGAACAAAGCGAGCGCGGCGCTAGCGTTAGCTGTAAGATGGGGGATGTCAGGTGTAACACATCATATGAGACAACTGTAAGATACACTGGTTTTTTATTTTATCTATTAATCGAGAGACCTAAAAATATGTCTAATACACATCTCCCGTTATTTTCGATGTAAGCCAAAAAAACAGGTTTCGGTAATAGGCATCCGCTTTCCATCCATTGTGTTACATTGTACGTATAATCTGCTTTTGAGTTAGCTTTATTAGAGGTAAGGAACGACAATAGGTATATGTTTTTGTAACTAAATATTAGAAAAAAAATTGACATTGCCTGAATATTCCTTTACTAACACATGCGTTTAAAATAAACATCGAAACAACTTAGAATTAATCTGTTTGAAATAATTAAAAAACGACTTCAACTTCGCTTAAAAAAATTCAACCTCAAGTTGTGGAAGACTTGGAAATGGTAGGGTAAATTTTCACCGTCTTACAATAATAAGTTATCTAGAAAGAAACACAAGTACCTACCAATTGAAAACTCTTTGTTTCTGACAAAAATGAAACGTAGTTGAGCCTAATTTTAAAATGCCGAACGTTTCTTTCGAAACAGTTAGAGCCACAGACAGTTAGAAAACTTTAGAACATATGACACAAAATAAATCGAAGTCTCTTTGCCTAAAAATACTGACGCACTTAATATATAAGTGACAATAGTGAAAGATTTTACAAACTATGTTAGTAATACTAACGTGAACACTATTTAGCATCATTTTAACACCACATTGACATTTATTTAATAGTTAAGGTATATTTATGTTTCAGTACTTAGCCTTGTTTTCGAAGTAAGCGAATGCTTTAGAGGTTAGAAGGATCAAATGGACTGCACGGATGGCGTAGTGGTTTAAGCAGTCGACCCACCGCTTCCTACTGCGCTGAGTATTGTGGGTTCGATCCCCACATGGGACAACACTATGTCATCCATAAATTGTTTTTCTGAGTCTGGGTGATCTGTATGACTGTTTCATATATGTTTGTAAAGTCTCCCGCGACACAATATATTCCTAGTGCGGGAGAATCAGGAATTTCCCGGCAAGTCAGTGACAGGTACGCGTCAACAGCCTTAGGTGACGGATTAAGAATACAAAGTGTAATCACCTCCACTCATCCCGTGGGTGTCGTAAGAGCTGACTAAGGAAGACCAGCGTGGTATAGAATCCCAAACCTTCCTTTCCAAGGACAGGGCCTATGTCAAGTAGTGGACTATCAAAGGCTGCTGATGTGACGTATAAGAGACTACTTGTTGTACAGTTGACATAAATTGCCCTAGACCTGGGTTTGGAGTAGACATTTTTAACACTCGTAAATAACATTATAGACATATCCAATAAGTAAAGTATTCATAGAGTAAAGTAAAGGCTTATTGGTCATTTGTATACTGACATATTCCCAAGGATGTTGCCACTACTGTGGATACAGGCGATAATTATAAGAGATAAATGCAAGTTTTCTTTTTAATTGAGACTAAGTACATGAACACATTATATAACAACAGGACTGTCCAATCCAGGCTATTACGATCTCCATTACTGCGGCGTTTTGAATAAAAATTTACTTAAAATTATTTGAAATTTTTATTACCAATTCAGGCAAATTTAAATATTTATATTAAATTATATTAGATCTTACTTTGGACAATCCTAAACTAGATAATGATGTTGTTATAAATTATTGAATTTGCACACCATAACATCAACTTAATACATTTATAAAAATTGATAAGTTATTTGTATTATGCAATTTGTATTGCCAGTTTAGTCATAATCACATTCACCAACTAAATTGCATATTAAAATATGCAATTAAGTTCATAGGCTTACAGTTTACCTTCATGTTCTTTTTTTTTTTCATTCCAATCCCTAATTTCATGTAACCTGGCAACACTAAATAACTTTAACAGATACCCTACGTTTTATAAAAAAATTCGCTCTTATAACGTTAGTTGCGTAAATTATTGCATATCTAAAATACATTATACAACAATATAGAATTGTCATCCATTTCTAGTGATATTCTCCCTTTTTCCATTAGCAACTGGGGATTTCTCTACCTATAGACTTACTAATAGTATAACCTTAACAAATAATCTATTTCCCATTCTCTTCATAGTCATAGTATTCAAATAAAGTAGAACTAGTAATAAATAGACAACTTAGGATCTTAAAATAGTTCATAAGAAAACTAACATATTAATGTCAGAAATTTTGTAGTATATGACTAAGTCCACCTTTTGCCTACAATTTTACTAGTAAATCTATTGGTTTTTCAATTCCCAGTGGTCCCAACATACATTTGTCTTTGAATACGAGATTCGTAAAGTGGCCAGAAGACAGTATCGGTAACAGTGTGTAACTTACCTTTATTTTCACTTTTTTACACTACTAATTGCCGATTATACCAAACTACTTATTTACTTTAGCCAACCCTATTTTGACTTTAAAGAGGACAGTAGAAGAACTTGGATACAGCTAAGTAACTGATGGCAGTTGCTGGCAATTTAAGTTTAATAACGTTAAATATGTGTGACACGGTCGTCTATATAAATATTGAATAACTATGCAACGTAATTTATTATTAATATTGAAGGATACCGTAAATGAAACACGGAAGAACGAACAAATTTCCGGTACGAGAATATGGAGAGTTGATAAATACCGGAGATAGATATAATACCGTTACATAGATTCATACCAAAAATAAACAAATAACCTGGTTAATCATTATGGACTATCGGTAGGTATTTAAAACTAAAAAAAAATCGTCTTACATAATGAAGAAAATAAAAATTATTGGTAATCATATAATTATGACAGGAATATAATAGCAAAGTTTGAGCATTACAAATATTATTATTAAGGCAGTCAAGGTTACATGGAATGTTTCACACATTTAAGTACAATTTAAAAAAAAATGGAAATATTGTTAGAGATAGCGTATAAAAATGGGCAATAAATGTACACTTTCAGTCTTTATACGTTGTTATAGAAACCGGAATTCATTGTACCCCTGTACCCCTGGAGTGTTTTTCAATATACCGGTATTTATATTTTAACAGAAATTTCAGAACTAAAGCAATTAATTATATTATTTGAAAGAATATATTACATGATAAACATTTCCCATTTTCATTGTAAAAACTCCTTAAACTCTATATACTCGTATGCTAACTCACGAAGGTCATACAAATCTCGATCAAAATACAAATCGAAGCTAACGCTTAAGGGGTATTGCAGTGACATTCGGTTGCCATATGAAGACATACAACGTTAGAATAAACTAATTTTATATTTTATGCACCGAACCAGGAGTACACAGATATTATATTTAATAATTACACAATTTTTGCAGGACTTTTTCCCATGGTGGACGCAAAATAATATCTAAAATAGGTTTCATAAATTTTAATCGTCTCTATCCTTTTCAGATAGAAAATAATGTTATCTAGTATATAGTTTAATTAGTAAAATGTAGTTGTCTACTTAAAATTAACTCCGGTTACTGAAAAGGCAAAGCGGTTGGACAGTTTAAGCCTAAAGTACTTGTAGTGATTATTAAAAAGAAAATACTTTTGTGCATAGAATTGTAATGTTAATTATTACATATTAACTCTTAGAATATATGTAAAATCTATTAAGGCATTATTTTGCTATTTCATTACAATATTTTAAGTAAGTTACTATTAGATTTACATTAAGTTAAATTTATATTAGAAATTTTAGTATCTAAATATGTGTTATTAAAACGTTACACCATGTCATATTACTTTTTAATGATGATTTTCTAGAAGGTTATGAGTGAGTCTGTCATGAGTTAACCATCTTATTATAGTATTTATGTAAGAACTAAGTTAAATAGTTTTGTCTAGTGGGTGTGTCGGGTTCTGGCGTTAGTGTAATAAGTAGAGTTCGAAAGCGCTACCATTTTACCATTTGGATTGCTACTTCAATACATAAAAAAATGTTAATGTTACAGTATTAGAAATATATATATATATATATATCTCACACACGGCCGTCTGATTCCAAACTAGGCAGAGCCTCTGCTATGGTAACCAGACTGCTGATAAACATACTTATATATTTTAAAATAGATACATATTACAGATAAATTATAAATGTTATGGTTACAGTACATTGGTTTTTTTTTCAAAGTTACTTACACGGATGACTTTTCAATCATACACAACGTCCCTGAAATGTCAAATTATTCTTTAAACAAATAGTTATTTAATAATATCCTTTTAATTTACTTACTTGATTCGGTGAGAAGATCTAGAGCATTCTTAGAAAGGACATATCTACGTCGCTTGTTAAGTATTTTGAGTCTGATTAAACTTTTTAGTTAACTAATACTGTAATTCAGTAGACAAGAGTAATAAGAGGTAATTGATCCAACAAGAATCAGTACCGATAAATTTAACACTAGTTGAGTCCATTAATCGATCTAAGTGGCGTCCAATGGGACAGGATTATGTCTAGCAGCGGACTGCGATGGGCTGATGATGATACTATTTATTTCTGGTTCTCTGTCTTATTATGGGTGAATTATTACCTCTTTTAATACATAAAAGTTCACGATGTCATTACATATTAAGGGCATTATTAAAACATTTACATATATTAAACAGAGGCTATATATATTGTGCTATTTGAGGCGGAGTATGACATCAATGGCGAATTTATCCAAATCTTATAAGTATAAAAGATCTTCCTAGGTTTATCCTAAAAGGACTCATGATAAAGGTACTTTTGAACCATTCTCCAAAAATATATTTTGCTACATTTCACGGCATACCATGACTAATAATAAAATTACATGTTGTTTTTGCTACCTTCTAAATTGAAGTCACATGATATTGAAATTTATTTTTTGAATACCGGTTTTCGTTAGAGTTTTACGATACCGGAACTATTATGAAGTTAAGGAATCTTTGAGAATATCGGTAGTAAGTTCTAACAAAGCTATAAAGTGAAAACTTGAATATATTTTTTTTATAACACTTTTTTCTTTTGTAATTTTTTGAGAAGTGCCGACATGAATATATATCTATGTTGTACGTATATATACAATATATGTTTGCATTATATATAGTTATATTATCAATGTATTTCAACCTAAACTCTCGTGTAAATGGGGCCAATATTTGTAGATCCATAAATACAGAGGTGTCAGTAACGGTAACAGTGTCGCGATTTCAATGATTTTTTCCCATCTCAAAAAGTACATTCTTTTGCTTGTTGTTTAAAAATGCCCAACGCGCCTAAAGAAAATATAAAAAAATGTCTTCTGAAAGCTTATAAGTCTTCTGACAATATAAGCATTCTCGTTCCAATTTCATCATCCGCTTGTATAAATTTTAATCGAGTCGAACTGTTTGTTCTATAATGGATTTTGATATGGGTTGGACAGTTTTTACACATTTTTTAGCCAGTAATTTTCTGAGGTTTGTGTATTTATAAGGATATATGACAAAATATCGCAACCAATTTATTTAAGTCTATAGCTATCACTACACTTAACTTAGCTCACCAATTGGGTTTTTTGTGCATGATGGTCCATTGTTGGTAGGTGTTGTTGGGGTCGCAGGGAGCTAACCCTAACTGCTTCGAGTGGGGTTGTAACGTGAGACAGTACCCGTGAAGGCGGTGGATTAAATGGCTGTGGCCCTCATCAAAGCTGGAAAGTAAAATGTATTTTTATCAATATTATCAAAATTTTGTATTATGTTATGAACACGTTGTCTTCTTCCATACTAATACGTATTATAAATTCGAAAGTGTGTCTGTCTGTCTGTCTGTTACCTCTTATATATATATATACACTATATAGGTATACTTTAATTTGAGGGGGCGGGGGGGGGGGGGGGGGGGTCGTTACCGATTTATCTCTTTCTAATCGAGCTCCGTGTTTAGCTTGGGAATATAAGGCATTAATAAAAAATACTGAGATGGTTTTTGTTTTATTTTGCCAAACTATAAAATATTTTTAATGAAAAGCCGTAACTTAAAAAAAATATATGAAGAAGTGCTTTCAATGCAAACAGGGTTTACTCCCCTAAATATTTTTATAAACGATAAACGTATTTTTCACACGTAAGTTTAATTCTAACCTCAGTCATTTTGTGTACGTAATTTAGATTAACTAAATAGAGACAGAGGGAACTGTCGGGCATCCATCTCTCTTGTTGACTTTATCGCTTCCACTCACAGGCAGCTGTACCCCGTGTTCACTCCATGTTTACATCTCTATGTTCAAAATAGTGATGCGTTGATAAGCCATTCAGAAAATATAAATTTAAATTCAGACTATTTGGAGGAAGATGAAAGATGAAATCCAATATCCTCAGACCAGAATGTAAGCCGTATGTACCTCCAAGGGCCATCAACAGTCCCCAGCCTGCAGAAGGCCTGCTTCACGTTGTTGACGTCGGCTTCCACGCATCGTTCGCCCACGCCGAGCTGCCCGGCCTCGTTCAGGCGGAACAGCTGGCTGTTGCCCGCGCCGTGGCATGTTGATGTACCTGTTACAGGACTTTCTGTTCATACCATTCTTGTTGTCTTACTATTATTATTTGTGAGAAGTATAAAAATAAATTATTGTTATTATAGGATACTGAATTGATCGACAAAACTACATTAGGAATAGAAAAGCTGCAGGAAAAATCTTTGTTTTACCATATTGTTATATAAACAATCCTTGTTTTACTGTAGTTATATACAAAAATCCTTATTTTATTTTATTAAAAAATCCTTATTTTACTATATTGATTTATAAAAAGAACGAACGAGAGAGCCCTACTGTAGTCGCTTTATGTGTGACCTTTGACATCTAACACCGCGCCCCGTGCTTCTTGGATAAATCATACTTGAACTGACATATGAGGCCCGACTCTATCTCTTTTCATGAAACAGTCCTCAAAGACTTGTTACTTTATCATTTTACTCATTAGAAGATCTCATTTGTTGAGACCGTGAATTTTCTTAAATAATGAAACATCGTTTTTTTATGATAGAGGGGGCAGACGAGCAGACGTGTCACCTGATGGAAAGTGACCATCGCCGCCCTTGGACGTCTGCCACTCAGGAGTCTCAAACGCGATGCCAGCCTTTTACGTAGGAGTACGCTCTTGTCTTGAAGGTTTGAAGGTTGTATCGGTACGGAAACACAGACGATAACCCGTTCTACAGATAGATTGTTCGATTTCAGTTATGACGTTGATTAATGGCAATCATCTTGACACAAAAGTAAGTATTAACATTTAGTATTTAAAGTCACGAAACTCTAACGAAATAAAACTAAGAAAAAAAAACATACCTATATAAGCTGGAGCTGCTTTCCCCATAGTATCGAGACAGACGCCCGTAGCCTTATTCTTCACCATACCCCAGTGAATATTCTTTGGCAGTTTGGGGAATTTGTCATATACGTCATAAGCAACGTTCTCCATGAACCAACTGAAGGGCTTACACTTCAATCGATCCCTCAAAGCCACTTGTTCACTTATGTCTCCCATGTCCAAGAACCTTGCCATAGGTTCTCTGGTATAGAAGAATTCTTTGTGTTCCTCGTCGAACCAAGTCTCTATAACTCTCTTGTAGTTTATAGTAATCAAGGATCCCTTTCGGTTCTTCGCTAGATTGCCGAACGAGTACGGCATAAACGCTCTGTAAACATGTCCGACTCTTGAGCATGGTACCCATTCAATACTGCCGCCGCATTGCCAAATCTTAAAACTCAATTCAAAGTTTTCACCACCCCATACAAGAAGACCAGGATCATAAGCGCCAATCTCAAGGAAATATCTCCTATTGATGGCGAAAAGACCTCCAGCGTGTGTTGGACTTTTGTAAGGTTCTGAAGGGTGTTTATGGAGTGACGCTTCTCTTTCTGGGACTTCGTTTTCTTTATAAAGCATACCCCACTCGAAGATTCCTCTGTAGTTTGTCCCATGCTGGTACACTGGCCTGTACTCAAAGGTTCTGTGGTCAACACCATCTATGACCGGTACGGTCATAATCCTATAGTCCCGGTATATAGGAGCGAGTAGAGGGGGTAACCAGTTAAGGTTCACTTCGCAATGAGCGTCCAAGAAAACGATGACGTCACCAGTGGCTTCTTGAGCGCCTCTTGATCGAGTTCGAATGAGTCCCTCGCGTTGAGCGTTTCTGATCAGACGCACTTTTCCCTTCCATCTTTTTATGTAATTGTCAAGATTTGATTTCAAATTTTCCTTATCTGAGAAATCGTCAACCTAAGGACAACAACAAATGAAAATTAGTATTTATTACGTAAAGTTTCTACTCAGCTGGGCACGATGAGTATAAACTTTGACACACGAATATGTGACTTAAAGAAGATTAAAATGAAACAGTGGGAAGAATATTATCATTTTATGTGTAGGTATGAAAAATGTGAAGAACTTGCACACATTCAGCGTAATCTAGCGACGATATTGATAACCCTGCATTCGCGCGCGGAGTCGTATATCTGTATGAATTTGTATATTATATGCAACATTAGCCGTCAGGCCGAGTTTAGACAGGCACGAGTAATCAGCCTGATCGGAGTATTCGCTCTTCGTTTTGGGAATCCTTCCCAAACATTTATGTCCCTTCCTTACTAGGAAATATTGACCAAAAATGTACTTTCTAATGCAGTGTCCCAAGACACAAAATAACATAGCAAGTTGTACATTTTTGTCATTAACATAAATTAATTCAACGACAGAACATTTATTGAAACTAAAGATCGCCTGGCGAACGAACTAGGAGTTTTTATTCAATAATCATTCACTTATTGCGTTCTATAATGTACATAAATAGTCTTAGAAATACAGAACCATTATGGATCCTGTCGGGCACAGCATAAATTTAGTAAAGAGGAAGGAGGGTTTTGCTGAGTAATAACTTAAAATATATTAATGCACACAATTAAAAACTAATTTTCATATTTCTATATAATAACTAGCTGATCCGGCAAACGTTGTATTGCAACAAAAAAAAAATTAGGGATGGGTCACCCTTACCATTCAAAATTGTGAATCTAAACCATTCCCAGATCCCCTTGAACACACACAAAAAATTTCATCAAAATCGGTCCAGTCGTTTGAGAGAAGTTCAGTGACATACACACTCACAGAAGAATTATATATATAAAGATATTACTTCTGACATCTAACACAAAACGCCATCTAGTTTTAAACGAAGCAGAGCTTATATACGCTCTGCTTAGTTTGAGCGCTAGATTGACTGATAGAATACTTATATACTTTTTTGTGTAAATACATACATATTATACATAGAAAACATCCAAACTCCGAGACAAATACTTGCAGATCATACAAACATTTGGTGGAACCCAATACCTCAGCACAGCAGTCGCATACGTTTGAAACTAGATGGCGTTGTGTGTCAGACGTCCAAAATATTTATCTTCTAATCTATAAAAGAAGAAACTGACAGACTGATTCACTGACTGATAGATCAACGCACACCTGAAATCGCACACCTGAAGCATGAAATTTTGCAGTAATGTTCCTTAGGTGACGTAGGTGTGCAGTAATAAATGATTTTTAAGAATACCACCACCATTACTAAAAGTGCAAAATGGGGGTTAGAAATTGTTTTTTTGAGGATATAAAACTGTACGTTCTAATCCGTTATTAGGTCAGTGATCCTTGCATAAATTTAATGTGAAATAATATAAATATTAACTTTTAGATAAGGTTCTCCCCATATTACCAAACTAAGTTCCGTATTAGATTAGATATACTTAGAAAATAATAATAGAAGCGGCCGCTAATCTGTGTCAAAGATAATTTAAGATTCAAGCTATTCTAGGAGGATTACTATGTATTTCTGCATTAGTAAGTGCTCTTCCGCCTATCGCCTAGTAGGTACTTTGGTTGTGAGCTCTGATGGCAGTCGCTCCGCGTCAAAATTCGAAGTTCAACCGTATCGTGGTGGTAGACTTAGAGCCAACCCCAACCTAGTTTGAGAAAAACTCTCGGTGGAAGAAAACAGTATTCTTTGAGAAAGGTTAAAGATGAGAAATTGCGAGGAAACTGGGTTGGCAGAATAATATAAATACGTAAATTTTACTGAAGGAAGGATGATCTTCACATAGCTTACACACGGCCGTCTGATCCCAAACTAGACAGACCTGTACTATGGTAACCAGACTGCTGATAAACATACGCATATATTTCTAAATACAAATCATAGATAAATTACACCCAGACACAGAACAAATATTCGTGCTCAACTCACAATTATTGGTAGTGGGGGGGAATCGAACCCACGACCTCTGGCTTAGCAGCAGGCTTACCACTGCCACAAGCCCGACAAAATGACTTGACTGCACGGATGGGGTAGTGGTTTAAGCGGTCGCCACGCCACTTCCTATTACGCCGAGTGTTGTGGGTTCAAACCCCACATGGAACAACACTTTGTGTGATCCACAAATTGTTGTTCTCAGTCTGGGTGTACTTTGTGTCCGTTTCATGTATGTTTGTAAAGTCCCCCGCGACACAGGATTTATTCCTAGTGCGGGAGTTGTATATAAAAAAAATACCAAAAATCCTAAAATACTGCCTATAAACTTTTATATTACAATAAGCTGTGAATAAACTAAAACACAATACACCTACACATAAAATTATGCAATACATGCGAAATTGTGTAGGTGTTATATTTTATAGTAAAACAATGAACACATATATTTATTGAAACATGTAATGCTTTATCAAAATATTTCAACTTTATTGGAACTAAAACATATGGCATTTGACGGTTTGGTGTTTACTTAGCAATAACATACATTAATGTACAAATTTTTGGGCGCGGCTCCGCGTATGTCGATAGCCTGTCCTTAATCTATACAAATAAATAAAATTAGAGTGTCTGTTTGTAATATTAAAATAACCGCTTTTTACTAAATGCATATGTATGTTTACACGGTACATATGCCAAAATAACATTTTTTACAATTTTTGTCTGTCTGTCTGTCTATCAGTTTGTTCCGGGTAATCTCTGGAACGGCTGGACCGATTTCGACGGGACTTTCACTGGCAGATAGCTGATGACATAAGGAGTAACTTAGGCTACTTTTTTTAGACTAGCTTCACCCCGCGGAGTTGTCCGCGGTTATAACAACAAACGCGGGTAACACCGCGGGTCTCAGCTAGTCGAGAATAAAAGTAGGTCCATACTAAATTTCATCAGTCATGGTTCAGCGGTTATTGATTCCCGATACAAACTTCCACTAGCTTAAAAGATTTCTGGGATAAAAACTATCCTATGACTTATAACTATCTTTATACCAAATTTCAGCTAAATTCTTTTTAAGTTCATGGGGCAAACGAACAGATGATAGTAACATCTGAGATTTAGGTATTTTTTAAGAGAGTGTAGTTTGATATAATTATCTGTATCATGAAAACATTAGGTACTTATGCTTGCATCATCATCATCAACAGCTTTTAATAGTCCACTGCTGGACAATCTGATGATAATTTTGAGCTTGAGCGAGATTGGCTATTGCTGTGCCCTCTACATGGTCTCCGCCTGCAAATATGTATCTGAAGAATAGGCAATCTAGAGAACTGGTTATAACTTCATTGGGTATATATTTTTAAACCATAACGATAAGCCATCTACCCAGAAGCAGAAAGATAAAAGCAATAAAGACTATTTTATTTATTTACTAGTGACCTGCCCGGCTTCGTACGTTTTGTAGACCATATTATAACACAAAACCTCAACAAATGATACACCTAAACCTTTCTATGAAGCTTATGAATAATTCTGTCTATTGGAGAAAATCGCATTAATGCCAGTTATGCCTACTACATTGGAACACGCAGTCGACGAACATTTCTACGATAAACATAAGAAATAAAAACATTTTTATCCCACTAAACAAACCCCAGACGTCACAATCGCACCTTATAATAAAGCCAAAGAACAAACAAAACAGGAACAGCGATACAGACCAAGTTATCTTACAATTTGTACAATACGTCAATCAATATAAGCTAATTATTGAAATAAACAAAAAAACCCGGCTACGTGAAAATGTGTACCTACTTCCAATTTACGAATCATTGTGTGAGTGATTTTAATTTTTATATACCCAGTTTTACTCTCACTATTAAGACGAATCTAACGACATCTCTCAAGCCAAAGTCCATTTAGCCGTTTAGACTATCTTCTAAGACTAGATGGATTTTGGCTTTATATTTCTGTGAATGTACGAGTATGTATGTATATTTCTTTAAAGAAATATACATACTGTTGCGCTGTAGGATTAAATGATTCTATACCCACCCGTCTGGCCAGCGTGGTGTAGTAGGCCAAAACGTCCTTTCTAAGGAGAGGCCTATGTCCAGCAGTGGACTAGTAAAGGCTCTTGATAATGATTATATGGTTTGTGACATGACCATACAATTTCGCCTTGATTACCATGAAAGCAATACATTTCAGTTTAATGTTATCATTGTTATATAATCTTTCACTGGAAACTGGTATCGCTTTCTTACATTCTTTACACTATCGATAAAGAATCAATAAATTAGAGACTATTATTTTACGATAATCGGCTCTAGGTGGCTACTTGAAATTAAGTTAAACAGTTCTAGTTGGCTACTTGAGATTTTAAAAAAAACGAAAATAAATTTTTAAATAATTATAATTTTAAGGATTAAAAAAATCGTTAAACAAAATTTAAATTTTATTTTAAGCGATTATAGTTATAGCTAGTTATAAGATGTGTAATTGGGACTTAATTCCTCACCATGATCGGGGACTTTGGACAGCGGTGGATCAGAGGTAGGTCATTATTTTGACGATTGGTCCCGTTTGATCGGTTAAAATGTATTTTAAAATTATAAGCTTGTTTAGTTATTGAAATCCTAACCGCAAAATATAACCGACATTGTTGGGTTGATAGAACTTTATTGTTACTTAATACTAGCTACGTAAAGTATAAGAAATAACGAAAAATCACGGTCTATAATATAACAAAAAACTTCTTGCAAATCTGTGCCAACAAGCCGAATCGAATTCTATTCAGTCGTAAAGTATCGCGTTTACAAAACAAATTGTACATCGTTCGATACGCATGCGATTGTATGAGTAACTGTTAAATTGTTAATATTTATATATTTGTAATTAATAATGTTTTATTAAATGTAGTCAAATATCATCTGAGTAGGTAGATCTGAGTCTTTTTTTTTATGTTAGAGGGGGTAGACGAGCAGACGGGTCACCTGATGGAAAGTGACTATCGCCGCCCATGAACGTCTGCAACTCAGGAGTCACAAACGCGTTGCCGGCCTTTTAGGCAGGAGTACGCTCTTTTCTTGAAGGTCTGAAGTCGTATCGTTTCCTTAACATAACTCCTGCCGACAATAACGACGCTCCCAAGGCCAGAGAAAACTTATGGCGTAATAAGTTCCCTCTCCCCTATTTCGGCCATCTGGCAGGTACCCAGGTTGGCAAATCTATGGACAATCTGTCAAGGTGGGGATTTATCGACCCAAAATGCGACTGTGGCCACTTGTTAACATGTCCCGTGAGCCCAGATTCGTGTACGCTTGACGACTTGTATTAAGCAAGGCCAAACGCCATCCGCGTCGCCGACAACTGGGCCAAAATCGTGTAAAGTGTTGCCATCGACACGATAAGTAAGTACACTGCTACTCCGGCGCATTTTATCACGTCTGCTGACTCGCACTGATTCTACAGTAAACATGTCTATACTAAGACGAGTCTAAGGACTGTCACCTATAGTTTTTTCTTATGGTGTAGGGGGGCAAACGTCCAGACGGGTCACCTGGGTCTCAATTCTGCTCTTTATGAATGTACAAGCCACTATCATTATATTGACAGGCTATTGAGATTCCATTGTCACCGGTCAAAGTATCGCTATTCTACTAACATTAATTCAAAGTGTCAATAGACTGTCGATGTCGTGGCAATGGTTCATCAATGGTGATATCAACAACATGGCATATCTACCAAATTAAATTACATATATTATTTTCTTGTATGTTTTTAGAAATAGGTAAATATGTTTATCAGCAGTCTGGTTACCATAGTCCAGACTCTACCTAGATAGGGATCAGGCGACCATGTGTGAAGTTATTATTATTAAAAAAAAATGTACTTACCAATACAATCTCATGTAGTATGTTGGGCGGTGATCTGTCTATAACCGAGTGCACTGTTCGCATTAGGACAGAGAACCCCTCGTTGTGAAACACGATGATGACGGAGGTGCTTGGCAATTCTTCGGGATAGTGCCAGTATTTGCATTCGTCGAGACGCGTGTCAGGAATTGACCTGGTAAAGGAAGGGAAAAGGACGTATTCATATATATGAAAGATAATACGATTGAATTCAAGTGTGTACTTTGGTCTGTCTAACCCTTAACTACTAGGTCGCTTTGCTCCTTGATCAAGGATTTCTGTCTAGTCTGAAATTAGTCTGACATTTTAGAAATCTTTAAGTCATGTCTACTAATCAATATGACGCAAGCCAGGGGTGGGCAAGACCAACAATCATTTCTATAAAATTTGTTTTTAAAATAATAATAATATAAAATTTCTATAGTTTGTTTGTTTGGGTGCACGTACTCTTCTCAAGAACTACTTTTTCGAATTGAAAAATTATTTAAGAGTTGGATAGTCTATTTATAGGCTATTTAACATCGCTGTGAACAATAGGAGCGGAGCATCAATGAAAAATGTTGAGACGCAGAGGAAGTTGCGCGGGTCAGTTTAAGTACCAATAAAACCAATGTAGGTGTTTTATTTCGTTCGTCAATTGGGCTCGCTAATATTAAAGTGATTGAAGGCGTGTGTCAAACGATTTAAGGTTATGGGTTAAATAAATTGCTTTGACTCAATTGTATAAATCAAACAAAATATTTATTTACCTCAATTACTAAATGTTTATTGTGTTATCTTTTAGATGTGGTTAATGTTTTTAAGAATAATGTGAATATTGAACGCAAATGTAAGCTGTGTGTGCTGTGCAACTCTCACAATTCAAAATATGCCTGGCAATGAAAAAATAGGTACAAGGTAAAAGGAGGTTTATATAGTACGCGCTTGGTCATAGACCAAGCTCATAGCATAGACCATAGCTTATAGAGTTACGTCTTCTCATATATTTTTCTGTCTCTTTCATTGATTAATTTGAGGACAGTCTATATTTTTTTTTTTAACCTTGAAGGGATAAACACAATAAATGTAAATGTCCGTGTGGTAACGGATAAGAGTACGGAGTGTCACCACCTCTATTCATCCCGTGGGTGTCGTAAGAGCCGACTAAGGGAGCAAACTCTGCAATGACAACATCACTGCAAAGAGAAGGAAAACTTGAAACAAACCCTATCTCAACCCGTCTGGTCAAAACTTCCTTTCTAAGAAGACGCTTATGTCCAGCAGTTGACTATTAAAAGGCGAATATTACCTGTTCATAGCAATATCATCGGAGGCTGCGATGTTCATGCCATACTCGCCCTCCGATTCAGCGACATCATTCGCTCTATCCTGGGACATGTGATACGGCCGACCCTTTTCACCTGGTCCCGTAGTATCTTTTAAATTTCTAGGCTCAAAATTTCCGAGCTCTGAAATAGAATATCAAAGTATTAAGTATTAAATAGTTTCTATGAACGGGACTACTATTGATTAAAATCAACTCAATCGTCACGGTTACCTTGTTCGGCGTTGGGATTGGTGAAGAGTTTAGTGTGAGCCAACCACAACGCCGGAAGCAGTTACCGTCGAAAGCAAGATGACGTGAAATACACTCATACTAGGCTCCTTGAACAGCTGTATTAATAAGTCACTGATGTATAGATGTCTCTTTTTCCCTTAATTTGGTTATTTATTCCCCAACTTTTAAAGTGAACCTTTTAAGGTTAGTTTAAAGAAAAGTCATGTTCCGATATAGAGATAGGTCCTTTTCATTCTAAGAGTGTAGCATTGCGTAACATGGATGATATTTTCTAAATAGCTCTAAAGAATAACTTTTTTTTAAACATAACTGTTTAAAATCATGCATCATCTGTTGGTAAACATTACCTATATTTATAAACACTCAGAACATATTCAGGTGTGGATAATGCTATCACTTACCTCTAAAAGGGCCATTCATTAATTACGTAAAGGGGGACCTTTACGTAATTAATGGGGACTAAGGGGGTAGGGGGTTAAGAAAATCTATACATGCCCTTATCTTGGGGGTAGGGGGGTAAAACCCATTCCTACGTCATATTTTACAAGCCGAAATTTATTATTAAAAATCTATTTCTCTTTCGGATGCTGAATGATTTTCTTCATTCCATAATGTGCACTTCGATATACATCCTATTTTACAAATTTTTATTGTTTATTAAAATTTTAAAGAAATATGTTCATTTTCTTCCATTTTAAATGTCATAAATAATAATTATATTATAGTGAATTCTTCCCGCGTATTAGCTTTTACGATGAAATTTATTTTATTTAAGAGTAAAATAAAACTAGTCGATCATTATTTTAAAAGTGTTATTCGTTTAAAGATTGTTTGAACTGATTGACGTTTGATCACTTTAAGACTATTTTAAATAAAGAAAAACTTACTTTTAATTATAATAATAATATTTCTAAGACTAGATAGGTATCTACTAATGTAAAGATAATTTATATCTGACAGCAATTATAAAGTATAATCTAAGTTATCTCCTTAAAAATCTTTGATTCAACGTTTTATTATTCAGAAAAAGGAGATTGAATCTTACGTAAAAACAGGGACGGGGGGAAGGGGGGGGGGTTCGAGAAATATTACATATCCTTAGATGGAGGTAGGAGAGGTCAAAAATCGTCAAAATCATCCTTACGTAATTAATGAATGGGCCCAAACACTGTACATAAAAAGGAGGATAAATAATTTTTCTTCTGATATATCAGAATAAACTGATGTTAAATGGACTTTGGTGTATGTAAGGCCCTATAGAAATCATCAGCTAACTTTATTTGTAGGATGGATGGAAGATAAAATAAAAAAAAAAAAAACAGAAACAGGAGCACTTTGAAGTTAGTTTCCAGTTTTAAATAACCTGTTATCATAATTGTTTATGATAACCTAGAAATACTTTTAAAATCTAATCAGCAATAACAAGTTAATTGACTTCACTGATTCTGCTCCTATCAAGATAACAATACGTTATTGTTTCATTTGATGCCCAGTTTAAACAATCGTAGTTTCCAAACAACATCATACCAACAACAACAGCACACAACAAAATCAATCACACTATAAAACTTTTATTTATTGCGGTTTACTGCAGACATGAAAATTACGTAAGAAGATATTGGATCAAATCACTTAACACACACACAAATACATGTAAAAGTATTTTACACTATATAACACACACTGAAAAATGTAGAATTCCAAAAATGACATTCCAAGTTTATATTTCTTATTTGTCATGTTAATACGTGTATTTTTTTTTCGGTATAAAAGTATAACACAAATTGGGATGTTATAAATACAGAAAAATATATTTTAGTTAATTAGTAAATCAGACTCTCATGCTGCTTAAGCCATGAGGAGTGTCAAAGAATAAGCAACTTTGAAAATTGCCATTATTATGTTAGTTGGAGGAGAAATAGAGCTTTCACAACTTCATGTATATAAGAGGTATTTTACTATAAGCATTCATTTGAAGTTTTTAATGGAAGGCTGAATAAATGATTAAAAATATAATACTTCTATTAGACACAATATAATTACTTCAAATGGAGCAGAATGTCTTGTTTTTAAATTCTACATAAACTTGCGGTAAAGTCCGTCAGCAAGAGATAGGACAAGAATATTAAACTAAACACACAGCTGGTTAGTCACAATAATATGATATAAAAAAAACAACTCATAAATACAGTAGGCTAGTTATGTAGCTAACGTTAACCTGCATCTACGTTAAGTGAAAACTGGAATATGAAAGGATTCAAATTACTCAAGTTTCTACATTCAAGTATACATCATAATTATTTCATACAATGAGATCCGCTGTTTATTATACATTTATATGTATATATTTTGCACTTTGTATCTATCAAAGCATATACAGTTGATTTCTGGAAATGAGTGGTGTTTAGAGTATTATTTAGACCAAAAACAAGCTGGACTATTATAAAAATGTATGTGGCACACTTTTGGCACATATAGAACTTCTTCATCTCATATGAGAAGTATATCATTGTAATTTTGCAGTAATTTAAAACGATAATGAGATTCCAATAAGAATATATGTATCAATAAATTAATGATCTAATAGTACTGTTATTTCTACTCCCTCTGTAATAAATTAGTTACATATTATGGAATTATTTTATAATATCAAACAATAAATTCTACAATTTTTAATTCTTGTAATACCGTAAACACTCTTTGGTCCAATGAGTCCAGTCGAATTTAAATCTAAATCGGGTAGAAAGTTTTTGTACTGGTGCCCTAGAAAGGAATAAAAATGATTTCTTTTTCATTACCGTTATTTATTATTATGAATTTATATAAAACTGCAAACATAACAATTTGATTCTTTTTATAACTTATAAAATAAATTCAATAATATGAGACCAGTATAATAAAAGTAAAAATTTTTTTTTCAAGTCATGGTGTCTCTACATGTCAAATATATTTAAATGTCATCAGAAAAACAAACAATTGCTCAGAGAATGAGTTCATCATTTCAGAATAAAAAAAACTACAGAAATAAATGTTGAACTACAATGAAAAGTAAAGTCTATTTGGGTATCACAATAGTTTGCAATATAACTGTGAATATAGCGATACATAAGCAATTGTACACTTTACAAACATGTATTGACGTTACAAAAACATTGCGAGATTAAAAGATACGCCGGCTGACGAGGCCACCTAACTGTACTTACTAAAACATGTGTTTACGCCATAATATACCTAATTATGACTATTAATTATTTTACCTGATTTCAAAGTAGGGTATACATTCTGGTGACTCTTATAATAGGCAGGCTGCGAGTCAGAAATGAGTGCACTCATGGATTCTGCACCGACGTTCTCACTGGACCATTTATGCAAAGCGATCAATAAAAGTAAAAGAATCGCACACGCTCCACCCATACGAATAATCCTCCCTCTCCTTACGTTAGTGATCCTCATTTTTAAATTTAACACTTGCACATAACAAAGTTAAATTAATAAAATAATTTTTAAAAGACGAAAATTCGTCTACGACTAACTCGCGGGTGACGTTAGTATGACAACGTCAACAAATGTACGTTTCGTTTGTGCGTTGCTGTCTATGCGCCATTGGTGATATTAGATTTTGACAGTTTATTGTTTTTAAGAAATAACTATTAGGTATGGAGGGAATGATTTTATAAATCACCAAATAAATGTATTTTCAATATTCTAATAAATAATATTTGTTCTTAATGTAGTATATCTGTCACCAAGAATGAATCAGCAAATAATATCGGATTAATGGATTTTATTTTAGTTAAAATTGTTGTAGTGACTCGAACTTAATGCCATGAGACATTCTCTCCCAGTCAACTTTCAGGTGATGTGGAAATATGATGCGGATATTAGTAAATACCTATACCCACTATACCCACGGTGAAAGAACAACCGAATACTTAGTTCCCAGATTTAATAACAAACTACCCTCCAATTGCGAGATATTCTGACGCCGGTGAACTTTAAATCTAAAGTGCGACCATTACTTTTTATTCAAAATTAATAATATCTATTTTATTTCTTATTTTATCTGTTCGCTTTTTATTTATGCAAATATTGTTTTATACTTATTCAGAACTTTATTTTTTTTGTTATTACTTTTTTTGAAAATTTTATACCGATCGAGACTACGTTAAAAACGTTCGTGGCTTAGGAAATGCTGTGTATATTAAAATTATCTCATTAATATGTTTATATCGTCGGACGGCTGAGTTCCAGGCGGATAGCAGCATTTGGCCAACGCCTAAAGAGGTACGCGAGTGGCGTGAGGCCACTAGCCAAGCCACGATGGCTCCAGCATGTGGAGCCTCCAGACGGGACGACCATCGCGTCCCGGATGAAGGCTTCAGCCAGTCATGAACAATTAGGCAGGACGGCAGCACGGAACCCTTTCCTTTCGGCTGACGCAGGTCTTTTTCGGGGACGCCTGTTTTGTTAAGTACCTGGATTCGGTTGCTAGGAGAGAATTGAGTCCCGGCTCTCACCACTGCGATTGCAGTGAGGACTCGGATTAGCACACGCCGGCAATTTGTCCGGCTTGGGCGTCACAGCGTCACCTCCTCATTGCAGTCATTGGAGAGGATCTCGCGCTACTGGCCGACACACGCTTCATGGGCGGTAGTGACAGATGTTTAAGTAGAGTAGGTTCGTCCCATGAGTGAGTGCATTTTCCTTTTTATCACAATGGGAACATTTATTAGATTCCATCCTGGTGACGTAACTTGCTCAGCATGGAAATTTGCTGAGGACAATTTTATTAATTCCATAGACTATGGGGGTGCCCAAGAGCCACTTAAAGCTTTTTCTATTGATTTTAATTCTTTATGAATAATCAGTTGCTCTGTGACCTAGATATTTTTCTGTCTGAAGTTAAATATTGTGAAATCAAAGATTGAAAACAATATGACATGTGTCAACTACTGACAATTTACTAATATTTGTAGCATTTAATAATAGATGGTATTTATTCTTAAGACCTTTCTGGTATAATAAAATTAATAAGGTACTAAATATATTAAACATAAATAACAAAAAATGTATGATCAGTTTATTAGTTTATTTAGATTATTTTAATTATGCAGAAATAAAAAATATGTAAGAAATTATTAAACGAGACTGGAATGATTGTTGTTGGATGTTATTTGTTTGTGATTTGGTTTTCTATTAATCTGTTTTTATCATTGATATAATTTTTATCATTTAATATTAATGTCTAAACAAAAATTGGTTTGAAACTATAAGCCAAGCGATCGCCTGAGGTTTATCCTAGTTCAAGCAGCCTGCTATTAAAGTTTTTTAACTAAATTTTATAATAATATATATTCATGTGTAAAAAAATTGTATAAATTTGAATGAAATGTCAAAAATGTCCAACACTGTAACATTATATAGGCCAAGTAAATAAATATTATTATTAATATCCGTTAAGCTCTCATCCCCCTTTAGGTATATTTTTACCTTGGATTTTTTAGATCTTGTAGACTTATACTACTTGTGAATGCATGTCTCATATAAATAATTACGATTTTGAGTACCACTCAAGGGTAAAAAAGGTCAACTTAAAACCTCTATAGCAATAAATTTTTAATATAATATTTTCTTTGAATTATGAAGAGGTTCTACGACCAAATTTGTGTGTAAAAGTATCATTTCACAGGTCAATAAACAAAGAGTACATAGTTTATAATAAGTTCTTTATTAATTCTTGTATCTTACTATTATTTTGTTACGTATATTTTACATCACTACTTATTAAAATGCATTATATCATTATTAAATACAATTCATAGTAGATTTTAAGAGGATATACGGCACGACGACCACGGCAACAGAGACGGTAATACTAACAATTGCTAATGTCAGGGAGTGTATGCCCGAGACAGGAGTTCCGCCAGCCGTACCATGCCAGGAAATTATGCCGCTCAAAGATCAGCTTAGCGCATGTTGCTGCCTTTGTTATGTCGTCCGACAGTAAATCTGAAATTATGAAGTAAGAATAGAATTATAATATTGATGTTCTGATTAAATTAGAAGTAGTTTTCATTGTTGATTTTAGATTTGCACAATGCTATAAAAATATATTTTAAATCATCTCTGTGATTACGACTAGATATTCGTGGAACATATTAAAAAATAACCACATTCCTCCTTTTTTGGAGATCCAAAGTTGGAAAACGGGCAATTTTTAATAAAACGGAGGTTTTTATACAACAGCTTATGGTAACTGAGTTCTGCAGATTTTTTCAAAACAAAGAAGACAGTCGCACGAGTTTTTTTATCGAGTGGCTTTATCCCGATCATAATTTTCTTCAAAGTCTTGATTGATTTGATTGATTGACTTCGTTTTTTTTATGACCGGCATGGCAGTCTGTTTAGGCTGGTACCGTGAGGCTACCGGAGCACGTTTGCCCTCTTGTATCATGAAAGAAAAAGAACGTTGTAATTGTTTTCAGACGTAGCATAAGTAGAAAATAAATTGGCGTAAATAATACAATTAGATCAAGGAGTAATTCAGGCTTTGCCTGGAGATAGGGCTGACATTTCAGTTGATTGTAGGGTCAGCCGTATGTTCGTCCTGTTATTAGAGAGGCAACCAGAACAGAGACAGGCAGAGAGATAATTATGTTGTCTATTGTCTGAGCGTAGTTTTACCTTGTAGAAGAAGCTATTCAACCAAAAACATTTTCATGTACTAGTAAAATGTTGCCAAGACGATAACTTTTTGACAACCCTATCTCTCGTCGAAGTATCTCGTCGGTCTCGTCTTGACAACATTTTACATGAAATTGTTTTTGGTGGAATTTCACTTCTTTTTGTAAGTTGCTTATGACAATATTTTTTAATTATGTTCATTATTTTTGGGGTGTATTTCTTGCACATCAGAGGTGCCTTTTGTCATAGCCTACTTTGCCCTTATCTTTGTTGGTTTATTGTTAATGTGTGAAAGTCTCATACTAACTCTCATCCCCTAGTTTACGTTGTTGAGGGGGGAAGTTTCGGGTTTTAGAATTTTTTGTTGTTTGTGTACTAGTACTAGCTTACACACCAAATTTCAGAACTTCAGGAAGTACCCTAAGAATACAAACCCAAGGTATGAGGGTTCAAAAAAACAAAAAGGTAGTGCTTTCGCTTGGCTCGTCTTGCTGGGGGCACTGCAGTGCCCCCAGATTTCACTAGTTTTTCTGTGCGGAGTTATCCCTATTAAGAATCTATAGAGGTTGGTAATATTTTATGTAATCCGTGGTACTCACCAACACAGGTGACGTTGCAGTCTCTTCCAGGTATACCGGTGTTGCTACACCAGTATTTGTCGTTGATCTGGAACAGACCGTAATCCTTGGAGCCGTCCTTGCCTGAACCTATCTTGTGTGTCTTTCTTTCGCTCTGCTTTTCAATCAAACAAACCCCTATAAGGAAACCGTAATTTTTTGGTTATATAAATCATCAACAGCCTTTAATAGTCCACTGCTGGACATAAGCCTCTCCTTAGAAAGGAGGTTTTGGCCTACTATACCACGCTGGCCAGACGGGTTGGTATAGGGTTTGTGTCAAGTTTTCCTTCAAATATAAATAAATAAAATAAAATAAAATAAACTTTATTCTGTAAGAAAACACAGCATACAACTTAATATAAATTACTAACTTAATACAACTTACAATAATATTACATTTTTTTTAAAACCTTATAACTATTGACGTACCTGCAACACTATACTACGGTCTCTGTGGTCATGAGTATTTAGTTGCTGTGAGACTGTGATCATATATGACGTGGCGCTGACGTGGTGATCACTATTATTTTAGGTTAGGTACCAGAGAGAAACTATGTAGTAATTTTGACAACGAAGGGGTCTTTGGACCCCCGCGTTTTACAATCGTTACAAATTTTTTGGTCTCGCTTCCATTTGCTCGGAGGTCGCATCCGATAAGGAACTTTATTCCAACAATCATCTGTATCAACTCAACAAGTTATAGGTATAACTAACACACAATGATCGGATATTTCTGGTCACAAAAAAAATCTTATTTAGCTTGTCTGAATTTTTCATTGAATAAATTCAATTTTATATAATACCTACCAGATGCTTATACAACACAGCAATAGTAAGGGAATCCACGACATTGCCCACTGAATATACTAAATCTAGTACCTCGCAGACTCGAGCGTCGAGCGTAGACCTATTTTATTGAGAATATTAGATTGTAGAAAGAAAAAGGTTGTTATGATCTATTTACTAGTTAGTGCTAGATAAGTTCCACGCGTCTCTAATAACAGAGATAGGAACGAGGGGCCGTATACTCGTAGAATGATAGCACTTTTCGACATGTCATTACCTACACACTTTCCTTACCTTAATCTACACACATACAAAATAATTATGTATCATCATCATCTGCCTACCCTTTTCCCAATTTTATTTGGGGTCGGCGCAGTATGTATGATTTTTCCATTCTACTCTGTCATGCGTCATCTCACTGTTTACTCCCTTGCTAGCCATATCCTCCCTCACGCAGTCCATCCACCTTTTCTTCGGTCTGCCTCTTCTCTTATACCCTTCAACTCTCATACCTAAAACTTTCTTCGCCACATTTTCCTCATCCCTCCGCATGACATGTCCATACCAAGATAACCTATTACTTCTTAACTTTTCATCCAGTGGCGCTACTTTCAGACTCCCTCGTATATACTCATTCCTAACCTTGTCCATCTGAGTCACACCACACATCCATCTCAGCATTCGCATTTCGGCTACGTTCAGGCGTCTCTCATCCGTTCTCTTAATGGGCCAACTTTCAGAACCATACAGTACGGCAGGTCTGATAATAGTTTTATAAATTTGTCCCTTCAGTTTTAAGGGGAAACTGGGGTCACAAGTTGTTCCCGTTACCTGCCGCCACTTCATCCATCCCGTATTGATTCGATGCTGTACAGTTCGATCAATCTCACCATCACATTGAAATAATTATGTATATAAAGATTAAATTATGCATGGCGTTTACCTCTTTACAACTATCAATGTTTATTACTATTCATTGTTTTTGTTACTGCACTGTAAATTTATTTATTGTCTTACATCTTTAAACAGTACTTACAATCTCTCATTTTGTCTTCTGGGAACTCTTGCTTTCTCAATTCTTCGACAAGATCGCATCGTGACTCAAAATATTTGGACTCGCAATACAAACACAACGCTGCAAGGGTGAACAGGAAAATAGTGATGTTTTGCATTGTGTCGTGGTAACGTAGATTAAGCGTAACGCACACACGTTTTATTTTAAATAAAGCCGGCGACTGTTTATTATTCGTTTTTGTATCGCCTTTTCGTGCGTTGATTCCTTCTTATCGCTATATACGGGTCATAAGTCAAGTTCAAGTTATTGCAAAGTTATTCCTGTGTTTACTGGTGCTGGGACACATTTGAACAGAGCACTGGTTTGCGGTCCGCATCTGACAGTTTTGTGTGTTGTATCTACATCGTTATTGTTATAGAACCCGTGTTACATTATTATGATTCTTCATCAACAACATCATCATCAACAGCCTTTAATACTCCACTGCTGGACATAAGTTTCGCCTTAGAAAGGAGATTTTGGCCTACTACACCACGCTGTCCAGACGGGTTGGTATAGGGTTTGTGTCTAGTTTTCCTTCTATCTGCAGGGCTGTTGTTCTGCGTAATTTTCTCCCTTAGTCGGCTCTTACGGCACCCACGGGATTGAATAGACACACACGGTGGTGACACTCTGTATTCTTAATCCGTCACCACACGGACCATGGTTATGATTCTTAAATTATAACTAATCTTTGTCAGTATTTCGTTTTATAGCTAAGAAATTGCAATTTTCTTTTTTTAAAGTAAGTAGAGGCCGGCAAAGGCGTGAGCTCCGGTCACCTCACTCACTCGGGACAAAACAACGAAAAAATTACATAATAAAGATTCCCTGTTATGCTGAGTATCACTCCGGTGAGTTCATTGCTCCTGCCCAGGTCGGTATTGCAGTTTCACTGAAGCTAGTCTTACCGTGTAAAATACTTCACTATAGTAAATTGCTGTTATGGCACTAGAACATTCCCGAAGGAAGCCCAAGTTAGCAAGTTTAGTTTTAGACTTATTCTGACAATGTTTTTTTTTATAGACGTTTTAGTCAAAATTAGAGAACTCCTTGTGTATTTTCAGTAGAATTTTAACTATAACTCATATAAATACATCCACGCCTTTATCTCAGAACGACTAAGTAGAGGTTTATTTAGCACTTGCATTTTGTTGACTAACATTTTAATTCCACTTACCTACTCATTATAAAGGGGGAAGGTTTGCAGCTATCTCCGAGATATATCCTGGTTAGGCGCGGCGTAGAGGAGGAAGCACATGGTCTGGTCCTCCCCAAAGTAGGGCGCCTGAGCCCGGCCGTCAGGATGGTCACATACTCCTGGCTATGAAAGGAAAATTTACTAAAATGAGACGGGAGGAAGGGGATATTGTTCATACGGATGAATTAAGGTAGGTCAGGGAAAAAATACATGTTACTCGAACTGACTGTTGGCGGGAAGTCGGTAAATTACAAAATATCGTGGTACAAAACCACTAAGAAGAGCTGACAGCATGAGTTTGATGCCGCTGGCAAGAGCGTGACTAAGATTTTTAGAGTAAGGTAAAAGTAGGGAAGTGAACATTTACAAAATCTGTCTACTGTGGCTACCTTTGGCCATTTGTTTATAAAACTTAATGCACAAGTTGTAAACAGGCGGACCTTCGGGTGATGAAGGTGCAAGAGTTAACAGAGAATTTGACTTTATTTTTATTAAATTTATTAATGTAGGATTAATGTAACTTACATATATATACTACATACCATAACAAATACTATATTCATTACTGCATATAATATATGTACCTAGAGGTCCCAAGTATACACTTACAATACATAAACATACACATATAAATATACATATTTATCAAAATACGAGTATACAGTCGGATACTAGCGTTATGACCTTTCTGCCAACATATTTTGAAGAAGATCTTGTACTTTCTTCTTGAACGTAAAGCGGTTAGTGGACATCCTGATTTTAACTGGGAGCGAATTCGAGAGAAGAACTGACTGTACATAGAAGGAAGAATTGATGAAGTTTGAAGTATGAAGCATATTATTTGTTGACCGAAGATTTCAGTCGTGATTGGATCAAAGGAGGCGTAGATGGGAAACCAACTAATCAGGCAACGATAGGGAATTGAGAAATGCAAAATGATATGTTAGTGCACGCAGACTGCGGCGTTGAGGTATAATGTTATAAACTTGAGTGACTTAAAAAATGTAAAAGTTTTCAATATTGATTACGAAAATATAACGAATTCGGAATTAATTCTAAAGTCAAAATGGTTTTTCATTCACTTGGAAGAATGGCGAGGCGATCATACCTGGCGGTTGATGTTGTAATGTATATTATAAAACATTAGTATTATAATATACATTACATACAGATTACTGAACGAGAACTTTCATTGTGCGATGCAGTATTAGTATTTATTGCGTTGTTTGGTACTGTTGTATCTTGGGTGGTATTAAATAATGTTTTATGTACGTATACAAATACGACGACGGGCCTGACGGGCCGACCAGCCTGTTGGGCTAGTGGTTAGTGACCCTGACAGCTAAACTGGAGGTCGTGGGCTCGATTCCCACTCACGACAAATAATTGTGTGATAAGTACTTATCTATTTTAATTAAGGAATGAATTAGTACATTATATGTAATATATTACATACATGGCATTAAATTATTATACATATATTACTAGCTGGTACCCGCGAATTTGAAAAGCGCTGCCTTAGTGGGTTCTATTCCCGGACTGTGCAAAATTTTAAAGGGTTTTTCTGAGAAAAAAAATAGCCTAAGGTACTCCTTATATAGACAGCTTCCTGGTAGTACAATATTATCAAAATCGGTCCAGACGTTAAGAAGATTACCCGGAACAAATAGACAAACAGACAGAGAGCAATTTTTTAAACTGGTTTTTAGGCATAGGTATCGTGCAAATAACCGTGTAAGCATGATAAAAACCTACTATTTTGACATTACAAACAGACACTTCAATTTTATTTATTTGTATAGATTGTATGCATATATAATAGGTAATTACAACGCTTTCATTTGAACATTCAAAATACAGAATGATATAAAACTTTTTCTTTCAGGGCAGACGGCAGTCCAGGGACTTCCTTTCTAGGGTATACTTGATTCCCCGGCTATTAGTACCCGAGACGGCGTGCGGTTTTAATCGGTTCGAGTCCGACATGCCACCGATAGGTGGTATCCGAGGGGATTTCCGCACGGAAAAAAAAAGGGCAGACGGCAGTGCGGGTCACCTGATGGTAATTGACTACCATGCCCAAGTAGACCTGCAACTCGAGAACCACAAGAGCGTTGTCGCCCTTTAAGTCCCCTCCTTCCAGATTCAGGGGAAAGGCGGAGGGAATTGTTTCTTCATTATCATGCGATCATCATCATATTAGAGTTGTGGGTTCGATCCCCACATGGGACATCACTTTGTGTGATCTACAAATTGTTGTCCTGAGTTTTGTCTTTAAAAAAATAAAACAAATAGATAATCATCAACAGCCTTCAACAGTCCACTGCTTGTCATAGGCCTATCCTTAGGTTTTGGCCTACTAACCACGTTGCAGTGCTATTGTCCTGCGTAGTTAGCTCCCTTAGTCGACTCATACAACACCCATGGGATGAATAGGGTGGGGAAACACCGTATTCTGAATCCGTCACCACACGGACAGGGAGTTGTTTAGGTTTCGGTAATGGATTATATCCGGTTATCGTATCTTAGGGCCGTCATGCCGGGGTCTTAGGAATTCTCTAGAAAAAAAATCTTTGAATGGAAATTCATTGTAATTATAAAAAGGATTTATTTTTTTATTTATAATTAGTTATCGAGAACAAAAACTACATTTTATTGCCTATATATTTATATTTATATCTTATAGTTAAATGAATAATGCGTTAATAAGTCAAAGCATTTTTTTTTTTAAATGATAGATGGTAAATAAAGATTTTGTAATACTGAAATAGAAGTGTTTAACAGTTGCTAATATCAGGCAAAGTTTTCCCGTTGCAGTGGTTGCGCCATCCGTACCACGCCCTGAAGTTATGGCGTTTGAAGACCTTCTTTGCGCAAGTTGAGGCTTTTGTTATGTCATCTAATAACATATCTGGAAGGAAAACGCAATAGAATTAGAAATATAAGTAAGTGTAAGTTCAATGATATCAGATAAATTCTATCTTCTGTACAAATAAATAAAATTGAAGTGTATGTTTGTAATGTCAAAATAATAGGTTCTTTTCATGTTCACACGGTTTTTTGCACGATACCTATGCCTAAAACTAGTTTAAATATTTTTTGTCTGTCTGTTTGTTCCGGGTTATCTTCAAAATGGCTGTATCGATTTTGATATTTTACTACCAGATAACTATGTAAGGAGTAACTTAGGCTTCTTTTCCCTCTCAGAAAAACCCTATAAAATTTTGACCGGTCCGGTAATCGCACCCTAGGGCTCATGGACTGCAGTCTCATACTGTACTACTAAAGCAGCGCTTTTCAAATTGCACGCGGAAGAAGAAGTGAAGGAGAACAGAAGAAGAACCAGCTGGTGAAAAGGAACATAAGAAAAAGGCGGTTTGTGATTTTTTCGTTGATTTTAACCTAGTGGGTGAGGTTACCGGAGCCCAGCCCCTGGCCAAAATTAGAGGCCTTCTCTTCAAACTCAAAGGAACTCAAAGAAACTCAAAGGTTGTAGTGGTAGGCACCACACTTGTGACTCTTTGAGTAGCAGGTGCCTATGGGCGGCATTCACTTAGAACCGGGTTAAACCGGTTTTCAGTTAGGCCGGTTGAAACGGCCCACTTGTGCCAAAACATGAATCTGATTATAACTATACTCCCAAAGTTCCAATTCTCAAATCTAATCCTTAAAGTAAGTTAGTAAAGGTTGAAGGCTTGCCCCTTTTTCTGTAAGTAAGTAGAACCCAGATCAAGTAAAAGAGTTAAGAGGGAACTTTGCGAAGAACGAAGTGACGCCGGTTTTATAAACATGCGTGTGTGGGCAGGCGCCGCCATCATAATTTTATTTTACTGAAACTATTGGTTTCTACGTTTACTTATGTGTGTAATGCGATTTCATCGTACTATCTATATCTTGTAGAATGATTTTTACATCCTTTCACAACACAATTCGGCATTTTGACTGGTAAATATTGTTGACATTTTTGATGACGCTTTGACTGACAAGGCGTAGTCTTGTGTGTTACGTGTGGGCCCTGTGGGCTTGTTATTGTGTATGTACATGCCAAGGCGTAGTTTTAACTGGCCTCATTTCTTTGTTCACAGAGTACCATCTTAACTTTATTATTTGATCTGAGAAGTAGAATTAAAATGTCTGTAACACTGACCAGCACAAGTGACATTGCAGTCTTTTCCAGGAGTGTTGCCTTTGTTGCACCAGTACTTGTCGTTGATCTGGAATAGTCCATAATCCCTGGAACCATTCTTGTTTATTGTTCCCATCTTGTCAGTCTTTCTACCGCTTTCATTCTCAACCAAACATACCCCTGTAACAACATACACGTAAAATATTACAAAAAAACTAAAACTAATGCAAAACAGTTTGTACGTGTAACTTTAAATTAGTATTTAATTGGTTAAGATTTTGAACTCCGTTGTTAAAGAAACACTATTTGGAAAACTTGTGTGTGGATATTTTATCTAACCAATTTTCATTGGTTTGGCAAATTAGGGTATACAATAATTAACTTTAAAAAAAGTATTACCGACATCATGAACTGTGTTATTGAATTATCAATTTTCCACCCGAAGGGGTGTTATTTTTCTTTAAATTTAAACCAAACCAAGCAGGCACCTCCTTAAAAATAATTATTTTCCAAATTGATCGTAAATTACGAGTTTTGAGGTAACAAATATAAAAAATGTAACTAATCGAGAACCTTCCTTTTTTGAAGTCGGTTTATAATAAGGTACGACAACACCTTCTTTGCTTACTTGACTTTCAGTGCAATTCGTTCGAAACGTCTGTAAAAAATTATTTTCAGCCATAAGACCACCACATCCAACACATTTTTGCAAGAAAATATTTGTGTGGTATGTTGTAAAAAATAATAACAACAAATAACAAAAAACTAATTACCTCAAAGGAAAATTTAGTACTTAGATAAAAACTTTTTGCAATATTAAATTGTTACAATATCGCTGTGTACAAGACAAATAAGCCACGAGTATAGGATAAGTAATTTTATTTTTTATTTGAATTATATGACATTGAAATCCGAAGTCTAAAGTCACATATCAGTGTTATTATATTTTTAATCGACTTCAAAAAGGAGGAGGTTCTCAATTCGATTGGTATTTTTTTTTTGTATGTACACCGATTACTCTGAGATTCATGATCCGATTTACGTGATTCTTCTTTAGTTTGTTTTAAATAGATACTCACAATCTCTCATTTTGTCTTCAGGGAATCCCTGGTTTCTTAATTCACGGACAAGATCACATCGGGTAGCGAAATATTTAGCTTCGCAATGGATACAAACCGCTGCTAGAGCGAACAGGAAAACCGTGAACTTCTGCATTATTCACAAAAATGGAGTATTACTTGATATAATGACCAGTGTAATAGTAGGTGCTGTGAGAGTCTGAGCTCAGTGCCTCGACCTCCCGTTATATATAGCAGCCGACAACGGCTTATTATTGTTTTGTATTGTCTTGGGTTGCGGGGATTTTTTTGTTATCGCAGTGGCCTGGTCATCAGTGAAACTATGTAAATGCGGTAAACGACATGTTATTAATTAATTATTCATATTGGTCACCCTTAGTCAAGATAAGATATTAATTATTAATTAATCTTGATCCAGAGAATGAAATACAGATAGAAAATTTAAATTGAGAACAAGTCTGTTTCCAATATTGTAATTTGATGGTCTGTTGATCTAGTCTAGTGTAAGTTACCCCGACTGCTAAGCACTAGTCGTGGGTTCGATTCCCACCCAGGACAAATCATTATGTGATGAGCATGATTATTTGTTCTATGTCTGGGTGTAATTTAACAATTATATTTAGAATGTATTTAGAAATAAATAAGTTTCTTGTTTATTAGCAGTCTGGTTATCATAGTACAGACCCTTCCTAGTTTGGGATTAGACTGCCATGTGTGAAGTAATTACTAATATGGTGGTACGGGTGTCATGTTCCTCCAACACAAAGGAAGGTGAGGCGAGATGGTCATGCCTGGCGGGCCGTGGCCAACGGATGATGTTGGGAAGTTGTATATATGACAAGAGAATTCTTCATATCGCGATACAGGATTAGCAATTGTCAGGGATTTTTCCGTAGTTCAGTCTATCTTCGTTAGATGGCGCTGTAGTATGTTTCTGTTTCTTTGTATGTGGGAGGCGGCACATTAATATTATTAAATTACGTGACAAATCGGCAAAAATCAAATTTATATTGTTTAATATAAATATTCATCTGAAAGCGCCCACAATTACTTTAAGAAAATTGCGATTTCTGATCTAATTAAAGTCACGCGACTTCGGAAGTACTACATCCGTATAGATTACCGGGTTATCAGAGTTCTGCTGTAGAGAGGACATATTATAAAATAAAAAAATATGAGCAAAAGACTATTAAAGGCTGTTGATGTATTTGTCTTTCATAGTTTTAAGGCTCTTCTTAAGAGCTTTAAAACTATGATTTTACTGTCTTCTTAAATAACATTGTAAGCCTAACAATTCTGTATGTACTAACCCAATTTATTTCAAAAATAAATTTTAATTCGTATTTTGTATATGTTTACTTTAGTAGTGTAATCTTAAGATTTTATTTTGTAGGTAAACTTTTACTATAATTTTTGAAGAACATCAGAAAAGTTGAAGTTGATACGGTGTGCTATACATTTTTTATAATATCCACTACAATGAGTACTTTCTTATTATTAAAGTTAAGTGTGACTTACAAACTAAACAGTATAAAGATGTAGACACGGTGAAATTATATAGATAACATTAACGTGATATGAAGGTTTAAAGTCAAATAGTTTTTAATAGATATCTACAGAAAGAGAACAACAAGTTGCTTTTTGACTTTTGACTTTAGTTTTTTGATCAACAGTGTAAATTAACTTATCGGTTTTAAATATTAACTACAGAACACTTCATCTTTTCATCATTCTAAGACCTATTGTTTAGCTCTCCATGGATTCAGAGCGCGAGTGCCGGTCCATTGCGTGATAGATAGCGTCAACACATGCGACTGCGACAGCGCCTGGGACTTTTTTTCCATGCCAGGAGTAGGTTTACTCCACTGTCTGCCGTGTTACCTAAGTTTACACGTCAATACAGTGAAAACCGGTCATTCTAACGTTGCTTTTAACCGAGTGAGTGAGGTCAACGGAGCCCCAACTCCACTCACCCTGGAAAAGGATCACTCTAATAGGGGCACCCATCGCGAGTGGTGGAGATGGATCCGTCTAAGGTGGATGATGACGACGTGCCTGAGGTCACTTGGGCAGAACTAGAGCCAGGGGTGCGACAGCTTAAAGCCAAAAACACCGCTCTGGGCATTCCAGGCCGAGCGTGGGTCCTGGCCCTAGATGACGTAGCGCTCGGGCCCCGACTGAGAGGGCTCTTCAGCGTTTGGCTCGATCGTGTCCAGTTTCCGAAATTGTGAAGACAGGGAAACTGGTCCTCATCCGAAAGGAGCCCAGCAGGTTAATCATCCGCCTACAGCCCATACGGTGCAATCTGAAGATTGTGTTCAGATTGCCGAACTTTCAGCTTAACAAGAAAACGATAAAAAATTGAGTAATCAATCATCATCTGTCTCCCAACCTATGTGCCAATCCATCACGCCGGTAATCTCCTGACAGATAGAAAATACAGTATTAATGGTTTTGGAAGACAACTTATAAAAGTGTTAGTTATTTACAAACTATAAAGTCTAACAAATAAATTATGTTTACAAGTAAAAAACGCTTAAAATTGAATTGCTTTCGATTAATAATAACCTCAAACATTTCACTTTTTATTTTACATTTCAAACTACGCAGAGTCTGTATATGACTGTTAAGGTATTATTTTTATATCTGCATATAAATGCTGGTAAATTACAAATAAGTATTCCAGTTACAATATTACCTAAAGTTAAATATACAGCTAAGTTCATATTACGTATATAGTGTCTAACGTATTATCGCAGGACAGTCATGCTTTGACACATAATATATATATATATATATATATATATATATATATATATATATGTATGTATATGTTATTGTATCCGTGTGGTGACGGATTAAGAATACGAAGTGTCACCACCTCTATTCATCCTGTAGGTGTCGTAAGAGTCGACTATGGAGGCAAACTATGCAGAATAGCAGCATTGCGAAGAGAAGGAAAACTTGACACAAACCCTTTACCAACTAGTCTGGCAAGCGTGGTATAGTAGGCCAAAACCTCCTTTCTAAGGACAATTCTAAGTCCAGTAGTGGACTATTAGGGACTGTTGATGATTATGATGATGATATGGGTCAGGTATCAGGTATGTACATATTATTGCTCATATTGGTCTATTCCAAGGACAAAATATATAGTACTTTATAAAAAGGCCGTCATTTATTATCTCTAATAAGTGCACCTACCTCATTTTTTCTCTGCATCGCCCAATCGGTCGACTGGCAGAGAATTCATTAGCATTATGTCTGCTGATTTACATTTTTGTGCAAGAAGTTATAAATAAAAAATTAAATAATATTATGGAGAGGCTCGACCAGAGTAATACTACAGCTTCACAGAAAATCAGTATTAAGTAAGGATGGAATAAAAATCGCAATCACATGTCATAAATCTAATGATTTAAAAATCATTTCATTATACTTGTGACTGATTTAAAAAATCACTGCTACTTAATTATTATAATTACGCAAGCGGAGGACTCGCGAAAGGTCAAAATCTAAGAAAAGAATTTTGATTGATGTTAATGCTACTTCTTTCTTCATGACGAAATCACAGTCACATGTGAAATCGCTGTGACTGAAACCAATCATTTCGTCAAATGAATATGATTTAAAAAATGCAATAATTTCCATGCCTAGTGTTAAGAAATTCTTTCGTTTCTTTTCACTGAGTGAGAGAGTTCATTCTGTAAGGAAATAGCTCGGAACAGCAACAGGAAGTTCGTTTAAAATTCGACGCTAAAGCGCTGTGACAGAGCGTCGAACTTCAAACGAACGTAGTTTAAAGTTCGACGCTGTGGCATCGCTGTACGCAAGGCTTTTTCTTAAAAGATAGCAGTGCTGCAGATACTAACGTACAACACACTTGTGACTCTTAAAGTCCACGTGTCCATGGGAGGCGCTAGTCATTTACCATCAGGTGACCCGTCTGCTGGTTTTGCCCCTTATTTGTTTTTTCCTCCGAGCCTTTCTTTCCCAAACTAGGTTGGAGTCCGCTTTAACTCTACTACGATACGTCTGTAATCCGGCTTTGTACGCGGAGTGACTGCTATCAGACCACCACAACCCAAGTACTGGGCGATATACATATAACATACACATCGGAACCTGTAGTATCATCATCAGCCTATCACAGTCCACTGCTGGACACAGGCCTCTCCCATTCTTTTTGATTTTTTGCTTCTCGCATCCAGCTCCTGCCAGCCATCTTGCGCAAATCGTCACTCCACCTGACCTGTGACTAATCTGTATGTAATAATTAGTCAGTTTTGATAAACTATTTACTGTCTAGCTGATACTCAACTTTACTGTAGGTAATTTAATTGTAACCGAGATGTGTCTGGTATACCACGGATTACCAGTTGATGGTTTGTGTGATATATAATGGATATCTTTATGCATGAATGAAATTTATATCAGAAAATTAAAAAAAAAACTGTGTTCTGTAGAAAGACTGTTGATGGACTTTTAGGGCTCCGTAACCCGTAACGATTGCCACATATGATCGTATGGCAACCGGGGCCGACGGCTTAACGTGCTCTATATAAAAAAAAAACCTTAGCTACGCAGAGCCTATCTTATAGTAACCAGACTGCTGATAAACATATTCATACAATTGAACTTGATCTAAGGTTTGATCACGCGAAGAGCGGCAACCCACTTACATATGTCTCCTGAGTTACAGCAGCCCATGAGCAGCATTAGATATCAGGTAACCAGTCTATTTATTTTTCTTAAGTTTTTGAAACGACGAAGAATCATTACTATTCTTTCATTTAGTAACACTTATTGTCATTCATAAACTGCTCTAACATGACAATAGAGACTCAATGTTCTGTCACGTACGTAAGGGGACGCCCCTAACCTCTTGTCTGTTGAAACACCGGCTCCCGGTATAAACACATTTTCGCCGGAACTGTTGACATACCGGGAGCCGGTATGGGTAAGTGTGTTCTCATAATCGCTCTAAAGCACGTCATTGTATATACCCTATCCTTTCTAACACGTTACAAATGCATAAAGAAGAAACAGGCTGACTAGTGAAGCCAAAATCTCGCGCAGCTTTAGTGAAAAAAATGTAAACAAGAGTCAGTCAAAACTCCGCCATCGCCTAGGTGA